CCTCCAATTGACTCTGAATATCATTGAATTCTTTATATAAATTTGAAGCCCCTTGAATACGCAACTTTAAATCTATGCGAGACTGACTTGAAATATTCTCTACTTTCATGTTACAGAGATAGTTAGCAAATTTAGTTAATCTACCCTTAACTATACCGCGTTTCCTTACTAAATCCTTAATCAAGCTCTCATTGCTACATTTGTAAGGAGATTTTTCACGCACTAGGCTTGGATCTACACTCATTTTGGTGAAAAGTAGTAAAGAAGGAGTACTTACGATTTGAAATGTAACTGCCGCAGCTGTTTCGCGGGTTGAGTCGTAGGCTCGTAGCAAATATACACAACAAATTAAGTACTGGAATAAGACAAAATGCACAGTATTACACAGAGGAAGTGGAGATAAAGCAGGAATAGACGGGATGGCTGGCTGTACCTTTATGCGCGTTTCAAAGGCTAGCTGGCTTCTCCCACGATTTGCGCTTATGCTTAGTGGCTCCTGGACTTCCGGTTGCTGCTGTTACTGCTGTGCTTTTGTAGAACCTCTCGACCTTGCGACTTATTTCCTGGTTCGTTACAGACGTTGAACCGTCGGTTGCAACAGTCGCTGATTCTTCTAGCGTATTATCCGGCGAAAAAGGTCCAAATGTTTCGGCGTTATGCGTACTCTTCAATAAAGCTCAGTTGTTTACTTCAATAATGCGTATATTGCGAATATAATTACAAATAAAATAAATAAATGAAAATTGCGAAAGAAAATTGAGCGTACTAAATTTGAATTGCGTAGAGAGTGAAGTGAAAAGGGGAGTTTTTTGATCACGTGGGTCAAAGCTGCTTCTACTGGTGGAAATGGAGCGACGTTCCGGTGTAGTCAGAACTTTTTACTCAAGCGTCAACACAAGTATTAAATATTTGAAAGAAGAAATAGCAATTAAAGTTACGTTTTGAAGCATTTAACTGGTAGATGTTTAAATCTAAATAAAATGTTACTAGAAAAAAAATAAAACAGACGGGGCTCGACCCCGCAACCTCCGCTTACAGCGCGGATGCACTAACCAATTATGCTACCGCGGCACCGATGCATATATACACCGTGTTCCTGAGGATATATATTAACTTTGAATAATACTTCTATAGCTCTTGTTAAACATATCGTACAAGGAAAGTAGTAGTTTAAATAGCATAGTTTTTAAGCTATTGGTGTAACCAACTTAATTGTGTTGTGCAGTGAGAAAGAGTCTTTATCTGTGAGATGTAGCCACTGTGCAACCAAAACTATCAAACTATCAACTCTTTGTCAATGGTCATTAAGTCATACTTTCAAAAGTCAATATTTTAAAAAACATTGTTGATGTCAAGAGAACTTTCAAAAAGTTTATGTGGACATGTGAACCAAAGTTTCAAATGCGACGTTGCCAGCTCAGGTAAAGAGTAATTCATATTAGATAAATTACATCTAAGCATTTAGATTGTATGAAAATATAAAATGTTAAAGAAATAGGAATTCATATAAGTGTCCATAGTAAAAAATGATCAATTTAATAGTCTGAATAACATGCCAATAGTGTAAAGCCTCAGGAACACGGTGTATTTATAAATTGCCGCTTTGTTTTTTGTAAGGTATTTGTCAATACGGTCCATAAGTATACAGTGTTCTAATAATATTTCAGATGGAGAACTAAATGACAAATCATTTAAAGCTTTTAAATTATTATTGTACTTTTTTGTAAATTCTTTCCTCCCGTTACGTAAATAACTTTAGTTTTAAGAACCTTGATACATATTAATTTTTATTACAGGTATAAAGTATAAATACTGAGTTTAGAGTCAATCGGTAAAATTCTTCCTCATCCTCAAATCTCATGAGGAATCCAGGTGCCAAATTTGGAGTCTCTAGACCCAGCGGTTTGGGCTGTGGGTTGATTGTCTCAGTAACAATAAGTTTCTTCTTTTTTATTTTTAGATAAAAACATACATAGGAAAGAATGCAAATACATGGACATTTCATGTGGTATTGCACCGGATTTTTAAAAACTTATTTATTATAATTATTTTCATTAGAATGCTTTGAGCAAGTGGTGCTAAATTTAGTGGGAATGCAGTCTTCGCGAACTTTCGCCTCAAACTATTTAATGTGTTTATTTGGATCTTTGAAAATGAAATACGTTGAAAACTTATTTCAATTTACAAAACTTATTTAATTTAAATTTATTGCAAGTATATACACGTTTATCAGGGATCAATATTTAATTAACAGTTACTTGCATTTCATAATAAGGTTCCAAAATAATATCGATAAAATATATCGACAATGTAAAGTGTACCACGCAAGACACCACTAAAATGCTAGTACTCGGGGCACTGACCTTCTACTGGATTCAGCGATCTGTGATCTGCGCGACGCTCTCCCTTGAATCATAGTACATTACGTGTTTTGAATGTAGGAGAAAGAATCGCGAGCGTACGTTATCAGCAATGAATATTTTTATTGAAAACTAATATGTGTTTTATGGTTTTGGTAACAAATAAGTTTTTTTTTATTAACCGATGAAAAGAAAGTCCTCCTTTAGGTAGATTTTTGATACTTGAATCCTAACTATATAAGTAATTACAGCATAAGAAGGCATATTTTAAGCGTTTATCACAATACTGTCTCACCAAGGGTTCGCGAGCAAATAAACGAACGACGCGATCGCAAGTACAGGTCAAGTTATGAGCATTTGCTCATAACTGTTGCGCGCCTGCCCCGCCCACGAGGCCCTTCTAACCTCTTTCTGTGTTCTGTGGTTAAGGGTGTAGCGGAAGTCGCGAAGATCCCCTAATTAAGGCCAGTGGACTATCCTTCACGAGGTTGCCGCCCGTTTTTGGCCAATTACCTTCTGCAATTGGCATAACAGAAACCTTTGGCCGTATCACAAATCTCGCATAGCCGAACCGTGGCGGCGCATATCCACACTCGGACTCACATAGTCTAGGGTAACTACGCAGGGTGCTGGAGACAAACAAACGTGACCGTCGACCTGATCCAGGAACCCGGGATCAGACACAATAGGATTTGCGTTCTGAACAACATCAGTGGTAAGTTGCTTTTAAACACATCTATCGATAAACCAAGGACATGAATTTTTATACACAAGTCTATAAAATCAATCATGCCTACCCAACTCCGTTCTAGAGACCTCACAGCTGTGACAACCTTCAGTCTACATGCCGAATGAGGGTGAAATTCCTCTGAGGGAGCTGACCGAGCTGGTACGACACTGCGAGGACCACAAATGGGAGCTGATTGTAACGGCTGACTGCAACGCATATCACTCACTGTGGGGAAGTAAGGACACAAACAAAAGGGGTGAGTTGTTAACTGAATACTGAATATAAATTATTCCAAACCAACCTTTACATCACGAATAATGGCACGGAGCCCACATTAGTTAGCTCTAGGTACCAAACAAAATAACCCTAGCGACACACGCGACGGCCAATGCAATCGAAGGATAGCACGTGTCAAACGAACCTTCCTTTGCAGACCACCGTAGGATATGTTTCCACTTACAATACTGACGAACAGACCCTGTTCCATATCAAAACCCCCAAAAACAGAACTACTTAGAACTGACGACTAAAACATTAAATGAGACACAAATACATGATGAAATTCTTGACACAAACAACATAGAAACAAACATACAGTTTTACACTTCAGCACTTCTTTAAAGCTACGAACTGACGTGTCCTACCACCGTACCGAAAGGCCTAGGTAAAAGTTCTTAGTGGGGGCCAGAACTTGAAAAACTACATAAGAAACTCAGGACACTTTTCAACCGAGAGAAAAATATCAGAACTAAAGAGGACTGGGACAGATAAAAATAGCACAAAAACACTACAAGAAGCGCATCAGATTCCGGAGTAGGGAAGGATGGCGCGGCTTCTGTAGTAGTGTTAATTCAACAAATCAAGCTGCCAGACTTAAGAATGTTCTATCCAAAGATAACTCCAACCTCCTTGGGTCTCTAAAAAGGAAAGATGACTCTTATACAAAAACAGAAGAAGCCAATGCGGTGCTACTGGAAACCCACATCCCAGGATACCAACCGGCGCCTGACCTTGAGTGGTAGAGTGAGCACCACAATGCACCAACAACCCAGGAATGGTACGTGGCAAAAACAATAGTAACGGCGGAAAGGATAGAATGGGCTCTAAAGAGCTTTCAACCATTCAAGTCGGCAGGTCTAGATGGTATCTTTCCTGCGCTACTACAGTGGCAACTCGGCCAGGTAATTAAATACCTACAACCAGTCTTCAGTGCCTGCCTTACCTTCAAGTATAAACCGAAACCATGGAGGGCGTCAAAAGTAGCATGTCAACAGGAATGCAGGAGTGTGGCCGAAAAACGGGCACGACTCCTCCAGTCGTCAGAATCGCTTCCAGAAGCTTGCAGCAGTCTGCCAGGGCTGCTTTCCTTCTGGGCTAATATAGACTGGCTGGAGTAATCGGGAATGTTTCAAGACACGCATAATGGACTTTTCGGTATGAGAGCAGCTTGGGGTAAAGAACTCTCTAAAACCTTGCGAGATTATAGTAGTAATGGCGATCAGACGATAATTACAAGGGTCGGCATAGGTACCCTTCTTAGGTACTGGTTATTGGCAAGCTTCCAAGATTTTGGTATGGTTTCAGTTTGGAAAGAAAAAAACAGGAGACAACTCTTTTTGGACTCGGAGGAATCGCAACAAGGTTAGTATTTCTGTTGCAGAATGAGCTAGAGACCCATCAGTGGTTTGCAAAGGAGGCAGTGTGGGATGGCAGAATTATCATTCAACCAATTTTGAAAGGGACCAGTTAAATTTATGTGTCTTTTATACTGTCTATAGATCCACAGCTAAATTTAGTAATAATTAGAATAATATTGAATCTTGCCCAATATTATGCAATCTTCCCATTCATTGTCCTTTTTACTTGTCTTTAAAGTGGGAATAACAATAGTATAGTCAGTCAGTACTCACTCATAGCATCTAAATTGATAGAATCAGCAATATTAACTTCCTTTTTGTCAACAGAAATAGCTTTCTCAAATGCAATTTTCTTCACTATTTTATTACATTCATTATACTTCATTTTAGCATCTTGATCGTTTGGCCTAACTTTGGTTACCTGTAAATAAAATAAAAGAGAGTAATAGAACACTTTATACAATAATTATCTTAAATTCTATTTATTCATCTTTAATTTTAATTAAGGGTGAAACTTATGAAGCTTAACATTGACAATGTTCAATTATTCAGAGCGTTAAACACACATCATCATCATCAGCCAATCAATGTCCCCACTGCTGGGGCACAAGCCATCCCTATGGATGGAATAGGGATATTGGGCCATGACCCACCATGCCGGCCCAGTGCAGATTGGCAGGTGCCAAAAAACACACACATCAACATGTATTAATGCTTCGTTCACAGAAAAATTTTCTAGATCCTGTGCAATTCAAGTGCTAATATTCAATTAACTTATAGAGAATATCATGTTAACACCTGAATGTAATGTAGGTGCATCAGTCATAAATCACAATCATTAAGGCTGTTATTATTTCATGATCTTTTTGCCAAATGTGCATTCATTTTTTTTGGTAATATAACAAAATATATCATATGAATAAAAATACACAAATCCACATCTTCTATAAATAAATCTCTTTGAATATATATAATAAAACCTATGTTGCATGTAACAAGTATGCAATAGATGTGAAATTATAATCTTTAGGATTTTAATATCATATCATTAACTCTTTTTGAGTCACACCTGTTTTTCACATCTCTTACACCATATTTACAATGAGGAAATTAGTATGATTATTGTTAAATATTAATAGTTTCAACAATAGTTATTAAAACTATAGGCTGCCCTATCTTATAAGGAAAACATCTGTCAGTACTTATGTACATATAATTTTAGTGTGGAAATTTATCATGAACTATTTCAGTAAAACAGCATTATCAAGAGGTAAACTTAGTTTATTAGCTATGATTGTAACACTGAAAACAATGCTGTCAAAAATGGAGGAAAAAAGGAGTACGAAAAATTGGTTTTAACACTTACATATTCAAAGTCCTTAAGTGCTAATTTGTACTTCCCTAGCGACATGTGTGCAGCAGCCCTTCTGTAATAAGCCTTAGTGTAAGACTTGTCCAATTCTATAGCTTGCGATGCATCCATCAAGGCGTAACCAAACATCTCTAGCCGGAGATTCGCTATACTTCTATTGGCGTAGAACACAGCATTATTGGGGTTTTTCTCTATCGCCTTCGAGTAATATTCGATGGCAGTATTGTAATTTTGCTCTGAAATATTTTGAGGTTATGTCTGTCAATTTTTTATTTCCATCACGATCGATATTGTTTAAAGTTGATGATAAATTGACAAATAATTAGCTAAATTTGTTTTAGTTGTAATCTATTCATTTACTTACTTTTAAAATATTCATTAGCTTCATTTTTTAATTTCTCAGCGGCCTCTATGTCCTCCTGTGAAACAGGGCCGGTAATTTCTGGAGTACTTGCCATAGTATAACACGAAACAAACAATACAATAAAATAAATCAGAACTGAAATTAGTTACTCTATAAAATATTTGATCTGATTTTAATCATTTACGAAAAATTGTCCGCAATTCTGTCCGCAAAAAATGATGTCTATCTGAACCACAGACTACAGAGATTATCTGAAGTAATGAAAAGAACCGAGAGAGAGCGAGTCAGGAGCAGTGTTGCCATGTGCACTAAGAATTGACGATTATGAATGCACTAATCGAATAATTCTATTTACGAAGTCAGCGAATTAATAAAACAACCTCACAATTCATTCTAATTTCAGAGAGCAAGAAAAGTAATTAAGAAAATGTATTGCGTTATTTCAGTCTTTCCGATTCAAACTTCATTACCTACTACTTAGGAAGATTTTATTGATTAAAAAATTGTTAAGTGCATTTATATAACTAAAATTTAAAAGTACTTAATATCCAAAAGTAAAATACAATTAACCTTAACCTACTTAACTACTTACATAATATATAATTTACTAAATAAAAAAAGCAAGCGTGCTTATGACCACACGTAAATCATAAAATTAACCTGAAGATTTGTTGATAGAAAAGAACCACCAATTCGCGCTGGGTGCGTTATCAGGGTTCCCAACCCTCCCGGATTGCCCAGGAGACTCCGGTAATAATAATTAACCTCCCGACCTCCCGGAGAGCAATAATTTCGCCGGTTTTTCTAAAACTTAAATGCAGATATCGCTATTTACTCGCTGTGCAGCCACAACATCTCGCGCCGCACCGCTGCCGGTCTAAACCTGTTTGTCTCATGCGTTACTTCCCCCAGCGCCAGCGGCTTGCCGAGTATGTCGCACGTGTGTCTCTTGTTCTCAGTCTAAGCCCGTCACAGACGTAGCTATAATATATATTAATAAATCGAAATATATATTATGTTATAGCAAACTACCACAGACGGGAGCTAAACTATAATATATTTTTTGCCCTCACTCGGTCTGCGGTCGTTTTTGCAAGCGCACGGTTTTAAAGCTTATTTTCTAGCACAGGGTGTTTTAATTTTGAAATAACGTTATAATCAATCTTACCGAAATGAATTCGACAAGAGCACTAACTACTTTTAGATTTAATTGAAAGTTCCTCAGAGGATGATTCCGATGCTGAATTTGATATGCATGTTGCCTTGTCAGGAACGAAAAATAGAACCATCTGGGTAGAGTCGCATATAAAACAAAAGAAAACTTGTGGCGAATTTAATATGTATCGTGATTTGTCATCCAATAAATTTGCACAGTATTTTAGGATCGGGAGGGTGGGGGAGAAATGCTCGTGCGCACTTGAGCTGGGGATCGCGCAGGCGTTAAGTGAAAAGTTGATCATTCCGTATTAAAAATATATACTAATATGCTTAAATATATCCCGTCACAGACGTAGCTATAATATATATTAATATATCGAGATAATATATTAAACAAACTAGCACATACGGGAGCTGTACTATAATATGTCATGCTGGACCAGAGACTCTCGTGGTACTCCCACATTGACTTGGTTGCGGAAAGACTACGAAAACTCATGTGGATCTTTAAAACTATATAGCCACAAAAGACATTTTAAATCAAATATACGTTGCAGTTGCCCAATCGGTTCAGATTTACTGCATAACAGTGTGGGGAGGTGCACTTAAGTCTACATTTCTAGAGGTTGAACGAGCTCAAAGAGCCCTCATAAAACTTATGTATTTTAAGAAAAGAGATTTTTCAACAAATTTACTTTATTCTCTGTTGGGCCTACTTACTGTAAGAAAATTGTATATACTTCATTCTATTTTAGGAAAGCACACATCAATTACGTATGATCCAAATATTATAAAAAAAAGAAGAAACGACAGAGTAGCTAAAATCAGACGTATAAATACAAACTTTGCTCGAAACCAAAAGCCACATCTTTCATCTATCATCTATAATCGCATTAACAAGATTCTTAGTATCTACCCGCTAACCTACCGTGAATGCAAAAACAAGCTGACAGTATGGCTAAAGACTTTGGACTTTGACAAAACAGAGAGTTTATTAAAAATGTACCACATAATATCCGATTTTTATAAAGGTATATAAATATAAGTTATTTATGGGATTGTTACCATGTACCTTGTTTTTAGCGAGTTTCCGATATTTCGGCACTGTTGCAAGCGCCAAGTTACTCCGTGATCATGGCGCTTGCAACAGTGCCGAAATATCGGAAACTCGCTAAAAACAAGGTACATGGTAACAATCCCGTAAATAACTTATATTACTATAATGTTAGTGACCATGAAAGTTTAAAACAATATAAGGTATATAAATCTATGTATAACAAAAAACAATTTTATTTTATAAGTATTAAGAAACTTACAAAATACAGTATATATATAAGCCTTATATGCACAAACACACACACATACACACATACACACACATACACACACACACACACACACACACACACATGCACAAACACTCCGCTTAATTAGTTTAAATTGTATTTTCATGTAATTAAGATGTGCTTTGATAAGCGTGAGTTGCACAACTTGTTATAATGTAAATTTCCATGTCAGGTCATGGTAAATTCTTAGTAAAGTTTCACTTTAACTAGCTCTGTGGTGTAACTCCCACTTTATTATATTTAATATATAGTTAATGACCTTACCATAATGTAACGTATGCTATGGAAGAGTGGTTCTTTTTGGTACAAATGTCTTTGCACTTATACTACTACACTATCATAAAAATATATCAAAATATATATTAATATGGGAAAATGTATATTAATATGGCAAAATATACACTAATATGCCAAAATATATCTGTCGACATATTTTTGTGACGTCATAGAAATATATATTATAGCTGCGTGTGCGGTCACTCGAAAATTTATATTGAAAATATGTTGTAATATGTCTTGCTATAATTCATATTAATATATATTATAGCTACGTCTGTGACGGGCTTAATTAGATAAATCATTCAGTAAAATGCGTGTTGCGCTAACGGGAAGTACCTAATAAGTAATTTGAGAAAAATAAAAAAGTAGAACGGGTATTTCTTTAGTAAAAGCAGAGTTACAAGTACTAACAAACTTCGATTTTTCATGTAAAAGCTTTTATGATCTTGTGGTGAAAAATCGACAAATATTAGCTGCTGACATCTGAATGGCTGCTGAGTCTACAATTTTTAAACAAAATAAATATAAATTTAAAAATTAATGATTGATTTTCTTTCAGTCCGACAATTTTCTATTTTTACATGTACTATTTACTTCTACATTATAACAGTGATTCAAGTGTGATAAGTTAGTCAGGAGGAGCTCGATGGCGCAAGTGGTTAGCGCGTTCGGCTGCGATCGTTGAAGTTAAGCAACTTTCGCAGTGGTCGGTCATTGGATGGGTGACCAAAAATTTACTATCTCGAGCTCCTCCGTGCTTCGGAAGGCACGTTAAGCCGTTGGTCCCGGCTGCATCTGTAGTCGTTAGCACCCACCAATCCGCACTGGGCCCGCGTGGTGGGTTATGGCCCAATCTCCCTATTTCATCCATAGGGAAGGTCTGTGCCCCGGCAGTGGGGACATTAATAGGCTGATGATGAAGTTAGTCACTATAAACGAGACATTATTGTAACTCGGTAAGGAAGCTGAGTGTGTAATGATCAATGCACACGAGCTGCATACGACGTTTTTCAACACAATTGCGACGAAAAAACAAACTTGTAGTTAGTAACTGTTATAAAGTTCAACTGGCCTTTGCAGCTTTGTTGCCAAGTAGTTAAATATTACGGAGCTACCTTCAAAAACTTTTCAAAATCGGTTGGTGAGAATACTTTTGCCTTTCGGCCCATATATCCATTAGAACGTCGCTTTAGAAATGTCGTCATGTTACTATATGTTCATAAATCAACTGGCGGCAACAGCCTATCACTCACGTTTCGTGCCTCGATAAGTATATATCTCGATAAGTTGAATTAAAATTGCGTAAATATTATTAATAAATGCGCTCACAGGTTCCACACCTGTGCCACAACGGCACAGGAATAATTTTTAATAAAAATAGAACCGATTTCAAAAATATTGAAAATGTAAACTAAGATTTACCGTGAAGTCGATAGTTATTATTATCATGCTAAACACATACGACTTGGACTTCAAGTATATCAGGCGGTAATTCTATTTTTTCATTAAGTCGGTTTTACTTTTATTAAAAAAAAAATCATTTTCCCATTTTAGTGTTACACAGAATACGCTACTAGTTGGAAATTGTACAAGCGTAGATCCACACGGGTAAAACCGTCAGACATTGTTGGTAAATTATATACTTAAAACCTTCTCATATATGCGTCATTATCATCAGCCTATTAAAATGTCCCCATGCTGGGGCACAGGCCTTTCCTATGGATGGATTAGGGAGATTGGGCTATGACCCACCACGCGGGCGCGGATTGGTGGGTTGCTAACGACTGCAGATGCAGCCGTGACCAACAGCTTAACGTGCCTTCCGAAGCACGGAGGAGCTCGAGCTAGTAAATTTTCGGTCACCCATCCAATGACCGACCACTGCGAAAGTTGCTGAAATTCAACGATCGCAGCGGAACGCGCTAACTACTTGCGCCACCGAGCTCCTCCGAGCTATATATGCGTATTTACGCATTAATATGCGCGAAAACCCCATCCAATTCGGATCCGCAGCTTTGAGATTATCAAGGTCGTTTGACCATGATAATCTCAAATTAATCTCATGTTTATGCATACATACAGTTCTAACTGAGAATATCCTATTTCGAAGTCTGTTTAAAGACCGACTGTGCAGCCGGAACAGCAGCAATATAAAAAATAGAATAAACTAAAAGTATAAATAAATGTTTCTTAATACGTTATTTAATTTGTGTTTATAAATATAAAATGAATTGTTTATTTGTCACCTTAACCCTAAAATAATTTAAATAATATGATGAATTTAAAAAAATACACAACAAGTATGGTAGTTAATATGCTGAATTGTGAAACTAAAAACTGTGTAAATAATAAGAGTCAGTTTACGAGCAAAAGTGTTGAAAAAATGTTATTAAAAATAATAACAGAATAACATAGGAATAAAAGGTGGATTACAAAGATAAACGTTGAATAATATAAAACTAGTTAGGTTAAGTTTAATTGCAAGATTAACAGTTAGTTTAAATAACATAGGTTCAATAAAAAAATACACTAACAATAAATTCACATTCTAAATAAAAATCTCAACCATAGGGACTTGATTCTTGTATACGCGGCAACACCTGAATGACGTTTAGGGTTAGGGCTGCCATCTCTAAAATGTGGCAACCAGGACAAGACGCGTGATAACCCCGGATTTTGGAGCCCAAAACCCGGACAGATCAATAAAAAAGCAGTTAAAAATGTCACAAATGATAATAATAAATATTTCCAACACTCACACCAACTAGCCTAGCCCCAAAGTAAGCACTGTAAGGCTTGTGTTATGGGATGCTAGGGTAACGGATAGAATACGTATACTGTACATATATACGTATATTTATACAGGGTGGTCCAACTAGTGATTTCAACAATTTTTTTTTAGATTCCTCGCACCTGGGGGTATCCGAAAATACCTCCGCGTTGTATGTTCCATGTATGTTCCGCGATTTTTCTTAGTTTTCGAGTTATAATTTTTTCTGTGTATTTTTAATGATTTCTGCCAGCACAGCAGTTAAAGTTAAAGTTACTCAAAAAAGGCCTGAAAGTTAGATCATTAGTTTTTAATAGGATTTACTCAAACGTTCAACTTCAATACAAAAATACAAAAAGGAGTGTCCATAGCTTCTGGCTAAAATTAAAACTCCGCATGCTTCTAAACTACCAAAAATCATAAAAAAACATGTACTTAATCAGCCTATTTTTGTTGTAATTGGCTTTTGAAGGCGGATAGGCTAAAAATCATTGAAACACGATTAAAGCATTAGACATTATTTTATCTACTTTTTTCATTGTTATGGTAAATTAAACCTAAAAATGTAATTTCAAATAAAATTTAATTGAAATTTCTGTAAAATAACTTTAGCATGTTGAATTTTATAATAATTTCGGTTTCACTACTAAGATTTAAAATGTGAGCAAGAATAAAGATCAAAATGGCTAGTTGGGAAATTTCCTGTTTTTTGATACAAATAAAAACCATAAATTACTGAAAAATTACTATTTATTGCAGTAAATTTTCAAAACTCCTTCCTCCAACTTGAAAACACAATTGACAATGTCTTAAAAAGTTATTTTTTAATTGTCTGAAGCTACTTGAATATTCTTGCTTTATTTTTCTTTCCGCTTCTGTAAGTTTTTGTCTCAATTCTTGTTCGCATTTTAAATCTTAGTGGTGAAACCGAAATTATTGTAAAATTACACAGGCTAAAGTTATTTTACAGGAATTTCAATTAAATTTAATTTGAAATTACATTTTTAAGTTAAATTTACCATAACAGTGATGAAAAGTAGATAAAATATTTTTTAATGCTTTAATCATGTTTCAATGATTTTTAGCCTATCCGCCTTCAAAAGCCAATAAGAACAAAAATAGGCATGCGGAGTTTTTAATTTTAGCGAGAACCTATGGAAACTCCTTTTTGTACTTTTCAATTGATGTTAAATGTTTGAGTAAATCCTACTAAAAACTAAAGTTCCAACTTTCAAGTCTTTTTTGAGTAACTTTAAGTAATTGCAGGAAGCTGAGTTATTTTTTTATTAAAACAACATTCAAGACAATTTTGTCACAAAAAAAGGACTGCAAAATACCTACTACGAAAAAAGATAAGAATTTTTGAAACCTCGCTGGCAGAAATCATTAAAAATACACAAAAAAATTATAACTCGAAAACTAAGAAAAATCGCGGAACATACATGGGGTATTTTCGGATACCCAAGGTGCGACGAATCTAAAAAAAATTGTTTGACGTCACTACTTAGTTAGACCACCCTGTATATACATATTAAACATCCACGACTGGAGTTCAAATGCTCGTATTCATCACACAAACATCTGCCCCCACCGGGATTCGAACCCGGGACCTCTCGAGTCGGTGACATCATGAAACCCGGCGTACAAACCACTCGGCCACGGAGGTCGTCTTTTTTTATGTTAATGTAGGCAAAAGAGCTACCTATCCACCTGATAATAGGTGGTCACTGCTGACCATGGACACTTGCAGCACCAAGGGCCATTCATGCGTTGCCGGCTCTGAATGAAAAGGTTCATCTGCCTTTTTAAGATAACCATATGATAGCTATAAGAAAAAAACACATAGGGAAGTGCGTTCCAGATCTGGCTGGTACGCAAAAGAAAGTAACACATGGTGCTCGAACGCCAGGCGTCCAGATGGTGGGCGTGAAACTTCTCTGCGGTTTGTGATGCTGTGAAGAAGCTTGTCCACTGGCATCCGGTTGAATAATTCCTCGGAACACTCTCCATTGTATAGACGGTACAACACGTACAAGGAGTTGCGTCCTTGTGCGTGTTGTACCGTCTGCGTAGTTAAAGGGTTGCAACGCGTGCGTGAGCTCAGGATCATCGATAAGTCAAACTGCCCGCTTTTGCATCCGGTCAAGAGGAAGGAGCTGGTATTGGGGTGCTCCAGCCCAGAGGACCAGTACTTTGTATAATAACACCCGATATTTAGGCTTGAGGTACTTACTATATCTATTGAGCACCCAAGCTTTTTCATACACACATGTCTTTGCTGGGTTAATCCAATCAAATTTTGTTGGCTCCAATTTGAGACTTGATCCAGTAACATCTCAATCTCGGACACAAGTCTGTCTTTACACCCTTTTACTTCCACCCGAGGGATGTTTGACCGACCAGTGTAAAAATTATCGAATTCGAATAGTTAGCGAGTCCGAAATGTCATTGTCAAATTTTGTATGAAAATTTGATCAGCGTCACCATAACGGACGTAACGAGAACTAAGAATCAGTACACATTTGACAATGACATTTCGTGCTCGCAAACGATACGAATTTGATATTGGTTCGTGCTAGGGGTACTGATCTTTGTAGGAAGTCAGCATTTACGGTTACAGTGTTAGAATAGATTTATTTATTTTCAATGACATATTGACGGATCAATTGGCGATCAAAAACAGTTTTTTTTAAAACCCGGACTACAAATGAAACCCCGCCCGGACGCTCCCCGGACGCCCTGTAAACTAGGACAAATCCGGGGAAACCCGGACGGATGGCAGCCCTATTTAGGGTTCATGTTATTTTAAGTTGAAATTTCAAAATTTTACTATACTTATTGATGTTATGTGATCCCAGCGTCCTTGTTATTTATTGTTGTATTATTTCACTGCATAAACTGGCATTTTACTTTCGATTATCACCAAATTTTAATAAAACATTCACTACGTACACCCCGTACACAACTGTCAGGTTGACTGGCTCAGTGAAAGCTCGGGTATGCCGATTTCGGCATAGTATTTGTTGCCGCATTAGACAGGTACGCCGGCGGTATCTAGTCGAGTGAAGCGAGAACAATCATTCATCTATGACTAGGACCATCATCAACGAGTGTGTTTAGCTCAACATACCCCCCGAACACTGAATCTATATATAACAATGTACTCTATGCACTGAATAGCAGGCATGTGTGTAGAGACAAGCCGATATTGCCCCGACCGCCGTGCACCCTAGATTGTCCCTGCCAGTCCCTGCGGCAGGCACGTCAGTAGGCCGTGGTAGGCTGGCAAGGACCAGCACTGAGAAGCGCTGGTCGGCTTCCAGATTTCTTTCTGCATACAGCCTAATGACTTCCCTATGGGTGTAGTTCGTAATATATCCAGTATACTGGCCAGTGCTAATGACGTGATGGATCGACGCTATACTGGTGAATTGTTCCGAAATATATTGGCCAGTGCACTGACGTCATAAATCGAGGAAATATTAAAAATGGTGCGAATAAAGAAAATTTTTTATTCTTCTCATCAATTAAAAGGAATTGTTTTTGTACGGATGCCATTATTGTTCTTTAAATAAAAAAGAAATGAAATTCCAATGCATCTCACGCACTCTCGGTCATACATTATATTCGTTTTCCCGATAAAAATATGGTAGCATACCAGTAAAATATGGCGTCGGATTCGTGACGCCATTACCACTGGCCAGTAAGCTTCGGAATACACCCTATAGAAAAAACCTACACTACCTACCCTATACCTATTGAAAGTATCGATACTGTACTCATGAGTAGCATCGGAAAAAAAGTATCATACTCGTAAAAGTATTGAAACAAAAGTATCGATACTTCAAAGTATCGGGTACATTTCATAGGGCCTGATCGGATCCTCTGTGCCCTGATGAGCATCCCCCTCCCCCGGGGTTAAAATTGAAAGAAAAACAATCAAATTTTATTATAGTACGTTTAATCAAAATAAAAAAAGGACATGTTAATTCACAAATTGCTTTATTATCTAACTACTCTTAAAATGTGTATTGTTAATATAATCAATTACAAAACTAAACATGCGTAATTAAATAAATAATGAACAGAAAACAGCTGTGATTTCTGACACTAAAAAGTGTCCATTAATATTGTATTGTGGCGGATGTTAGTATCTAATAATGGTGGATTATGAACCACACACGGGAACATGCACAAGTGTTGGCAGGTGAAACAAAATAGCGGAAAGTGTCTTTCGACGTTCCCTCAAGAAGTTCATGGGGAGGTTCCAGTAAATCCCCACACATTTACTGAAACACAGGGAAAGGGGGATTGATTTGACTGCCACTTACTTTGACTTGATATAATACTTTGACCACGAGTGCTATAGAATTTGTACACATTTTTAACACTTGACATTGGCTAAATGCACAAGCCGTGCGAAGCCATTGAAGAAAAAAAATGGAACCTTTTAGAAGGTTTGCTTTGATTTAACAATATTGCATTGCCATCAATATGAGGCGCTTAAACAAATTTTTAAAGGTATCGATATTTGCCAAAAAGTACTCATTTATAGTAAAAGTATTGAATACAAAGTATCGAGTACAAAAGTATCGGTATCGAAAGGAAAAGTACTCGATACCACAAAGTATCGATACTTTTTTTTCGTGTCCCTAGATGCCAACGGTTGCCTGCCAACAAAAACAAAGCTAACCTAAACAATTCAAAATATAATTCCGCAATAATTTCTGCACTATTTTATGATGTGATGATTTCTTTAAGAAACGAGTTCTTTCACCTGTGAAATCTGTTAACTGAATATAAACAACATGGTTTATATTTGCTGTGTCGAAAATTGTAAAAAGGAGGCTGATCCTGGCAGTGCCATAACATTTCACAAGTGAATTGAAAATTGTGACCTATTACTGTGATAAATGTTACAATATGCTATCCACATTTATGTTAAATTTTGTGCCTACTTCAGGTTTCCTAGAAATCTTAAAGAGAGACAAAAATGGATTGATGTTGTCCCTGGCAAAGTCACACTAACTTCAGTTATTTGTAGCTTGCATTTCAAACTAGACGATTTCTCGCAAAATGTTTCCAAAAGATATTTGAAGCGTCACGCAGTACCATCAATCTTCCCTGGGGTTGGTAGCTTAAATATTTAATTGTTTACTTGATTATATAGTTGGAGAGCAAGAAAGGCCTCTTGATTAGAGCATAAAGGCAAATTTTAAAGTCTTTATGGACATGAAAGCTAGTAATAATCATGAGATATTATCATAAATATTATATATTATCATTATTATTATATTATATTATTATTATTATGTTTTTTATCAAATAAATTTAGTACATCATTACAAAATCATCATAATTATTTATTGATAACTCATCCTATTCTGAAGAGTAGTGTAATAAGATTTTAAAACCTATATTCCAATATTGCCCTTATGTATGTTTTGTATATCAACACCTGAAATGAAGCTGACATCATTTTATAATAAATAACTAAAAACCTTTTTAGTTATTGCAGTGATATGATGTTCCCATTTCGGCTCCTTTGGGTTAAGTACCCCAAGGTCAATATGCACTATGACATTTTGCAGTGGTACACCTTTGATTTTATATGTATAGCAGGGATTTTGATTTGCTACGTGAAGAACAGTACATTTGTCTATATTAAGCTTTAAAAGCCACTCTTTTGACCAGTTCACTATTTGAGTTAAACCAGCTTGAAGTCTTTCATAAAATAATGCACTTAGTTTCACAAATATCTTTGTATCACCAACAAAAATACTCACTCTACAATTTAGGCATCTTGGTAGGTTGATTACTTTCAACCTACTAAAATGCCTGAATAAGTTACATATTATTTATAGAACTGAACCAAGAGACAGAGCCTTGGGGTTCCTCACTTTTTACGTCTCTTTCATCTGAAAGTGTATCACCAATTCTAACTCGAAAATTTCTTCTCAAAAATGCTTCAATCCATTTATAACAATATTATATACTTTATTTATAGTTTTATTGAGAAATACCCAATTGCTGTGTGGAAGAAGTTATGGCCAGCAAAGAAACCTTTATTTTGCTTACAACTGCAAAAAAGTCTCCAGCTCAATACACGCCACAACACTAGTTTTCAGCTAGAGGCTGAATTGTGACTTTATATTCTTATGTTGCTTCAGTCGAACCATGATCTGATTCCAAAACTCAATTAAAGCTAATTAAGAGTAATAGTTTGCGAAAGTTTCTTAACTTCCACTATCTATTTAAGACTTAATGCATTAGCCACTGCGCCATCAAGCTCCATATAAGCCATTTGTATATAATGAAAATCTACCTGTGACTTTCTTTATAATGTTTTCAGATGATACCCAAAGAACGAAAATATTTAGTTGTCAATCAAGGAGAAATAACTTTAGAATCATTGCCTGAATCATGCATTAAGGATCCAGAAATACAAATCTGTGATGTGCGAACACTACGAGAAAATGAATTGAGGGATGAGGTAAACACTGTTATCCCTCAAATTGAAGGAAATGAATTAAGGGGTGAGGTAAACATTGTTACCACCAAGACTCTGGAAAATGATTTGAGGCGTAAAACTATCATTATTACCCCTAAGACTGGAGAAAATGAATTAATGCACCAGGTAACTGAAGAAGTAGGTATAATTAATAATAATTACTTATGCCATTATATTTTTTCACTGTCATAGAGAAACATCAAATCAACTCTTATGAAATTTTTATATTAATTGTTGATTACTTAAAACTGTTCTGGTTATAGGACTTGAGTGAACAGAATATCATGAAAATTATGTTGATTTATGTTTGTGTCTATCAATTTGACTTTACTTGAATACATCTGGAACAACCTGCAGCGGATAGCCAGAACAGTACCCCAGGCATAAACAACTAGCAAGAAAGTATTTGTATAGCCAACCTCACAGCAATACTGAAGCTCCACTGATGTAGTCTCAAACACAAACATTGACTGATTTGCCCAATATATATAGAGAATGGATGTGCGTGTGGACTGAGTGATCTTTTCAAAACACTCATCCAACCATAACCAAATTATAAGAGGATTTAGGAAATAATTGTGAAAACTTAATGGTAAGGTAAAAAAATTGTGAAACCTAACCAAAGAAAGTTAGAACTAACTAGCTTTAGCCTGCGACTTCGTCCGCGTTTTCGTCGTATTTCGTAAAAAAGTAGCATATGTCCTTCCTCAGGGTTCCGTGGTTTTGATGTGACAGACAGATTAACTTTCGTATTTTAGTAGGGAAATATAATATGTCAATCCACAGTACTGTTAAAAATATCGCAATAAGGAACCGTAGAATATTATTATTATCACTGTGCCCCGAGATCGTCAGCGTGTAACTCCTTGTATGTTATTATGTTAATGTATTGGTAATATTGTTTAGATCACTTTCACATGAGGCTTAACTACATAAAATACTTCAGCGCAAAGCGTGCGGCTTAACTACATAAAATACTTCAGCGCAAAGCGTGCGGGTAAACTACGTTGAAAGTTGACCCGTCCGGCACGTGAACATAAAGATTTCTAGAACTGCTAACCCGGGAAAGAGCGACATATAACTGACCATGTGAAAAACAACTGACACCGAGATCTACTATAGCAACACGAAAAGTCTGCCCTTGAGCCTTATTTATTGTCATTGCATAACACACCGATACTGGGAATTGCGTTCTTTTAAATTGGAATGGAAAATTATTTGGTATCATGGGAATTCTGGGAGTAAAGATGGTTTCTCCTGCACCGCAACCTATTGAAATTTGAACCTCGATTACATTTTGTTGCAACTGGGTTACTTCTAAGCCGAGTTCCATTGCAAAGTTGTGGTGGTCTTAAATTTTGGAGCAGAATAATCGGAATGCCAATTTTTAAACAAATTTCATGAGAAGGAAGTCCGGGCATACTTAAAGAATTTAAAAATTCTATCGGATAATTAGTGGCTTCTTGTTCATCGGCCATTCTATTTATTGAACTATAAACTTTGCTTTCCCCCTGGATATTCGACAGTATTTTATTATTAATCTCAGATGCCTGGTCATTGCGAGGAATTAAAATGGACCTTTCGCATAGCCAAGAATTGTCCTTATTTAATATATTTGTTACGTCACCGTAAACTGACGATATAAGATGTTGTTGGGATTGCACTATACAACATAACTCAGGCGTCAGAATAAGTTTTCCTTGGTGTAGCAGTGGATAGGTATCTTTGGTGAAGGTATTTTCTTTAATAATATATCAGAAAATTCACGATCATCCGGGTTATCTACAGTTCCCACTCGCATGTTTATAGTCAAATGCACCGATGTATATCACGCCACAAATAAGAGCTTTTCAGGCAAGCCTTAACCTCATCAGCTCGGGTTCCCCGTGGTATTACCGGTAAGGTTTGTCGGAAATCACCACAAAATAAAACTGTGATACCGCCCATTGGTCGATCATTTTGTCTTATATCCCTTAAAGTTCTGTCTACCGCTTCTACTGCTTTTCGATGGGCCATCGTACATTCATCCCATATGATTAAATTACACTTTGAACGAATATTTAAACACTACCAAAACAACTAATACGTGGTCCTAACTTTAGCTACCTTACACTTAAAATCTAAGTGACTATTTAAACTAAAATATTCTTATACAATTATAACCAGAAATATATACAACTCACAACAAAAAAGAAATGAAAATAAAGCTGAAACGTCTGTGCAATACTATCTACCTATACCTACTTCACTTAAAAATAAATACTTATAACTACTATAATTAATAAAAGTACCTACGCTTAATATTTTTTAATTTGAACGAATATTTAAACACTACCAAAACAACTAATACCTATTTTACAAAATAACAACAAAAGAAATTCAAATAAACTATTTAAAGACTAAAAGTCGCGCTGATAAGCACGGTTTCTCAATATCAATTATTGTCTGTCAATAAGGTCGAGCGCTCTAAACGCATCAACAGCCAAATATTGAAGCTCGCTCGCTCTCTTTTTTTTATTTTTTTTGTTTCCTCCCAGGCAGGGGAGCAGGTGTGAAATCCTCATGGATACCCTACAGCCGGCTGCAATGTTATGTCAGACTCGTACTGATTAAATAACACCCGTAGGGGCTGTCTCTGGCCGGGAAGGCCTCTAAGGCTTCATCGGGAGCGATCGTCCCCCAGGGGAGGGAGCGACGCAGAAAACAGATTTAGACATCTCGCTCTCGGACCTCCCGCCTTTTGATACCCTACCGCTGCGCCGCCGCGACCCGTGTCGAGCGCGGCAACCGTTACACAAAAATAATCCTTATAGCATGATTCAGTATTCACGTGCGACGGCGCGATGGCTTATTTCATGTATAAGTTTGGTGTTTCTATACCGTTTCTAAGCTTTTTTTTATTGAATATATAATAATGTTAACTTTTTTAAATTAGGGATGAGTCAGAGTATTATAAAAGTAAGAGTAAACAAATATGATCAGAATGCTCCGAACTGCTAAGCTATCGGGAGTTACACGTGTTATTGTGAGTCAACCATAAAAGATAGACATATGCTGTTGCGGGATATTTTCTAGAAAATTTTATGTAGAATATTTCCGTCATACATGATTTCTATGTAACTTTAACCCTTAAGGCTGCACACGCGACCGAAGCTTAAAAAATGGAGTAACTTCTCCCGTTTTCCCAACATTTCCCTTCACTACTCTGCTCCTATTGATTGTAGCATGATGAAAAGTATACTATAACCTGCCCAGGAGTATGAGGAATAATTGTACCAAGTTTCGTTAAAATCCGTCGAGTAGTTTTTGTTTCTATAAGGAACATACACACAGACAGACAGACAGACAAAAATTTTACTGATTGCATTTTTGGCATCAGTATCGATCACTAATCACCCCCTGATAGTTATTTTAAAAAAAAATATATTTCATGTACAGAATTGACATCTCTACAGATTTATTTTAAGTATAGATTAACTGGATCACTCAATCTGGACACTTGAAGAATAAGCCATAACGCGTATCCAAGAAAATACTACCTATGTGTTTATAATTTGTATTTGAAATAATTGTGAAGAATTTATGAAAGCTGCTAAACAAATTTTCGATTCATTTCAAAGCCACGTTTAAGAATAAGAATGGTTTATATGGATCACTCAGAATGCACTATGTTCATTTGAGTGATCTTTTAAAACACTACCTTATACTGAAAAAGTATGAAACATTATCATATTTGTTATAAATTATGCTTCTGGGAACATTTGTGAAACAAAGATCGGGATTGAAATCTTACTGGTTTAAGAGAAAATGAAAATCTTGTTTTTTCTCGATCGTCCCAACTGAGTGATCCTTATCTTGAACTATATTTAATAAACCCAAACTTATAGGTAGAAGGTGAAAGTACATCAGAAATTGTGAAAAATGTTGTACTAAAATTTGACGAACCAATCGTCCCAGTAAGTGTTATATTTTAAAAGATAACTCTTTTTTTACAATCCTTAAGGAAAACGTTGAGTAGGGTGACTATATCGGTTTACTTGAGTACCGAGAGTTGTGTAAGTTTTGTTTTTAGAAGTTTAAAGTAAAGATGTTTTTATAGTGTTTTCACTACTTAATACATAATTTCAACATAAAATGACGTTTTTAAGTGACAAATTTTCAGCAAAGTTAGGTATTGTCACACTGTATTAGGTTTATCATACTAAGGAATTCTACACACAAAAAAAGATCAGAATTTTTAAGTAACCAAAGAAATTAAGTTTTTTTCTAACATTCATAGTCTACTAAAATGTTACCTAATCGATAAATCCGTAGGACAAAGTATGTAAAATAACTGGTTCTTCTTCTTTGCTGTTATACATTTTCCCATCAAATCATCATAACAGACTATTTTTTCGTTATGGACACCATGTCCTCTGTAGTGGCCAATATTATCGGGACTTCATTCATTGCACTGCCACCGTCATTACCCCATTGTGGCACAACGATGCCTATTATCAAAGTACTTGCTCGATGCTTTGGATAGGTTACAGCGGCGCGCGATCCGCATCATAGGCGATGAGGAGGTGACTAAACACCTTGAGCCTCTTCAATTACGCAGTGACGTGGCGTCACTAAGCGCGTTCTATCGTCTGTGTGGTACAGACAAGTGTTCTAAGGGGTTATTCTCTCTCATTGCACCTTCCCCTTTCCTTCAGAGGACCACGCGCGCTGGCCTACGTTGCCACCGCCTAACTGTGGCCACAATTCCAACGCGTACAAAGAAATTTGGTGACTCATTTCTTTGTCGCACTATCCGTAAATGGGATGCTCTACCCGCTCACGTGTTCCCTCCCTCTTACAACCTGGGGTCCTTTAAAAGAGGCGTGAAGAAGCAACTCGCAGGCCGGCAGGGTGAAGATAGCTGGTGTGGCAGGTAGAACTGCTGTATCTGCTATCTTCGCGTCTGGACTTTACCTTCACTTAACATCAGATGGGATGAAGTCATTTGTCGGTCCTATCTATATAAATAAAAAAACTATAAACAAACTTCATTGCATTAGATGCACTGCACAACGCCGCCAGCTTCGCAAATTGCAATGAATATACACAATGTTAGCATTGAATAGGGTAGTCAAAAAAAAATCCGACAAAATAAAAAAGTACAAGTACCCTACTCAACGTTTTCCTTAAGGATACAATCCTTAAGGAAAAGGTTGAAAAATGAGTTATCTTTTAAAATATAACACTTACTGGGACGATTGGTTAGTCAAATTTTAGTACAACATTTTTCACAATTTCTGATGTAACTACCTTCTACCTATAAGTTTGGGTTTATTAAATATACATAGTTCAAGATAAGAGAAAAAACAAGATTTTCGTTTTCTCTTAAACCAGTAAGATTTCAAGCCCGATCTTTGTTTCACAAATGTTCCCAGAAGCATAATTTATAACAAACATGATAATGTTTCATACTTTTTCAGTATAAGTTAGTGTTTTAAAAGATCACTCAAATGAACATAGTGCATTCTGAGTGATCCATATAAACCGTTCTAAATCTTAAAGTGGCTTTGAAATGAATCGAAAATTTTTTTAGCAGGTTTCACAAATTCTTCACAATTATTTCAAATACAAATTATAAACACATGGGTAGTATTTTCTTGGATACGCGTTATGACTTATTCTTCAAGTGTCCAGATTGAGTGATCCAGTTAATTAGTTCTAACTTTCTTTGTTTAGGTTTCACAAAATTTATACCTTACCATTAAGTTTTCACAATTATTTCCTAAATCCTCTTATAATTTGGTTGTGATTGGATGAGTTTTTTGAAAAGATCACACAGTCCACACGCACATAGAGAATGGACTGATTGGGCAATACCTGCATGAAATTGATTACTTTCTACAAAAGAGGGTGTGATATTGTATGACCAGAGGAAAAATGTGGAAGAGATCGAAGGACCAGTAAGGTCTGCATTCGAATTGATTTCAAAACTGGCTAAGGAATACTCAGTTCATTCTCTATGTCTACTAGGGCAATGTCTGATGGTTTCGATTGGTGTCGTTTGCGTAGTTTGCAACTGCTCTAACCTATGCTTCAACTTTCCCTATTACAATTTGTATGAAATAGATTTTTACCAATTCACTTAATAATTGAGAAAAAATTTTCTTCAGGTACCTAAAAGAAAACACTATATAGTTATCAATCAAGGAGAAATATCATTGGAATCATTTCCAGAAACACCTGACTTGGAACCAGAATCAGAATTAGAAATGCAAACATTACAACAAAATGCATTAAAGTGCAAGGTAAATCAATAATGTTGTAATTACTGAAAACAATATTGTTGTCGCAATAGATTGGACTACCAATAGCTTGAAAAATAGTCATAATTTTTCAAGCTGTAGTAGGTCTATTGATTGTATCAATAATATTAATAGCAAATAAATCCGATACCTTAATCAAAATTGAAACTGACTACTTTACGGACCCATTTTTCATTCAATGGTCAGAGCTTAACAATATATATTTATAATTTATATTATTATGTCTTTGAATAGTATAGATTTTCCTTTGTTCAATGAAGCTCGTTTAACGTCGTATTTACGCCGTCACATACATAGATAAATAATATATGGTTTGACATCCGTCACTTAAGGATTTTCCCTATTTTTTTTTAATAAACGAAACACAGCTTTAAAAATTGTCTTAATTTTATAAAACATTAAAATATATACGTAATAATTGTCATTCTAAATTTAAGTAAACTTTTGTAATTTATGGTTAGTCCATGCCCAAATTTAAATTTTAATGCGCCAACACTGAGACTCGCGGCGTTTTTGGAAGTGCGACCTGGCAACATTACTTTTCGATTCTTTGCAGACACGACCAGTCACTTTTATTAAAAATGTGAAATATAATAATAATTTATAGTTCGGTTTCTTTTTCCAAAAATGCGCTCATCGCATTTTTGCAAACTAATATTGGTGCCAATGGCCCATTAGTAAAACTTTAAAAGAGCTGCGATTGCAGGTAAGAATTAAGATTAAAATTGTCATACATATATCTAGCCATGTTGCCTGGTCTCACAAATGTCTCTTTATTCTCTTTAAGTGGTCTTTATAACCCTTTATTTTAATGATATCTTTATAAACATCATTTTGATATCTTGACCATGGACCAGCCATAATAGTCTAAGTAAATCCAATGCTTAATGTACTTTGATCTTTGACGCCTGGAATCCAATCTGGTATGTACTCTTTCACAATAAATAATTGAAGAGGAAAACACCTTTCTCATTCAACCCTAGTCAAAACTGGACTTGAGATTAAAAGCTGATGTTCCCGTAAGTTATTCCGGACACCTGGAGATGTCACCAGCTTCCCGGCGCCCGTTACTACTCTCACTTTAAATGGAAGCTGAGAAGCTAAAATCGGCTACCATCAACCGGCCTTCTCCAGCCTTTTTCGTTCTTTTTTTTTGAAATAACTAACTATATAAATAGTTTACACAGTTTTTTATTTTTTTTTACCTTACAATGTCGCCTCTCACATAGGGACAGGATTTTGACTAGGATATTTTGTAACTTTGTAAGTGAAATATAGTTATTTTGCTATATCCATCATAACTTTCACATTTTGTTTAACATAAATTCATTAATTTTTCACTTTTGAACTGAATGTTATTATCACATAACATTCATCGAGTAACTTTTTCCATTTTTGCTTCAAAGCTTTGTTTTGGCAAGCTTATAGCCATATTTTACTTTCATTATAAACTAATAATAATAATAATAATGTTTATTTCCAATAAATTACAGTTTCTTACATGGTAATATTCTTATAAGACTATTTACACTAAGGCTAATTTTACATTAAATATTAAATGACATCTTCAGCCAAACTAGGAAGTTCATCCTGTATTTTGGCTTCAGCGCTCTTCCCCTATTTTCAGATACATAAAAAAAAAAAAGCCAATACAAACAATAAACAAAAAAATATGAAATCAACGTTATTCAAAATTACAAAACGTTTATTTACTTAAAGATATTAAACTTTTAATGTATGTGTGTGTGTGTGTGTGTGTGTGTGTGTGTGTGTGTGTGTGTGTGTGGGTTGGTGTGTGTGGGTGTGAGTTTATGTATGTGTTTGTAAGTGTGTACCTAAAAATGTGCGTGTATTTTATCGTATATATATGAGGGTGTATCTTTATATTTATTATTATAGGCCCGTGACAAGTAAATCCTCAGTTTGTTCATAGTTGAATTTGAGCAATAAATTTGTGACCTCTTTTTTAATGCTATTTTTATTGAGATGTACTATGGCAATGCATCTACTGATTTTATTATAAATATGAGTCCCCAAAAAGCCATATGTACGTTGAACGTAAACCGTTCTGTAATTTCGACGATGCTTACAAACAATGTCCTTTCTACGTTTTTGCATTACTGTCGGGTCATAAGTGATTTCACCGTGTTTTTTAATTATGATAGCCAGAATAAAGAGCTTCCTGACGCTAAGGACTTCACAATACTGATATAGAAGAGTGGTTGGATACAGGTAGGGATTAAATGTACACACCTTTAGTACAGCTCTTTGCGCGACTTCCACCCTCATTAAACTTGTTTTTGGAATTCCACCCCATACTGTTATACCATATGTCAAAATTGATTGACATAAGGCCTATATAAATACGCTTTAGTAAAGACGGCTCAAGGATATGACGCAGCAACTTAAAGGTAGCCAACAGCTTCCTAACCCTGTTACCCAAGACCTGAACGTGTAATTTAAAACTCATGGTATTGTCAATAATTATACCTAGATATTTGATGTCCTTAACATGTTGTAGGGGTTTGCAGGAACAGTCGTGATCGGCTCCCAAAGAACAATTATTATGGAATCGGAGCTCCGGATTTTTTTGCTCTGAACCATCACGTACATGTTTATTACGCATTGTAAAGTACACACATTTAGTCTTTTCCGTGTTTAATGTCAATTTGTTTAACCTTAACCAGTTCATGACATGGTTTAATCCTTTTTGTGCAGCATCGTAGGTCCCACTTACAGTTTTAGTTGAGAACAGTAGAACTGTGTCGTCAGCGTAGGTGACAATTTTGCCATTTTTAAGATGCAGCTGGCACAGGTCATTTATATAAATTAGGAATAGGGTAGGGCCTAAAACGCTGCCCTGTGGGACTCCATGTTTTATTTTTAGTTCGGAGCTTCGATGCCCCATTATATTTACCGATTGGTATCTTCCGAAGAGGTAATCCTCGAACAACCTTAGTTGACAGTCGCGGATTCCAATCCTATGCAATTTTTGGAGCAGAGTAGGAATGGAAACCGTATCAAAGGCTTTAGCTAGATCTAAGAAAATGCCAACGCATTTATTACCCTCGTCAAGTCTCTCTGCAACAAACTCAGTTACCGCATGTATAGCATCAGTGGTTGATTTGCCTTGTTGAAAACCAAACTGGTTTTCTGATAAAATTTTATTTTTTTCGAGGTATTTAACTAAACGACTATTGATGAGTTTTTCAAAAATTTTCGAAAATGAAGGCAGTAATGATATGGGCCTGTAATTAGATATACAATCTTTGTTACCACCCTTGTGAATCGGGATAAATATCGATTTTTTAAGAACTGCTGGGAACACGCCTTCACGCAGACAATTATTAAGTATAAAAGTCAAGGGGCGAACGATAATATCCTTATGAGTCTTTAATAATAGGTTAGAAATGCCGTCCCATCCTGCAGAGCTTTCTTTTTTAAGATTTTGAATTAGACCACCAACCTCCCGCTCATCCGTTTCAAGCAGAACAAACGAGTTTGCCTTACTCACGCCGTCTAAGCCCGGATTGCGGAAAACTTGGTGAGAGTTGCTGACCAATTTCTCGCTAATATTGACAAAGAACCTGTTTACACTATCGACTGAAAGATCCGGATTTGCAGATATTTTTAAAAGCTCCTGCGCCGGATTTTTAATTTTCTTACTATAAGTTATGTTTCGAATAGTCTCCCATATTTTTTTATTATTTTTTCCAGCTTTATTAATTTGATCTTTATCATATTCTCGTTTGAGTTTTTTTATTAAGTTATTACAGAAATTTCTATAACGAGAATAAGACAATTTAAGCGTATCATTTGTAGGTTGTTCTTTACTTCTAGCATGTAATTTGTCTCTGAACCTTATGCATCTCAGCACGCCGGGTGTTATCCATGGCTTTATAATTCTCTTACTTCTAGAAACCGAGACAGTCTTTGTGTTACGTTCCACCGCAGATTTTATTTGGTTTATTAAATAGACCATTTGAAAATTCGGATCAAATGAACTGTAAATTGGTTCAAAATCTATATTCATAAGATCCATATTAAGACCATCTACATTAACCTTGTTTGTATTGCAAAGTACTTCCTTTCTATTTGGTTGATAACACAAAAATAAACCCACTGCTTTATGGTCAGTAACCGTAGATTGGGGAACAAGTGTCAAAGAGAGCATACTTGACTTCAATAAAATGTGATCTAAACAATTTCCGCTTTGATCTCTAGTTACCAGCGTGTGAGTAGGTAAAAGTCCATGAAAGGCCAAGAGGTTTAAATAATTTTCAGCGTTAGTATCTAGTTTATTGGAATTTATAGCTAAATTAATATCACCAGCTAAAATAATGTTTTTAAATGTATATAATTTTTGTAATTGGGTACCGATTGATGAAATAAACGAGTCTATTTCATGTTTTGAAGCAAAAGCCGGTGATCTATATACCGCCAAAATTGCCGTATCTTGTCCTAACGTGATAATGAGACAATTTCCTTTTTGAAACTCAGGTTCCTCAACCGAGAAATGCAAGTTATTTCTAATATATACCACCACTCCATCGTTTTTATTAAAACTAACCTGAGAAGAGAACGATGAGTAGTTGTCCAGAACGGGAATAATTGGCGCATACGAAAGCCAGCATTCAGTGAGAATCAAAACATCAAATTTTGTTTTCAAGCGATTTAATAGAACCTCAAAATCGGAAAAATTACGACTAATGCTAGGAATATTTTGTGTCAGCAGTGATAATGAAGCTTTATGGGTTGGTACGTGTGTAATAAAATCATCAACCGCACAGGGTACCGAATAAAAGAGATCATTATCTAAGCTATTGCAATATGCATCCATATTAACAGCTATAAGAAAGCGTAAAAAGTTCTTTATACGTTAAAGCTGGGATAAGCTTTGATAGATAAGCAAACAAGCAAAAGAGCATTTCAAAAGTATTAAAAAATCTATGAAATTTGGTAATGAGATTTTTTTTATATATATTTTTAAAACTATATAGTGTAAAAAAATTCACCATATAAAATTCATCCGCCACCTCCAAAACACCACGCATAATGTTTGGATAAATAGCATGTCGTGGGTACAGAATGTGCCATGGGGTTAGTACAATAAAAACAGGTAAGTTTGATTTGTGTATAAAGAAACAAAAGTAGGTTACAGTATGTTTGAAGTGTGAGTATTTGCAGTATACGGTGTGTGTAGTTGTAGAATGTGATTGTGGTTTGCATGCATTAATAAATAAATAATTATGTATGTTAATTTGTATGTTAAACAGTATAAGATTCAAAGCTACATCAAATAATGAGCTATAAATGCTATTACATGATAGAGACAATATTAAATTTAAGCCTATATTAAAAAATAAGCAGCAAAAGTTAAACGATAAAAGACATTTAATAAAAATTAGCAAAAGGTACCTGATTTCTACAGTTAGTCATTCTACATTAATGTTGGCGAGGTCACTTTCATTGTTGATCCGGATGTAGGGATCCCCTTCTTTTTTTCGCAAATAAATTTTACCTTGTGAAATCCAACAAAATGAAAAGGTGTTAATTTTTGCAAATTCTCTTGCTGCAAAGAAAAGTTTCTTTTTTTGAAATGTAAGATTTTCTGAGATAAATACTGGTCGTGAGGGGCAGTCCAGGTGTAAATGGCTGGTACTCAATCTGTTGCTTTTGTGCTCATTATTATATTTCCTAACTGCTTTTAATACTTTTTCCCTCAGCAGCGCACTGGTCAGCTCCACAACAATTGGCTTATTATTTTCATTCCTCGTATTAATACGGTAGATGTTACGAATTTCCGTTAAACCAATAGGCGCGCCCACCAGTTTGGCAGCCTCCTGTATAATGGAAATTAAATTTTCTTTGTTCTCCTTAGGAAACTTAGGTATATTTGAAAGCTCAATATTGGTGGAGCGGAGACTTCCCTCCATAGATTCGATTTTTGATTCTAACACTTCTATTTGTTTGCAATTTGCATTTTTTTCAGCTTCTAATTTGTGAATTTTTGCTAAAAGTTCATCATATTTTAGTGACATATAGTCTATAGAATTTCTAATTTCAGTGTTTTGTCCTTTAATCTCTTCCATGGCTGATAGAATTGTAGAAAACCTCGCTTCCTGTTCCCGTTTCCATGATGAAAAAAGCTCCATGAATTCATTTCTAAACATCAATAATTCTTCCTCCTCACGCTTACGCTTGCGGGTAGTTGAAATTTCTGCAGATGGTGTGTCACACTGGGTGGCAATGTTTGGTTCCGACTCACTATGTTGTATAACTGCAGAACCAAAATCGCAAAGATTTTTTGGAGGTGTACGCTTCAGCGGCATTTTGTTTAGTCTGTAGAGACGTATTGGGTAATAAGTAAAGATGGCTGCTTACTGGTGGTAAAATAGGTGGTGACGATGCATTGACGGTTGACGAAAGCTCCTTTGCTTCATGCACTCCTAATTTTTTATGTTGATTTTTGTGTTTAATTTCGTATTTAATATTTAAACAAAACACTAACTGCGGTTTGTATACGTGTTCTCGGTATCGAGGTCCGGGGGGAAGAGGACTAATTTGCTATTATGTAATTAGTACATAATATATTTTAGAATAAATAGATTCTGAGAAGAAAATGTGATGCTAATAACCATTCACACAACTTTCTTTGACCATATTTTGAGATTTGACAAATTATTTGCAAATAGTCATTGCATAATATTGTTGTTTTGTTATTTAATGTGCATTTCAGCTTTCAGCAAGAAATAAATATTGTTTCATGCATAATTTACTTGTGTTAACCTATCATTTACAGAATTGTGTAAACTTAATATAAGTTCAAGTAAGTACATGTGTTTATTACTAAGTGTTTACTGAAAATAGTTTAATTGTTTAATCCTGTTGTTAATCACTTATGCACAGTGTCTATTAATCAGTTTTCTATGCAATTGATAATGCAAGATTAGCTTTTTTTTTTACAACAACAATACATAACAAGTTTTATTACATGTCAAACTTAAGTTTTGTACATTGAAGTTCAAATGTTTTGATATAGTATCAGGTTAATTCTGATATTACACTGGTTAATTCATATTCCTGAATAACTGTTATTGTTTAATTTAACTGTAAGTTTCCATAAACATTGAATTTAACTTTCCAATTTGTCAATAAATTTCCACTTAAACTTTCATTGCAAATCTTAGTATTATATGAGATAACTTTTATTGCATAAAGTGTTTGTTTACAAGAATTAGTTCTTGGTAATTCTTATTTTTATTGAATAATTGATAAAATTATTGGAATTTAATCTTAAATTAATGTTAGTTTTATAAAAACAACTTAAATTTATTGGAAAACATTACAACTTGGTAGTTTTTGTTAAACTTACAATATAGTTTAATATTTTTCTGTGAAATAGAGAAAATAACTTAAGTCTTATAAGAATCTTACACTATGACGGATAAGGAGTGTCAAACTGATAAAATCATGGCAGGAACTTCAGAAAATAAGTCAAGAAGGGTTTCTGTGGGTTCAAAGCAGGATGAAGATATGATTACTTTAGATGAAACACACGTTAACTTTAACCGGAATATGGGTGCAGAAAATTTTCCATCCCTTTTAGATTCTTCAAACTTTAATCAAGGTTTACCTGATAATAATTTACCGTTGGACAATAGTAATTGTGCCAAACATACTGTTGTTTATCGCAAACCTTTTGATTTTTCGAAACTTAACCTTACATATAGTGGGAAAACTTGTCCAATAGAATTCTTGAACCGGCTTGAGGAGTTAAAAGCAGTGAAAGGTTACACCGATCAACAATGTTTTGTTGCATTGCCTGTATTGTTGACCGATTTAGCCCTGAAATGGTATAGAGGAAGAAAGGATCACATTTTTGGTTGGATTCAATTCTCATTGGAACTTAGGAAACAGTTTACTTCCCCGGATCACTTTTATAAGTTGGAGACTGAAGTTAGGAACAGAAAACAGAAAGTAGGTGAAACTTTGAGTGAGTTTATTATAGAAATTTTACATTTATCTTCTCAATTACTTGTTCCCATTAGTGAACGCAACCTTTTAGAAATTATTAAACATAACATGCTTCATAGGTATTCTTTACACTTAATTGGCAGACCAATCTCAACCGTGGATGATTTGATGCATTTGGGAAGAGAGATTGAACAGTACCAGCCGGACAGATCAACCTCTTTTGCTAAACCTGCACAAACAGATTCAAAATTAAACATTAAACCATTACCTAGATTAGATTCAGTCATAAATTGTAGAAAATGTAAATCATCTGGCCATTCCTATAAACAGTGCACTAAATTTCCTGGAATTCATTGTTTTAAATGTGGTAAACCTAACACTTTGACCAAGGATTGTGATGTATGTAAACAGGGCACTTCTGCAACGGCATTTCCAAAAAACGAGTGAGTGGGCGTGTCGGAACGCTTCTCGATAGGAAAAGTGTCATGAACTCGCCCGGATTAAATCAAAATTCTTTAACTTTAACATGTAAAAATAATAATACTTTTGATAGGGTGGTTTCTTCTATGTTTAAGTCAGATAATTCAGACGAACGCCCTTACTTGTCATTTTTTGTTCGCAACAGAGAATTTTTAGGATTGTTAGATAGTGGAGCTCAGATTAGTGTTCTTGGAAATAATTCACATTTAGTTTTTGAAAAGTTAGGATTTTTTTTGGAAGTCTCTTCATCTTCTGCTACCACCGCGGATGGGAAACCACAGGAGGTTATCGGTACAATGCGAATACCAGTCAGATGTTTGAAAAAGACTAGATTTGTAAATTTTCTTGTCGTACCTTCTATATCAAGCAATGTTATTTTAGGCATAGACTTTTGTATCCCTTTTGGTATTTTAAAACACATTCACAAACATGTTGGCTTTGTGAATTCGGATGGAAAACCATTAGAAATATCTTCTATAACCACTATTGCGGATTTAACACCACAACAAAAGGCACGTTTAGATTCTACTATTAAATTATTTGAAGAAATTTCGTATGAAAAGGTAGGCTTAGGTAAAACTGATTTAGTTCAACATAAAATTCATACGGTTGGAGAACCTATTAAGCAGAGGTATTATCCTTTAAGCCCTGCTATGCAAAATAAATTAAATTTGGAAATTGATAAAATGTTGGCTGAAGGCATTATAGAACCATCTAAATCTCCATGGTCTAGCCCTTTAGTATTAGTAACTAAGAAAGACGGCTCGTTGAGAGTTTGTTTAGATTCACGTAAATTAAATTCTGTTACTATTAAAGATTCATATCCATTGCCCTATATTTCTAGAATATTAGTTAACCTTAGAGGAGCTCGCTTTCTTTCTTCTGTGGATCTTTCCAAGGCATTTTATCAAATTCTTTTGGAGAAATCATCGCGGGAGAAGACTGCTTTCGTTGTACCTGGGCGTGGCTTATTCCATTTCGTTCGTATGCCGTTTGGAGTTTCAAATGCCCCCGCAGAACTTCAGAGACTCTCGGATCGCTTGTTTGGGCCTGAATTTGATGATAACCTGTTCTGTTATCTTGATGATCTCGTCCTATTTAATGAAAATTATGATCAGCACATTGCTCTTTTAGAAAAAGTACATAAAAGGTTAAAAGAAGCCGGTCTAACTATAAATTTAAGTAAATCTGAGTTTTGTAAAGATAAATTAAAATATTTGGGCTACATAGTTGATAAAGATGGGCTACATACGGATCCTGTTAAATTAGAAGCCATAAGAAATTTTCCAATTCCAAAATCTGTTAAAAATGTTCGTAGTTTCGTTGGTATGTGTTCCTATTATAGACGATTTGTTCCAGATTTTAGTAATCTAATTCACCCTTTAACTAAATTAACTTCTATTAAAAAAGGTAGTAAAGTAAAATTTAATTGGACAGCGGACGCTGATATTGCATTTAAGAAATTGAAAGAAGTTATGACTTCTGCTCCAGTATTACAGTGCCCTAATTTTGAAAAGCCTTTTTCCATTCATTGTGATGCTAGTGGTGTAGGTGTTGGAAGTGTCTTAATGCAAGACGATGATGATGGACATCCACATCCCATAGCTTATTTTTCTAAATTACTTTCAAAATGTGAACAAAATTATAGTGTTACAGAAAGAGAATTATTAGCTGTACTTTTATCTATAGAACATTTCAGACCTTACATTGAAGGAACTGAGTTTTCAGTTGTGACCGATCATGCAAGCTTAAAATGGTTGAAAAATTTAGCTAATCCTTCTGGTAGACTCGCTCGTTGGGCTACTCAGTTATCTCAATATAATTTTAAAATAATTCATAAAAAAGGTAGTTGTCATACTGTGCCTGATGCTTTGTCTAGAGTTGAAATTGCTGCTATTACTCAAGTACCGGATGAAATTCATGATCCATGGTATAGAAAAATGTTTCAGAATTGTCAAAAATATCCTTCGAAATTTAAAACTTTTAAAGTAGATGAAAATAATGTTCTTTATAAATTTGTTAAACCTAAACATAATTTATCTCAAAATTTAGCTTGGAAAATTGTTATACCTCGTGAAGAAGTATTGAATACTATTCGTGATAATCACGATAATATAAACTCAGGTCATTTCGGAATTCACAAAACTATTGAGAAACTTAAAATTCATTACTTTTGGCCTAAAATGTTTAAAGATGTTACAGATTATATTAGTAAATGTGAAACTTGTAAAGCTTATAAGCATTCAAACTCACCTCCTTTAGGAATAATGAGTAATCCTAAATTGCGGGTATATTGAATGGTGATGTATGAGTGTTCCTGAAACGAAGAAATAGAATCTCAGTTTTAAAAAATTAAATTGGTATCACTTCATTAGGTATGTTTTTGGTAATTAAATTAATTTAATAATATTCTATCTGGCAATTAGATGTTTTCACTCTTTTTGAAGAATTTGATTTTGCTTCTAGCATCATAGGATCTTATCTTATCTTGGTTTATTTTGGATCTTCTTATTTTTATAAGATCTCATATTTTTGAGGATTTTATATAGATAACCTTTTGTTTTAAATTTCCAAGTCTTATACGTTTTATTATTAAAGACTTATAAACTTTTGGAGATCCTTAATACTTTATTTCTGGTCTTTATTCATTGACGGGTTTAATGGATTAGAGTTCCTTGTTTCCACGTTTATTCCTTATTAGCTTCTGTTGTTCTTCCACAATAGTCTACTAATAACGTAATAATGTTTATTTCGTTTGTATAAATAGTTGAAGTTTAGGGATTACTATTTAATTTACTATTTTGTAAAGTTTGTTTAGGTGTTTGTGTTTAGTCTGCAGTCTTAAGAACTATTACACGGACGCGACTTTTAGACGGACTTTCCCGTTTTACTTTTTTCCAGTCGACTTTCCTCGATCTGTAGGTACTTTTACACCTTTAGGTGTCCCCTTTTTCCCTTTTCCATCAAGTTCATACTTGATTTGGTACAATTTATTTTATAGGTTTGCTAGACATCATTAGAATGTTCTGTGTTTTTCCTACAGCTTTGCTGGAAAAAAATCGTAGTGTTAGTCTTATGACTGACATACTATTTTCCCAGACGGTGTTTTATTAATAACTCGTTCTGCTTTTTTTTTCCATTTTCCCAGACGGTGTTTTATAGATAACTCGTTCTGTTTTCTTTATGCAGCTATGCGATTATTCTATGTAGGGCGAAGGAGCCGACTACATTGAATCAGTGGTATTCGATAGTGCATTAATTTTGTGATGCATTCATTTTTTTGTAGTGCGTTCATTTTGTATTTTGAAATGCATTCATTATGTATTAGATTGCATTTAATTTTGTAGTTACTTGATCATTCTATGTAGGGCGAAGGAGCCGACTGCATTGAATCAGTAGTATTCGGTAACACAATACTTATTTTTCCAACTCGATTATTATTGTGTTTGGTAATTTTTGTTTCTGCTCGATAATTTAGTGTAAGGCGAGGGTGCCGACTACTCTAAATCGGTTGAATCGGTAGAACGTTTTTTTTCTCTTCCTATTCCACACATTTATGTGTTAAGAATTTGAAACTTTCATAAAGTTTATTTTATTAGGAATATTGTTTGTATTCGAATGTTTAGTGTAAGGCGATGGTGCTGACTACTCTAAACCAGAAGCGTTTCAATGCATAACAAGAAATCCTTATATTGGAATATTTTCTGCAATAAATTAATTTTAATATACCTTTCGTTTTTATATTTAAATTGACTTGCTGTTTTATATGGGGCGAGTGTGCCGACCATATTTAACCAGTTGCATGCCAGTCAATGGAAATTTTATTAGATTATTATAAAGTAATCATTTTTTTTTCTTTCCTCTTTCTTTACTGTTAGGTGTAGTTGGATGTTATAAAAATAACATTCGTTATTTTTATAAAATCTAGTGGGGGGGAATTGTAACGTCGTATTTACGCCGTCACATACATAGATAAATAATATATGGTTTGACATCCGTCACTTAAGGATTTTCCCTATTTTTTTTAATAAACGAAACACAGCTTTAAAAATTGTCTTAATTTTATAAAACATTAAAATATAAACGTAATAATTGTCATTCTAAATTTAAGTAAACTTTTGTAATTTATGGTTAGTCCATGCCCAAATTTAAATTTTAATGCGCCAACACTGAGACTCGCGGCGTTTTTGGAAGTGCGACCTGGCAACATTACTTTTCGATTCTTTGCAGACACGACCAGTCACTTTTATTAAAAATGTGAAATATAATAATAATTTATAGTTCGGTTTCTTTTTCCAAAAATGCGCTCATCGCATTTTTGCAAACTAATATTGGTGCCAATGGCCCATTAGTAAAACTTTAAAAGAGCTGCGATTGCAGGTAAGAATTAAGATTAAAATTGTCATACATATATCTAGCCATGTTGCCTGGTCTCACAAATGTCTCTTTATACTCTTTAAGTGGTCTTTATAACCCTTTATTTTAATGATATCTTTATAAATATCATTTTGATATCTTGACCATGGACCAGCCATAATAGTCTAAGTAAATCCAATGCTTAATGTACTTTGATCTTTGACGCCTGGAATCCAATCTGGTATGTACTCTTTCACAATAAATAATTGAAGAGGAAAACACCTTTCTCATTCAACCCTAGTCAAAACTGGACTTGAGATTAAAAGCTGATGTTCCCGTAAGCTATTCCGGACACCTGGAGATGTCACCAGCTTCCCGGCGCCCGTTACAACTCTCACTTTAAATGGAAGCTGAGAAGCTAAAATCGGCTACCATCAACCGGCCTTCTCCAGCCTTTTTCGTTCTTTTTTTTTGAAATAACTAACTATATAAATAGTTTACACAGTTTTTTAATTTTTTTTACCTTACACTCGTTACACATTGTACTATTGCAACTTATTGTTCAGTAAATCTCACACTTGTTCTATATATGGATGTGGAGGGTGAGGGGGTAGTCTTAAACCGCACCATGTATCACCACGAGGAAGGGGGGGTTAAAAAATTCCAAAAATGACATCACGTGATTAATGGACGGCCCGAAATGTCAATTTGATTTTAATTGTAGTTTAGTTATAAGTAAAGAATTGTATTACTTATTATTTTTTAGTGGTTTAGTTTTTATGGAATTTTTGGTAAGAAAGATTTAATTCTCTACAATTTACAATTCTATTGTGGCCAGACTAACATTAACTACTATAGGTTACCTGATCTACCTTATCATTTTCATGTCTCAAAATAACCAAACACGAATTAAGTACTGTTTTTAATTGAGGAGTTCCACTGTTTCATTGTTTAATTTAACAAAAAATATCATTAAATTTTTTTATGGGTTGCTGTAAAAGTATCAACGTAAAAAATACTCAGATGTTAATATTATTACAATTAAAAATACTTTAATGTTTTTTGTGTAATAAATAACCTAATCCACATTAAAAACATGGATTCTGCTATCGATCAGCTCCTCAAAAGCTTGAATGAACTTACAGTCAGTACAGATAGAATGTGGGTTGGAAATGATTTTATTTATTTATCATCAGCAAATTCAAGAATTTTAAGAAGTTTGGGTTGGGAGTTGGGTTTGTTAATTGGCTGTTAGTTATTTAATAAACTTTATTTCACAGGTCAATTCTAAAGAGAGAGACTATTTAGTTAATAGTGAAGATGATGGAACTCTGGAAACATTGTCTTACACTTCATCTGATGACGAGTCACTGCAGGAACCAAGAGCATTTTACAGTGTTTTGACACAAACGGGACCTGATATAGATATTATAAAAGAAGAAGAAAGAAAATTAAAGCAGCTGAAAAAAATTATTCACGCAAGATCGCGAAGACGTACTGTAACCATAAAAAAATTAAAATTACATCTCAAAGATTTGGTAAAACAAAAGCTCAAAAAGACCATATAAAACTTACACAAAACAGAATAACTAAGAAAACTCAGCAGAAGCGAATAAAGATTTCAGAAGAATTTGACGATGACGAGCCGGTAATAAAGGTGATTAGGAAAATTTACGTCAACAGTTGGCGCTACTGTGACAAGAGGTCTTTTGTATGAAGTTTTTGGCGCGAATGAATAGAACGAGCATTGAAATTGATCTATAGACTATGGACGATATACGTGATTTGAGGGATGAGTAGACCTTTCGTCTCAGTGCTGCCACCCGTGTCCGTCATTCCAGAAATCCCTCATACTAGTGGTTTCACGTTTTCATTGTGGTGTCTATGTGTGTATTCCGAAATATACACCAGTACGCTGGCCAGCGGTAATGACGTCATGATTTCGACGCCATATTACACTGGTGTGCCGCCATATTATGCTGGTGAGAATACTGTGACGTAATTATTTATTAGCCGGGTGTATACGCTCTGCAGTTAGTGAAGTTAATTGTAGGTTAAAATCTCTTATCTATTAGACAAGTCCGTCCGTCCGTCTGTCTGTGGTGCTGTTTCAGCGGCCAAACCGTAAGAGATAGATAAAGAGAATGTTTAAGTTATAAGTTAAGAATAGTCTGATAAGACTACAAACCGGATTTGAGTAACGTAGCACTTCCGGTTTTCGAGAAATCATGAATTTCAAACGAAACCACACAAAATCTCCGAAGTTCTCAATTAATTAAATACATTTTTTTTTAATTGGTGAACATTTGGTTCACTGGTTTGCTAGTTTATAATAATTTTTGGAGCATGAACGTTGCACACAAACACGAGACTGCTTGAATATAGCGCCAGTTTATGACGTCACCGTTCTGATCGGTGTATTTGGAACGAATCAACAGCATGGCGTCGATTCATGACGTCATTACCGCTGGCCAGCGTACCGGTGTATATTTCGTAATAGACCCTATGTCTTTTGCACGATGGCCTTGGCGAGCTTTAAATAATACAGATTAAGAAATCATCATACTTCCGAGGGCGTGATTACACACGAATACTGGTGCCAATGGAATTCGGATAAACGATTAAGTGTAAATGAAGGGAGTCGAGCACGCCCGTATTTCAGTGTCAATATTGCTTTGGGTGCCCGAAATCGAGTAATATCTTTCGTGTACCCAAATACGGGTTAACAACCAAGTGTAATTGAGCCATTATAATTAAATACCTATCAACACATTGGTGTCGATCCTGTCATGATTCTCTAAACCTAAAATTTAATTTGAGTGTATCCTTGTCATTCTCTATACATAATGAAACGGAGAGATTGATGTTAAAGGAGATTGCTCAAATTGGCCCAAACGCACAAAAAATATTGACATACACGGTAATTCTTGGCGTAATTTATAATTTAATTTACAGTCATTAGATTTCAACGGATACCTTTGTATAATATATTTACTTTAAAAAGGACTTTTAATTTTACCGGTTTGGAAAACATACGAATCATTTTTAATGGCTATGGGTGTAGTAACATTCAGCCAAAGACTGATCGAAGTTGTTTATATAACATAAAAACAAATCTATTTTGTAAAGATCGATAAAATAAATCATTTTTTTTATTACACTATGGTATTAATATCCACAACTATATTATCATTTTCACTTCATGCAAATGTGCTCAGACAATTATTATAGATGGTAGGCGACATCATAAAGTCTATTGCCATACATTTTTCGCCAAACACCTCCATAAACACATTGTAATCTGTATATATGTTAGACTTTAAGGTATCTATCTATGGACCTATGTTGCCTGACTATAAATTAATAAATAAATAAAATTACCTATAAGGTGTGATGCACTAAAAATCTAAAATATGGTTATATTAAAAACATAACAAAAATAATGAAGCTACTGAATATATGGCTATATAACCTAAATCTCTTAGCTTTCTTTGGTTAACGAGAGTTTAAAAATTCTCTTTAATCTGTAGCTCATTCACAATCATCACACAGTTTCTGTCACAGAGTACCTTATTATAACCGGAAATGCATAGATGACATCTGATTTTATAAGTTACTCTTATGCATTAACTTTAAAAATAGGCAACTATCTGTTAATCTTCATGTTCTATAAATCTGAATCTAATCCATAATTTCGGTACTTGGCTTGATTTCTCTAGTTTACTATATAACTTATTTGTTGTTTATTATTTTAATATGTTCAGTGTATATGGTTTATAGAAGTTCTCAGGGGTGTCCGTCAATAATATTCGTTTCTACAGTAATTTATATATAATTTCGAATCTTGGAAACAATTTTTCATGATTATTGGTCTTTAGGCCAAACATGTATGGAAGCTGAGCAATCTCCTTTAGTTTTAAGTTTAGAGAATCATGCCAGAATCGACACTATTATTTAAGTAGGGCGAACTATCCAATTATTGTCACTTTTCAGCAACAATATAAAAAAGCTGTTTCTACAAATGGTCAAATCTAACTAGTCAATAATAGGTATTTGCTATTTTTCAACTTGATGAACGAGGATTTTTTTTATCCAGTTTATTATTCGACATAGCTTCATTTCAAAACTTTCCAATCCAATTACTTCGTCACCAAGACATAATAAATGATATTGAAATGTTAAATTTACATTGATTTGATTTGCATAATTCAGTTTTTTATAGTACTTTATGTGTATCCCACACGTTAAGTATGGTACCAATTTATAATGCCATTTCACGCTTGACAGTTCTTTATTCAGCACACACAGCTCAGACATTTCTATGGTAAACAAATACGCAATACCACACACACCATTTTTTTTTATGGATAGGTCCAGTAAGGAAAGACTGCGATAGGTAGGTTCAGAGAGAGGAAAATATATATTTTTCTTTTTTACCCCAGCATATGAAACATAATTGTCTGGAGTTCGGTGATTAGGATATAAATAAAAAAAAAATTTTTCAATAACAAAGTGGGGGGGGGGGGTCATAGTTGTCAGTTTTAGAACTTTTTTGTTACGGGGTTTCAAAATCGATACTATATAGTTAGGAATGTGAAATTTTGATATATATGATGTCCAATATGCTGTATTACTGCAACAAATACTGAAAACGCCGATTCATTATGTACTTTTTAAGTTGTGACGAAAACACAAACGATTTTGCCTTTCGCGGTTTCTTGTACGGAACCCTTAGTGCGCCAGTCGGACTCGCATTCGTCCGGATTTTTTATTGTAAATATGTTATCCAAAAATAAAGGTCCTATGTATAGTTTTATTAAATTCAATTTGTTTTATTGTTTTCTCTAATCTTAGTTACTTAACTAAAGTGTATATCATTCATGACTATCGATTGCTACAAAGCAATGACGTATAATAATATAGACAGGTTATACGCCAATATTATTTATTTAATTCTTCACACACACACATGTGTGGGATGGTGGGTGTGAGGGATGCGTGTGCAGCTCTTTCCGACGAGCATGAAAATTGGAGGGTAATGCGGCGAAGGCTGAAACGCTATGAGCGTCACACGCGACATATATATATATATATACACATACACAGTCAGGTCATAAATTATGTCACATGTTTAATATAAAATAATTGAAACAAGTTTATTCATTATGTAACCATTTATATACCAAAATGAACTTAACAAAACATAGATTCTTATGACAATAAAGTTTATTCAAAATGACCTCCGTGATTTTGAATACAGGCCTTCAATCTGCGCGGCCAGTCTATCGCAGCACGAACGAGGTCCATGTCAATATCGGCGGCTGCCTTAATCAAGGATGTCTTGAGTGACTCCAAATTGGGATGAGGCTTTGAGCACGCCTTTTCCTCCAAGAGTATATATATATATGAGTAATGCGTGCGCTGTTCCATTCCGCTATGCCTTATGCTCCCCCCTAATGTTAGGTTATTTAAGAAAAGAAGTTTCACAACAAACATGTTGTCCGTGCCCACAATTTTTTTTATTCATCTACAGCACGCGAAATATTTTTTAATAAAATTGTTATTAAACAATCAGATCATAATATCAAGAAGTTTCGGTGGTTTGGTAGAAAGGTAAGCTGCGACTCGGGCGGCCCGGGTTCGATTCCCAGCCAAGGCAGGACTTTTTTTTATCAATGAATTAAGACTCACTGGCACCGTGCTTTCATCAAACCAAACGGTGCCGGTAACGTTGCACGGTATGCATACTACCGCGCTATCAGGATTTTTGACGTGACAACGTCTTAAATTAGGTTGCGGCTGGGAGTCACTTATGAAAAAGTGTAACGCTCGGTAACGTTACGATGAGTCTCTCGTGTTAAGTTTAAGTTTACATGTACAATGTTTTAGTAAACAAAATATATTTCTATAGTTAAAATTTGTGCAATTCTTATTTTCATTCAATTCCTTGTTCCTATTGTGCAATTTAATTATATTCATATCAATAAATATTCTACCGAGAAAAAGACGTTGTCACGTAAAATCTTCGCCCGTAAAACCGACTTTACAGGCAACCATTTTTGTGGCTATAGCTATAGCTTATGATTTAATTTTGTTATTTGTGACCGCCCGTCGCCGCCGAAGGTTTTCAAATACCTTGCGCTTTTTGTATCGTTAATAACAATATTAAAGAAAATGAGCATTTAAAACCTTTAGCAGTCAGAAATAAAAAATAAATCATAAGTTATAGCAATAGCCAGGTCCCCTGGAAAAGACTGCTCAAAAAAGAGTAATGTATTCAGTTCATTTCATCATTAGTGAAATTTCTTAACGCATATTGACTTGGAGGCTAAATGCAACGCTGGCGAATGCGTTACGCGTTATGAAAAGTGTGTTCGGGCGTGGCGAGCGGGAGTTGAGTGGGGGATATAAGCAAGAGAAAGCAGTGAGCGCGCACATTTCCTTATCTCTTTCTCTTATAGCTAGTAAGTGAAATACGTATATGTACATATATGTATATATTGTACATACGTAATATATATATATTACATACTATAGATGGAGCTAAAGGAGTTTCACTTCAGTCGTGTGGTCATAAGCACACTCGTTTTTTTATTCCACAGATTTCACCATAACTTCTAAACGCCTGAACCGATTTAGAAGTTTGTGATATCGTTATAATCCTTTTTCTAAACTGTTAAAATTGAAATACCAGCAAAATGTCAATTATTTATGAAGTAGTTTCCTCGGTAGATAATAATATGCAAACTCCACAGTCTATATTTTTCTTCAGTAAATTCGCTGTAAATAGTGATAAATATGTCAATGCGATCACAATGGGGATAAAAGGGTTGCGACGAATCCGTCATTGAAAACACACAAAATTACAATAAATAAATATAAAAAATAATCTTTAATTTCTAATCATCTATCTATATCTTTACATACACTTATATATGTACATCTGTATACTTACATCACAATATAACAAATACAGTTACAGTCACACCAACGCTTGTATAATGAGACATAGGAGAGTTACGATAATACTGCTTTTAATGAGGTACGACGAGCTGGGGTCTTCGCACTCGTCGTTTTGTTCGACTCTAATGAAGTACGGCTGGTGAAGTTCCTCTCTAGTAGCCATGAAATTGTTGATGGCTGACTGAGCTGAGTCTGGCAGGTTTCGAGTGCGGCTGAGTTTGACCGCGACCACTGCACGAGAAAAAAATATATGAATTTGAAGAATCTCTTTCTAGAAGCTAATTCCTCTAAGGTTCTGGGTGGCTGTGACTGACTGACTCCCCCATAGGACACTCTCCACTAGGGTCCCTTATACCCGCATGCATTATATTATATTTATTATATGATAATTCCTAATCATCATCGTCATCAGCCTATTAATGTCCACTGCTGGAGCATAGGCCTTCCCTATGGATGGAATAGGAAGATTGGGCCATGACCCACCACGCGGGCCCAGTGCGGACTGGTGGGTGCTGATGACTGCAGATGCAGCCGGGACCAACGGCTTAACGTGCCTTCCCAAGCTCGAGCTCGAGGTCAAGATAGTAAATTTTTGGTCACCCATCCAATGATCGACAACTGCGAAAGTTGCTTAACGATCGCAGCCGAATTTAAGTTTTGACTTTAAATGGTTTTGACGGCTCCGAGCAGAAAATAAATGTACCTAACATTGAGCAGAAGGTTTTTGTGCAGTTTTGAAGCTAATTTATTAACCATCATCGTGTGTCTATTACAATATGTACCTAATCATTCCCAATCTAACTTTATTAAATTTTTGCTACGGACCGTTGAAATAACGCTAAGTGGGGCGATAGATGTGCCTGGAAGTGTATAAGATATAATACCTACTATAACTTGCTTAATATGCGAGAGAAAAGATAAGTTATTTGAGTTTATTGCTCGGACGAGTTTTCTCGTAATCAATTCGACCGATTTTATTAATAATTTGTCCTAATATGGTTATGACTCATTTCTGTGTCCTACTATTCGTAAGTGGAATTCTTTGCCCGCGCACGTGTTCCCTCCTTCCTACAATCTGGGGTCTTTTCACTCAACAGTCCACGGCAACTGTAGCTGCCGGTCGCAGAAAAACCTCAACAGTCCGCGGCAGTTGTAGCTGCCAATATCAAATTTCCGCGCCGCTCGCTCTTTTGTTTTTGAATTTCGCCTAAGAGAGGCGTGAAGAAGCATTTTTACGGCCGGCAAGGTGAGGATGGTTGGTGTAACTGCTGCACCAGCTATCTTCGCGTTTAAACTTTATCACCGCTTAACATCAGGTAGGGTAGAGTCATTTGCCTACCTGGCTATAAAAAAAAATAAAAATAATAAACAAAGCAAAATCTTGTTTAGAACTTACCAACTCTATGGTATTGATCGACGTTCTCGCAAGTGTACACCAAAGAGTAACTGGCGTAGTCTGTGGTCAACACGTGGAGATCGGTTGTGGTCACGGCTGAAATGTAAAAAAAATAATTAACATCTTAATATGATTACTCTTAATAAGTCGATTTATTTACAGTAATTAATGGTTTTTGTGGGAGTTAATAGAAAGTCACAGCTGAGAAAAGGGATTTATCACGGGGCTGCAAATCTTATGAATCCCCGGGGCGAAAGATTTAATAATATGACCTCTAAGATTAATACGAAAAGGGAAGATACGGCACTCGCGGCTCAAAAGTGATTCGCTTAAATTGTGGTGCATGACCACAATTCGCTTTAGTCACAATTGTACATTCAAACACGCTGCATGTGCACTTAATATAACAATATTGCGTATTATTAAGAACACAAATAGTTCAAGATTAAATAACAGATGTCACGGCAACCCTTTTCATTCGTAAAACTATGAATACATTTTTTTTCCTTAAAATCACGGTTTTTCATGAATGTTATTTACTTTTTCGCCATTTGTTATCATGAAAAGGACCATAATACCTACAGCTCTCGGCCGTTTGTAGAGAGAGAGAAAAGAAAACGGTCACCAAGCCAAGCGACGCGGACTCGCCGTTTTGCTTGCGCTGCGTTATTTACAGAAGTGCTTGCGTGAGAGTTGCTTATGAAGTTGAGTCGGAGCATATCCTTTTTGATGCTAAGTAGTATGAGTAGTGGTGGGGCAAGACCTAAATTTGATGTGGGCAAGACAGATTTCGCGAGGCCCTGTTCTGTGGCGACCTGAAGACGGATTTTGTAAAATACTAAAAAAAAGAAATTCGCTTTTAAGCAATGTATAAAAATTTGTGAGGTGCGAGGCCCCTTGTACCGCGAGGCCGTAGGCGGTGGCCCACGTCGCCCACGCCTTACGCCGCCTCTGAGTATGAGCGTACCGTATTTTCCCTTTTTGTTTTAATCTAAGTATGACCTCTATAATATGACATCTAGTTCCTGTATACCTACAGTAATGTACTTGCAGTTCTCATACTTCATATGCAGTGGCGTAGCGTGGACTAATATAGACTTGGGTAAAATCGTAACAGCGAGGCCCTATTTTTTTAGTTTTGAAGATCTACCTACCCATTAAATCTATATTACCAAACATGGTTTACCAGTTCTTCTACCAAGAGGAACTTTTAACTTCAACATCATCATCAGCCTATTATCGTCCCCACTGATGGGGCACAGCCTTCCCTATGGATGGAATAGGGAGATTGGGCCATGACCCATCACGCGGGCCCAGTGTGGATTGGCGGGTGCTAACGACAGCAGATGCAGACGGGATTAACGGCTTAATTTGAATTCCGAAGCACGGAGGAACTTGAGATAGAAGATTTTTGGTCACCCATCCAATGACCGTCCTCTGCGAAAGTTGCTTAACTTCACTTAATGCGGACACGTCCGGACTAATCCGGACGGATGGTAACCCTAGGCGGGATAGAGTAAAATTCCACTCACCTTCGGGGTTCTCAGGGTCAGGTCGCAGCACAACAGTGAGTACTGCGGATCCGTTGCGAAGTGTTGCTTCTCCTTCTATCGTATTAAAAGTTCCGTTGTTTGTCTCCCAGTTAAGCACGTGCGCTGTGTCATCGCCGCGAGACGTGTATCTGGTCCCTATGCAGGTGCTTTCTGCACTTATTTCGGGGTACGGATACCGTTCAATCTGGTACCAGGTGCCCAAGTACTGTGGTGGAAAAAAATAAAAGACTCAGATAAGCGAACAGACGAAAATAAGTAAATAAACAAAGACTCAGTTAAACGTATAGACGAAAATAAAACAAGTTTCAACGGTATAGATGCACTGATGTTTGAGCTTTTATTGAACGCTCAATAAAAGGCTTTCGAAGGTAGCTCGACAAAGTAAATAAAATCATAATTCTGACGACGCGGCCTGAAAATGCTGCGAAATGTCATAAATAAATAATTCAGTGCCTACAGTTGAAACTTGTTTTATTTGATGAGTGTTGTGCGTGAAAACCTAAGAAACGAAAGGACGAAAGTTTCTGTCAAGTGGTTAAATTAATCATTAGTGGTTTGCGAGCCGCAGCTTTGTTGATGACATTGTAGCTAACGACCTCGTACTATATTTATGTTTAGTGTAGGTATAATTCATGAATAATACGATTAATAAAATTAAAACATGTAATTTTCTTATGTGGTGGTTTCAACAACGATCTATTTTTCTAGCCTTTGCTGGTAGGTGCTAAAATCCTTTAAGTTATTTATAAAAATGTTGTTTAATTCAAAGAAAGCAGATAAGCAGCAAAGGCAGCAAGCAACTAGTGCTATAAATGGCATCATTTGAGTAATTTTTATTTTATTCATCTAATTATATGGAACTTAAGCCTTTTTAAGTAGCTCTATAACGCACGCAGAGCTAAATAATTATTTATTTATTTTAAACTTTATTGACCAAAATATATAACAATGGTACAAAAGGCGGACTTATTGCTAAAAGCATTCTCTCCCAGTCAACCTTTGGGAAAAATGAAAAACACGAACAGCGGTATAAAGCTAAATACGAATATATGTACAAAAAAAGATAGATACATATATAAATACATACCATAAAAATAAATAATACATACAAACATAACACACAAATATTTTAATATATAAATAGTATATAGATATATATAATATATATATGATGATTAAAAAGAGACACTTCATCTTAAATTTTGCAACAAATGAGCGTGAACATTCCAATTTAAGCTCAGTCTTAGAATAATAACGCTTCAGTATTATTATGAATTTACGTTGGTTAGGTCTAATGGCCTGCGCAGACGAGTTATTTTTTTGTCTGTGAACTTTTATCCGCCGAAATAGATCGCTTAGAACTACATCGAGTAACGCAAGCAAGAAATTAACAGTCATTCGTACAAAAAGTCCCTCCAACAACCAAGAACACTGAGATACCGGACAGGACAAAAGTACTTTTTTTCACGATTCACAGACTTTTGTCTGTGACGGACAAAAGTCCCTCGTCTGCGAAGGTTGTAATACACAAAATAAAATAATAGCTATTCCTACACGAACAAAGAAATTTGGTGACTCATTTCTTTGTCGTACTATTCGTAAGTGGAATTCGTTGCCCGCGCACGTGTTCCCTCCTTCCTACAATCTGGGGTCCTTTATGAGAGGCGTGAAGAAGCATTTTTGCCGGCCGGCAAGGTGACGGTGGTTACAAAAAAAAAGAAATAAAACCTACTATAAAAGGAATAAGCTATTTGAACATTATGTTCTAAAATCAAATCAAATAGCGCGCGCTTTCGCGACTTCCTGTTACACACTTCCGTCCCATTTCACGAAATCACTCCCACAAATTGCAGGAAAGCGAGAACAAAGATATTGCACATCAAAAAAATCATGATCATTCAAATATGAACTATATTAACATGAAACTAGGAAACAAAGTACACTTACGCTTGTCAAATCGAAGTCTTGTTGCGTCGGTATGTTGTCATCACACTGTCCAGGTATAACGACCGATTGGCCGTCTTGCTGCGGGTAGTAGAAGCACGCGGCGTCAGTCTGACTCACAGCAACGAACATATTGTCGTACAGGAGATCGTTGTTGGCTATTACGGGCGCTAACGCAGTCTCCGCTCCAGCGCTGAGAGATCTGGTACTGCTGTGCTTAGCGCTCCAAACTAAGAGAATGAAATATATTTTTTAAGGCCAAACAGTAGTAGTTACAGTACAATAAGCTAATGAGGAGAATTACATTGAAGAGAAACTAAGAACACTGTTTAAGTTGCCACAACATGCTTAAAATAATGTAAGAAACACACCGAAACGATGGGTACAGCATACCTAACAACAATTTTTTCGATTATGGAGCGTTTTTGAACTATAAGGCGGAAATATATTTGACTGTCGTGTTGTGGCGTGACGCGACAGACCCCTTGTTTACATTAAAGTTAAAAGGGACAATGGTGTCGATTCTAGCATGATTCTCTAAACCTAAACTTAAATTTGACAGCAGTAGATCCTTGTCGTTCTCTTTACAGAATGAAAAGGAGAGACTTATGTTAAATTTAGTTTTAAGTTTAGAGAATCACGCCAGAATTGGCACAATTGTATAAAATTTGTTAACATGTATTATATGTTAACATATACCTTGTCTTAATGTTTTGCTCTTTCAATACATGTATTATATATGTAGTTTACAAGAATAACATCAATAAAGTTTTTTTTTAACATTTACAACAAATATTCTACAAGTTTTGTGAAAAACTAGTATATGACTTGTTTCTTGGTGTAAACGAGGGGAGAGATGTATCGGTTTCATACATTCAGTACGGTTAGAACAGCGTTGCCAGTTTTTTTTTGCCAACTCGGGATTGAGGAACTTTTTTACTGCATAAAGCGGGATTCTTTCGTCGAAAGCGGGACATAGTAAAAAAACGTATATAATCAAAAGTTTATTAATATTTTTCTTTTTATTTGAGTTACAGTTACGTTTACGTGACAATAGATAGGTACCTAGTAAAAATATCCATAGAAAATGTATTTAAATCAGATTTACCCTACCGTTAAATAGTTGAGTATTTGTTTGAGAGTTCATCATTACGCGCCGGGGAGGTGGTCAGTTCACACTTGTCTATGCCACCCTCTCGCGCCTTCTTAGTAAGCTGCTCGCGCGGTCGAGTTATTCCCGAGAAGCGGAATTGAGCCTGTCACGCGCGGGACATTTAATTATGATTTAAAAATCGGGACGTTCCGCCAAATTATATTTGTATGTCGCGATTAGATGTATGAAACCGATAGGTGACCTCTCTGACGCCTCACAACACAACACGACAGATACGAGTAAATATATTTCCGGATTAACTTAAACATTTATGATTGGTATATGTAACATTAAAATTAAAAATCATTAGTGGTTCGGGGCACCAGAAGATAGAAATTTTTTGGTCACCGAAGTTATAACCAGCCATTGCGAAAGTTGCTTAACTTTGATGATCGCAGGCCCAAACGCGCTAACCATATAGGTAGTACGCCATCGAGTTCCTAATTAGACTTATGTTCATAAGACTTTATTCATACATGATGATGTATATCATCCTATTAACTTAATCCATTAGATTTCATTCTTTCATCATCAGTCTATTCATGTCTCCACTGCTGGGGCACAGCCCTTCTCTATGCATAGAATAGGGAGATTGGGCGCTGACCCACCATGCGAGCCAACTGCGGATTGGTGGGTGCTAACGAATGCATATGCAGTCGGAACCAACGGCTTCACGTGTCTTCCGAAGCACGGAGGAGCTTGAGATAGTAAACTTTTGGTCACCCATCCAATGACCGACCACTGCGAAAGTTGCTAAACTACAACGATCGCTGCCGAATGCGCTAACTCGAGGAAATAAATAAAGAAAATTATTTCCTAGGTCCTCTTGCAGTAATTTTGCTAAATCTCAATTTAACTAATGGCATCGCTTCTGGCATGATCCTCTAAACTTAAAACTAAATTTTATATCAGTCTCTCCTTTTTATTATTTTTTAGAATGAAAAGGATGGACTGTTGTCAAAAAGTTTAAGTTTAGAGAATCATACCAGAATCGAAACCAATACTAAAAAACCAAGCTTAATCTGTAGCCCATACAATAATGTCAAATTGACATTGACGCATGACGTTTTGCCATTTCCTCTCTATAGGAATAGCTCTAGTTTTGGTTGAATCGAGTTTAGCAAATTTGCTGCAAGTGGACCTAAGACTTACCTCTCATATATTCGTCGTCAATATCTTCGCACGCGAGTAGAAGTGAGTAAGAGTCGTAATCCGTTGCCAGAACCCACACAGCTGTAAATTTAAAAAAGTAAACCTTTAATTTATTTTTTTAAATGGATGTGTATGGCGTAGTAGATGACCTTTACAGCATTACCGGGGTTTAGAGACGGCGAGATCCTAAAGGGTCCTCAAGCCGAGAATTGGCAAATGCCTCTAGAGGTATTCCAGGCGGATGGCATCTCCTCCCGGGGAAGTTTCCTCTCCATCTGGAGCTTCTAGACCACACCTTTAATTCCACTAAGCTTTTGGGCAAGTTTTAGATTATTTCGCTGTGCATTAAGTACCACAGAAATAAAATACAGTTTAAGATATTTTGCTGTGCATTGTCAGAGGAATTAATAAGCGGGAGTGCTACATGTGCACACATGTGCACTGATTTTTGTGAATAATAGAAACATGAGTCAAATAGGCTTCTCATACAAATTTTCGTTCCTTATTGCACTCTTTAAAATTAAAATTTCGAAGAAAGCGTAGCCTATATCACCCCTCCAGTCATATCTATGTTTATGCCAAAATTCAAGGCAAACACTACGCGAAAGTGTGTCTCTATGTCTTTCTGTCTGCCTGTTACCTCATCAGGATTAAATCACAGAACCGATTAAGATGAACTTTGGTATTGAGCCAGTTTGGGTCCCGGAAAAGGACGTACAACTTTAATCACTGAAATTATTCTTTGAGAGGGTGGAAAGTTCTATGGGAAACCAATTTTACCTCGCAGACGAAGTCGTTAGTTGTTTTATATTATGTAAGGTTGTTGAGATACTTGCTTTCTGTTAATCCATTTGCGTAGGTCCTGTTTATTCGTCCATTTGCACTCATGGTGATGCCGAACAGTCTGCCTTCAAACGTGATGGTGTTGCCAGTAGATTGGTTGCGAGTCATTGTTTTATATTATGAAAAGATATTGGGATACTTCCTTTCTGTAGTTCCATCTGCGTAGGTCCTGTTTATTCGTCCATTGGCACTCATGGTGATGCCGAACAGTCTGCCTTTAAACGTGATGGTGTTGCCAGTAGATTGGTAGAGAGTCATTATTTTATATTATGTAAGAATATTGGGATACTTACTTTCCGTATTTCCATCAGCGTAGGTCCTATTTATTCTACACTACTGCCTTCAAACGTGATGGAGTTGCCAGTTGATTGGAAGCGATTTATTTTTTTATATAACGTAAAGATATTGGGATACTTGCTTTCTGTGGTTCCATCAGCGTAGGTCCTGTCTATACGTCCATTGGCATTCATAGTAGCAGTTCCAGTGGTTACTCTGCCATCGTTGATGCCGAAAACTCTGGTGCCTTCAAACGTGATGGTGTTGCCAGTAGATTGGTAGCGAGTACTGACGCAGTTGCCGCCGTTTACGTCTGAAGGGTACCTCTTGATTTCGTGCCAACGTTTGTTCAAATACTGTCGGGAGAGTTTGAATTGTTACATTTTGTAGGCAGTAAAGTTTCATTTTCGGTACTAAAATCGGTAATAGAAATTTTATAAAATTATTTTAGTTCTATTCCAGCCTGCTACCAGGGGGCCAATCGCCTAACGGAAATTCTTTGGGAAACGCTAACGCTTACGATTTTATATTGTTATTTCTAGCCGCCTGAGGTTGTCGAATACCTCACGCTCATTTTTTTTAATATTGTTATTACCAATGCAAAAGAGAAAGAAACAGCGCGAGGCATTTGAATACCTCAGGCGGCTAGAAATAACAAAATAAAATCGTAAGCGTTAGCGTTTTCCAAAGCATTTCCGTTAGGCGATTGGCCCCCTGGGATGAGTTGAATGTTTTTCGATTAAAATTAGATATATTCTACTCATATTGCATTGCATTTCAGGATTACGACAACGCACTATGATGTTTTCTATTATTTATTGAAAATCACGTACATTGAAAATCTTATATATACATTAGAGAACAGAGGAAGAGCTCTGTTCTGTAACGATTACAAATAGTTCGCACTCTTTGAGGTTCAAGGAATGGTCCTTTTAAACACAAAAAGTACATTCTTTATGAGGTTCAAAGTTCTGGGAGCTTTCCGTGAGCCATTCGCAGCGCCGCCTGAAATGCACCGCCTGGTCGGGCACATAGAAGCAATCCTCGTCGCTTTGGCTGGTCGGTTCGTAGTAATCTTCTAGGAGACCCCGGGGTCACGTCGACTACTTTGTTAGAATGTTCCCGTAAAATACAAAAGGAACTAACAAAGTTCTAGAATGTTCCCGTAAAACACAAAAAGTACTCACTCTCTGAGGCTCAAAGTTCTGGAAGGTTCCCGTGAACCGTTCGCAACGCCCCCTGAACTGCATCGCCTGGTCGGGCACAAACTCGGGCACATAGAAGCAATCCTCGTAGCTGTGGCTGGTCGGCTCGTAGGAATTTTCTAGGAGACCCCGAGTCGCGTCGACTACTTTGTTAGAATGTTTCCGTAAAATACAAAAGGAACTAACAAAGTTCTGGACTGTTCCCGTAAAACACAAAAAGTACTCACTCTTTGAAGCTCAAAGTTCTGGAAGGTTCCCGTGAACCGTTCGCAGCTTTCTCTGTAATGCACCGCCTGGTTGGGCACATAGAAGCAATCCTCGTCGCTTTGGCTGGTCGGTTCGTAGTAATCTTCTAGGAGACCCCGGGGTCACGTCGACTACTTTGTTAGAATGTTCCCGTAAAATACAAAAGGAACTAACAAAGTTCTAGAATGTTCCCGTAAAACACAAAAAGTACTCACTCTCTGAGGCTCAAAGTTCTGGAAGGTTCCCGTGAACCGTTCGCAACGCCCCCTGAACTGCATCGCCTGGTCGGGCACAAACTCGGGCACATAGAAGCAATCCTCGTCGCTTTGGCTGGTCGGCTCGTAGTAATCTTCTAGCAGACCCCGGGTGACGTTGATTACGTTGTTGATGGCAGTATTGGCGTCCGGAGTGAGAGATTTGGTCCGGCTGAGCTTCCAACTGAACACTGTGACGTAATAGAAACTCGTTATCAAAGTGGAATAGCTAATAGCATAAAAAGCAAAGATAGAATTCGTCGGTTCGTTAAATTCTCAAGAAGATTTGTTTTTTTTTTTACTTTTTTTAGAATTACTTAAACTTTGGGAGGATAAAATAAAGATGAAGAAGAGTCATACTTTTAAGCAGGTACCTAAATTTGTTACTTTTAAGACCACAATGGTATCGATTCTGGCATGATTCTCTAACCTTAAAACATAATTTAAGATCAGATCAGTCCTTATCATTCTGTATAGAGAATGACACGGACACTAATTTAATTTTAGTTCTAGAGAATCGAGGAAAATTCTTAATTTTTTGAAGTCTCGTCTAAAGCTAAGATCAAATAAAAATGTTCTGATGAAGATCAATTAAATATTAAGATGATTTTGTTTGTTTTTGTGTTGATTAGAAATATGAGCGTGCAAAATGTTTCTCGCAAATGCAATTAGGTACAAGTAGGATGAAGAAAATATTATATTAATAGCTATTTACCTTCACGTCTTCCGTCATTCAAGTCTCGGCAGCTATAAACCAGTGAGTAGCTGGTGTAGTCAGTGTCGAGTATATGGTAAGTGGCAGTGCGTGAAACTGGAACAAATTGATTGGCGTTATGAAACACAAGTGAACGATGTCACTACAGCTACTTGTTTTATTTAAACAGTTCATATAGATGTACTTGAGGGTAGATTGTTCTACCCCCAAGTACTGGCCAGCTAATAGGACAACTGGGCCTTTCGTTGATATTTTTAGTTTAAAGTTTGCACAATAATAATAACACCAGAATAACGGAGTGGGGGCTGACTTGGAAATCGCGATATTTTTAGCCAATCTGACAGAATCCAGTTTCATCGCCCCATAAATTTAAGCACCTTTAATTGCCCTAAGCTATATTCTAGTGCTTGGCGATATGATTATCTACTCAATGGTTATTAAATTTGTCAAATGAATTACATTAACATAATATATTTATCATTTAATTGGCTAATAATAACTAAATTTATATAACTAACCACAAAAAATTGACAATGGGTAGGCTTAAAACCAGCTGCGCTGTGCCTATTCCTATTATATATTAGTTATATATAATTATGTTATACGATATCAATATAAAGCACTTATATTTGTATTTATGACTAATAATACTTATGTAACCATGAAGAAACCAGGAAGATGGCTGGTGTGGCAAATAAAACTGCTGTACAATAGTACCTTCGCGCCTGGACTCGCCACTTAACATAAGGTGATGTGGAGTCATTTGAAGGACTTATTTTATGGAAATCTCCATGTCTCGACTCCACCGTTACTTAATATAAGGTGGGGTCTGTCGAACGTTTCTATATAGAAAAATGTAGGACCTATATTTGTTAAATTCTTACCTCCGCCAACGACAAAGGTGACGAAGAGTATTCCACTGCCGTCAGTAGAAGCGACGGCTGCAAATCCGACCTGAGATAGTAGAGTCCTGTTCACCACCTGAGTGTTGGTGACGTCAACCACGCCGTTCCCGGGGGAGTAATGCGCGCGACTACATTCGCCGAATTGGTTAGGATCGGGGTAGCTGGAAATCTCGAACCAACGTCCGAGATACTGGTGGAATAACAAATGTTTATGTTAATTTGATTATTGCCTTGCAGTCTTAGATTAAAACAAAAAGGGAAGATACGGCACTCGCGGCTCAAAATTGATCCGCTTAGGTAAATTGTGGTGCATGACCATAATTCGCTTTAGTCACAACTGGACATTCAAAAACGCTGCATCTGCACTCAATATAACAATGTTGCGTATATTCTGTGTTATGAAGATGAAACAATGCCTTCGATGCTTTTATAAAGAACACAAATAGTTCAAAATCAAATAACAAATGCTTCGGCAACACTTTTTATTCGTAAAACTATACTAACTATAAAAACATTTTTTTCTCCAAAATCACGGTTTGTCGTGAATGTTATTTACGTAATCGCCATTTTGTTATCAAGACAAGAACAACGGTACGCTGCGTTGAAACGTATAGTTCTGTGTCGCTCGCTCGATTGAATGCTTATTATATGTAATATATACACACGTATGAGTGTGTGAGAGTTGCTTATGTAGTTGAGTGGGTATCATATTTTATCTGATGCTAGTATGAGCGTACCGTTTCTACCCTTTTTGTTTTAATCTAAGCTTTCAGCCTAGTAGTAGGGAAGTTCAACCTTTGCGATTTGTTCGCTTGCAATTAAAAAAATATCACACGCGCCGTTACCTACCCTGACCCAATCCCCTGCCCCCTGGAGCCCTGGAACCTTACTCCACGACAGAAACACAGCACCACCAAAAGGTAGTGTTATTTTACTTTGGTCTTCATCATCAAGGTGAAGGTTACTTCCCCAGACGGGCGCTCCAATTCGCAATGCCCTACCTCACTTGTATCACATAAAGGACTAGTGGCCCGCCCTCGCTTCCCTTTGGTGAAGACTTTAGTTTTTGCCCTAATATATAGCCTATGACACTGACAAATGATGTAGCTTTCTATTGCTAAAAGAATTTTCAAAATCAATTTTGTAGATTCAGTCCATGTAGCATTAGCACCCCAATTTACATTATATCATGTTTTTTATCGCGCCTAACTGTCCAAATCCATAGTAATTTGACAATTGAGCGTGATAAAAAACAGCTATATATCATATCGCGGTGTTCATGTTAACGGATCTGAGATTACCAAAGAGGTATAAGAATAGAGTAGGGGAGATATGTACTCTACTACAAGTGGAAGTGCCCGTCTAGTAGAATGAGAAAGAAGATGAGGGACGGCTAGCTATCTCTCTCTCTTGTGACGCTATGCAGTCGTGTGATTGGTCGGTATTCATCCGTAGGTTTTGCATCCAATGCGCATTCGCGAATAGAGAGAGAAAGGCTAGCCGTCTCTCACCTTCGTTCTCTTTCTATTAGACGGACACTTTTAGAGCCGCCTTCCCCACTCTATTCTTATACCTATATGGAGATTATCCCTACAACGAACGTCACAAACTTTACCTATGTTTTTAACGTTCTCTCTTTTCAGAGAAGGCAAAGGGAACAATACTCAAACAACCTTGTCTTTAGTTCAAATAATGTTCTTTTTTTCTTTAGAATGTTACTTATGTACAACACATTCTTCTTTCAGTTTCTTGGAGTGCTGGCACGAAACGTATTGAGTCAGTTTTCTCGATAAGCTTCTGTGAGGAACATACACTACAATAAAGTTCTCACGTTCACTAGACCGGAGTAGCGTATTATATTAAGAGATTCTACTAATTCTTCAGTTGCGCAGACGGTTGTAACACAAAATCACACCAATTTTATTTCTCAATATCCACTATGAACGAACTTAAGAATAATTAAAATAAGACGCCAACCGTACTCAATGAAATCCAGCCAAAAACTCTCTATAGGTACTTATTTTTAAAATAGTATAAAAATACATATTTAAAAAGGTTTGTTTAAACTTACCATTGCTGCGTTGAAGTTCGGAACGCCACTGAGGGTTTCGCAGCTGCCGGGCAGTATGATACTACTCTGCTGGCCGTCAAACACTGGGTAATAGAAACAGGCGTCGCTATCCTGCCCGGTGCGCTCGTAATATTTGAAGAACAGGTCACGGCGTTCGTTGACAATCACGTCAATATTCGTGTTCGCGTTCTGAGAGAGTCCTGATTGGCTACGGCTCAGTTTCCAACTGTACACTGTGGATAAAGGATGTTTTCTTAGAAAATGCACTCATGCTCAGTGTTGCCGCACACGGGCCACACGCCACAGCCACAAACGCCGCCACGAGAAGCTAGAAGCGGCTACTAAAGTGGCTGAAGTGCGTGACAGCGGCCGCCTAAGGTAAGGGAGAGAGGGGTGGGGAATCGCGCGAGTGACGTGTGGCGGCGTTTTGTATCGGCGCATTAAGTGGCCGGTGCGGGCCACAAGAAGCGAGCAACGACGATTTGTAGCGTATGGCGGCCACCGGCGTACCGTGTTTGGCGAGTCCATATAAAATGTATGAAAACTACAAGAAATATGCAGGTGGCGGCGTTTTGTGGTTGTGGTCGGTGGCCCGTGTGCGGCGACACGTAATAATAAACAAAGAATATGCTTGGATTGGTACTCGTTACTCCATGTAATTTCTCTGTTCATCGAATGACAAGACAAATGGCATTTGAGTGATATGAACAAAACATGGCGTAACTAATGTACTAACTAGTCTAAGCTTATTCCTGGTTTATTAATAAAGGGGATGGGTTATATAATTTATTTTATTCATAATCGCTAACGTATTAACATCATTACTGATGGGGTACAAGTCTGCAATAACGAGTAATGACCCAATTGAGGCCAAGTAGCTAACGACTGCAGATGCAGCCGGGACCTACGGCTTAATATGCCTGCCGAAGCACGGAGGAGTAGGAGATATTAAGTTGTTTGGTCACCCATCCAATAACTGGCCATTGCGGAAGTTGCTTAACTTTCACGATCTCAGACCGATCGCGCTCACCACTTGCGCCATCGAGACTCTTATCTGAATAATCATTATCATTAGCAATATACTAACCCACTCATCCCCACTGATGGGGCACACCTAGGAGAATGGGTCATGACGCACCACGCGGGCCAAGTACGGATTGGTGTTTGTTAAGGACTGCAGATGCAACCGGGACCAAGGGCTCAACGTGCCTTCCGAAGCACGGAGGAGCTCTAGATGATATTTTTTTAATGAATGAAATGGTAATGATAACTTGATGTTAACACTTACCTTGCTTCCTTTCACTGTCGACATTTCTGCAGCTATATAGAAGAGCATAATCTTCATAGTCAGTATCAAGGACGAAGACATTGCCAATGATGGTAGCTAATAAAGAAAAATACACTTCATAATTAATAATAATAATTATCTATTAATATTTAAAAATGTAATTAATATGGTATATAATGTATAAAGAGAATAATAATGTGAAATGTCACTGCAGGAGTTAAAATTTCATTGGTTGATGCACATTTCGACATTTATGGAACTTTTTACAAATCAGTATTGAATCACCTAACGTCTTAATACCAAAAGAAAGTGGTGTAAAATTTCATAATTTATTATTTTTATTGATTATTGTAATGTACAAGTAAGAATATGTAAAATTAATTGTATTATTGAATGTAATTCATATTATTCATAAGTTATTGATTTTTGTAATTTATATACCAGGCCACACAGAAAGTTTTGCGAAAAAAGTTTCTGGTCACTTGTAATTATTTCGAAAACTTCGATTATTTAAAAGTAAAAATAACACTGTTCGATTTTCAAATTTCCCTCCGCATTTTTTTGATAGCCCATTAAATTTTTCTTGTCTCATTAAAAAATGGATCTGCATTGAGAACATTTTAGTGTAAAATAAGTTGTCGCTCTTACTAATGCACGTGGAGTTAACTAGTTAATGTCTGATGCAGTTAGTTTTCTTGAGAATAATAGAAGACCAAGGTATTACTGTAAAGAGATGTTGGCTAGTCAAATAAATGAATAAATAAATTCGTGTAAACTGCAGATTTCAGTGCCATAGCCACACAGGTTGGCAAGATAACTTAGCGTGAGCAGATAAACAAAATATTTGTTTCCGTACATCAGTCATTATTTAGATCAGTAACCCTTAGTACGAGTTTTACAATAGGGTATTTGACAGTGTTAAAAATAAGTGCCAATTGTTAGCATTTGTATTTAGAATGAATATTGGCAGGGGTTTTTACTGTTTTTACAAAAAAAAATATTCATAATTTTACTAAAAACCAACGAAAAAGATAATAGTTTTCTTATCTATTGTCACGTGACCCAAAACGCTTGGGATTGGCGGAGCCTAAAATGACGTCACACCCAAGTAAACTTCCGGTTAAAGTGACATTACATTGTATCCTTTGACGTTTTAATAACAGTCGTGTGACGTCATACACTAGTGAGACACCATATTGTCCAGAGAAACGTTTTCGCGGCAACTTGAAAATGGAGTTTTTGATTTGGATATTTTTACTGAAATACACAATAGAATGATGAATATTCACTTTTTACGGACTCCATAAACATTAGTCAATGACGTGAGATCGTTTTTTAAAACTTGTCAAATACCCTATTGCGAAAACTATGATAGTTTTCGTGAGCTCGCACTCGTGCTCAAGGTACTGATTTTATTGTTTTCGTTTCAATACAAATAAACAGTATTTAAATTCTATCATTTAATCATTTGCGTGTTCTTAAATTTTGAGTAAGTATATTTGGTTACTATTCACCAAAATGGACATAGAAACGTAATTTACAATTACGAAAACTATGATAGTTTTCGTGAGCTCAAACTCGTACTAAGGGTACAGCTAATGTGGAGTAGAAATGCAAGATTTTGTCTAATACAAAAGATAGGTAAAGAAAAAGGACTCATTCCCGTATTACAGAATGATAACTAAGTGTTAATCTATACTTGAGTACAGTTAGAAAGGGATGTCGCTATATGCTATGAGAGAGAGAGAGAGAGAGATTTTTTATTAACCGTTTGTTACGAGTATTACAACAACAATGAAAAAACACATAAACATTAACATAAAAAACAAAATTAAAAACTAACAAAACTATAAAAGTAAATTAATGGTTAATCAGGACCCTGCCTCAGCATGATGCTGTTGCCACACGTTACTATGCGAGTGACAACAGCGCTGGTATTTTGGCAGGGACATATATAGCGACATCCCTTTCTATCTATGCTCAAGACTAGATCAATCACTGAGAATCTTTTTATAATACGGGCCTCAGTGTTGTTGTTTAAGCGAACGGAATTTGCTACTCAAATCAAAAAAAAACACATTGAACTTACTATCTCCGTTGCTGAGGTTCACTGAAAAGACTCCCCTGTCGCCTTGATTTAGAGCCGCAATTCCGGTGAAGGTGCTAAGCCTTTCGTTGTAAATGATTCTTTTGGAAACAGCGAATCCATTCTGGTTGCTCGTGAACTCGTTCTCGACACACTCTCCGTTCTGTATGTTGGACGGGAACCTCTCGATTTCATACCAAGTGCCGTTGAACTAAAGCATAATGATAAGTCATTTAGAATAACCTTAGATAAGATCATTATTTAACATATTAAAAAAAAATCTCAAAGATGCCTGGAAATGTGAGCATTACTTTGATAACCCTTTTCGAGATAAATCAACATTTCAGTACTGGCCACATACATGCGATCAGCGACCGGCAAAAGTTGTATGAAAATCTATATCTCATGGATTTTCATACAACTTTCTTTGTCATGTTTAGCGGCAAAATAAATGACATAGTCGTGTAATTTAAAAATGGAACGATCTGTTACTCCGAAACATTGCAACCAAGGACTTATCAACGGTTTTATTAAAGTTTCGAACTGGATTGGACCAATGGACACTTTAGCATGGGAAAAAGTATTGTTGTCCCTCATTGATTTACCAGAATGCTGAAAGTTCTGCCTAGGTCTTCGCCTAGGTACTATTTAGTTTTAATTTCTGCTCATTATTTGAGAATAGTACTATACAAGCATTGATGGACTTACACACGTATGTGTGCCTCGTCCCACATTTACACGTTTGTTCATCAACGCTTCTTTTGCTGGCCGCTGCAATAATGTACTAAAACTTGAGGATGTTCTGTTACGGAGGAAGTTTTAATATGTGGACGTTCTGATACGGATGACATTTTAACATGTGCAGGTTCTGATACGAAGGACGTTTTAAGATGTGGACGTTCTAATGCGAAGGATATTTTAACATGTGCAGGTTCTGATACGAAGGATGTTTTAACATGTGCAGGTTCTGATACGGAGGACATTTTAACATGTGCAGGTTCTGATACGGAGGACATTTTAACATGTGCAGGTTCTGATACGGAGGATTTTTTAACATGTGCAGGTTCTGATACGGAGGACGTTTTAACATGTGCAGGTTCTGATACTGAAGACGTTTTAACATGTGCAGGTTCTGATACGGTGGACGTTTTAACATGTGCAGGTTCTGATACGGTGGACGTTTTAACATGTGCAGGTTCTGATACGGAGGACGTTTTAACATGTGCAGGTTCTGATACTGAAGACGTTTTAACATGTGCAGGTTCTGATACGGTGGACGTTTTAACATGTGCAGGTTCTGATACGGTGGACGTTTTAACATGTGCAGGTTCTGATACGGAGGACGTTTTAACATGTGGACGTTCTAATACGGAGGACATTTTAACATGTGCAGGTTCTGATACGGAGGACATTTCAACATGTGGACGTTTTGATACTAAACGGATTTTACGTAGACGTATTACTAGCATGTTGCTTGCAAAGTTTATGCTTAAATAAAATCTAAAGAAATAATCATTGTTTTAAACTCCACTCCGTTTACATCCAGCCTATTCATGCGGCAACTAAATAGCAGGGACTTGGCAGATCAAATGGGTAATGTGAGCATGTTAAAAAGTCCATTTCCATTGCTTTTGCTACATTAGTATTTTGGCATTACATTAGATTACTTTATAGCAACATAAACGCCAACAACAATTGGTGAGTATATTTAAAGAGAAAATCAGGACGGTCAAAAATTCAGTATATTTCGACACACGATTTATTAACAGAGGCCGGAGTGCGAGCTGTGATTTAACTTTACTTAAATTCCTTGAATTGATATTAGTTAAAAACATAAATTCTTTTATTAAGGCTCATTAAGACAACTCAAACGAGGGAGACATAACAGCCAAATATTCGGTCTTGCAATTGATTAACAGGAGAATTTCTCGTCACCATTAACTAATTATGTAGATTTATTTAAACACTTGAGGAGCTAGATGGCACAAGTGGATATCGTGTTCGGCCTTTAATCGTGGAAGTTAACCAGTTCTTGCAATGGTCGGTCATTGGATGACTGGCCAAAAATCTTAAGCCGTTGGTCTCGGCTGCATCTGCAGTCGTTAGCACCCACTAATCCGCACTGGGCCACCATGGTGAGTCTTGACCCAATCACCCTATTCCATTCTTGGGGGAGGCCTGTGCCCCTGCATTGGGGACAATAACAGGCTGATGATAATGATTTAAACACTTACTCTGTTAGAATCGAACCCGGTGACGACTACAACATCATTAGGGTTTTCACATTGTCCGTCCAGGATGACGGGGCCTCCGTTGTTGTCGGGATAGAAGAGGCAATCGTCGTCGCTGTGGCCTCGTTCTATGTAATATTTATCGAGAAGCTCCTTTACATTGCTCTGTGCGTTTGCAAAAGCAACGCTTGATTGTTCCGAGATTGCCTTTTCTCTACTGAGTTTCCAGCTGGTTACTGCAATAGTAATAAATTATAATAATAATGCTTTATTTATTTCTTCTCCTCACAATCCCATGCACAAAAATACAAACTTAATGAATTAATTAACGTCTTAATGACAAGATTGTTTAGAGACTGGTATCTGAACTAGGCCGCAGCCTGCATCTCAGAAGACCAGAACTCTCCCCTCTTTACAGTGGTACATAATAACAAAATTACATGTGCTGAAAAAATAAAATAACTATCTTAATAATGGTGAAGAGAATTATAACATCAGAATTTAATCATTTAATGTAATAGGTAGGTTAAAATATAATGTTAAGGTAATTGAAATAATGAGTAGTTTCTGGTGTCGCGTTGCTGAGAGTATGTGTGTAGGTGTGTGTGTATGTTATGTATATGTGTTTGTGTGTGTGGTTAAGTGTGTCATGTGCAAGTATGCAGAAGATCTTCAGTCTCAAAACTGTAAATTGTATTATGTTCTTTCGAAATTTAAACAGATTCTTCTTAGGCAGTGCCGTCATTGACTTATTGGAGGCCCTGGGCATATTAGGATAATGGGGCCCCTATGACTTCCGTTTGGTGATTTAACAGGAACTAGGCACTTTGTATTTGACCTAAGGGGGCCCCCTGTCGATCGCGGGGCCCTGGGCACTTGCCCAAAGTGCCCACTGGGAAAGACGGGTCTGTTCTTAGGCTTTTATACACATGCCACTTACCTCTATATCTGTCAGCTTCAATGTTTTCACAGGAATACACCAATGCGTAGTTGTCGTAATCCGTAGCTAGAACCCAGTACGGCATCGTAACGGTCTCTGTTGAAACAACAAGTTTATATTTTAGAAACAAACATTTAATTGAAAGATGTTAGTTTTTTCATATTCTCCATACAAACACTTTTGCTTCATATTCATATATTGGGGGAGCACAAAAAAAAATGCAAAATTGTATGGACAACTTTCATATCAATCAGTTGAGGATAACCAATTTAAAAATCATTTGCGAGGCGTTTTAAATTAAAAATAAAAACGCTAAGAAACATTTAGATAATCAAAAATAGATGTAAACTGTACCTACTGTAAAATAATTGAGAATTAGTAAGGCTAAGACAGGAATCTTGGTCGGTCATCGGATGGGTCACCAAAATTTTACTATCTCGAGGTTTATTGTGTTTCGGACCGCACGTTTAGCTGTTGTAATCCGCACTGAGCGGCAGTCGGGTTCATGACCCAATCTCCGTATTCCACATTAATAGACTCCTGATAAAGTTTAAGATTGGTGAAAGCTACGGAGATGTTGAATCGAGTTTTGGGCCAAGACTGTATTTTATACATCGCCATCAACCAATAAATTTCAAAAGTTTAAAGTCAAATTCAATGGAAAAATTACAGTAAACTGATTCTGGTAAGCTGTAACAAATGTTATAGTAATTTATGTTATTTACGGGATTGTTACTATGCACCTTGTTTTTAGCGAGTTTACTGTTAATAATCCCGTCAATAACACAAATTACTATAATGTTAGTGACCATGAAAGTTTAAAACAACATAGCTTACACATGGTGCTAGCTACGGGGAAGCTGACGTCGAGTTTGGCTGACCTCTTCCAACTGTTGGGCCACGTCTTGCCTATTGTATTTGCCTATATAAGTCGACCACGTCACCGTCCAGGGTGTACTCGGGCGTTACCTTGCTACAATTTTACATCTAAAGGAAGTAAAATTTTACGATTCCTGACTTACGATCCGCACCAGCTACTACAAGTTAAGTTTAAAGGAAGTGAAATTTACGATCCGTGCCAGCTAAGGAGAAGGTGACGTAGAGTTTGGCGGATCCATCGTCGCAGGCCAACACGGCGCGGATATCGCCCAACTGGTGGGCCACGACTTGCCTACTGTATTGTAGGTATTAGTCGATCACGTCACCGTTCAGGGTGTACTCTGGCGTTTCATTGCTACAATTCAAGTTTGAAGGAAGTGAAATTTACGATCGGTGCCAGCTAGAAAAGTAAAGTCAGGTAAAGTAAAGTCGAGTTTGGCGGACCATCGCTGCTGGCCAATACGGCACTGGTGCATATTTCGTCCAACTGTTGGGTCACGACTTGCCTACTGAAGTGTAAGTATATGTCGACTACGTCACCGTTCAGGGTGAACTCGGGCTTTCCATTGCTACAATTAAATTCTAAAGAAAGTAAAATCTTACGATTATTGACTTACGATTGGTGCCAGCTACGGGGAAGGTGACGTCAAGTTTGGCGGAGCCATCGTCGCTGGCCAACACGGCGGTGGCGCGGATCTCGTCCAACTGTTGGGCCACGACTTGCGTGTTGTATACGTCGACCACATCGCCGTTCAGCGTGTACTCGGCGATTGGGCACGTGCCGAATTGGAAGTTTTGTGGGAAACTCTCGATGTCATACCAGATACCTTGGTACTGGAAACGAATGAAGCCTTATTTTCGAAGAACCGTTTTCTCAATAAGCCGTTTTGCATACACAAATGACACGATACACGATAAACAAACAAACTCTTCAGCTTTATTTTTAAAATTAGTGTTAGTAAAGGTTTTAAATATTCGCAAATGATTTATGTTACAATCAATAGAGAAAATACTCACCCGAGTCGCATTGAAATTCTGGACAACGGTAACGTTTTCGCTGCACTGTCCTCTGAAGGAAATAGACTGATTATTGGGTTCTGGGTAGTAGAAGCACGCGTCTTGGGTCTGCGGGACGTGTTCGAAGTATCGATTGTCGAGAACATTGATCGTGTCCATTACTGCGTTGATCGCGACATTAGCGGTGGCTGACAGCTCTCTGTCGCGGCTCAATTTCCACGACCACACTGATGAATTAGATAACGTCAAGAATAATGTATAAAACAACAAATTATAAAGGATATGCTGCAGGCTGCCTGTCTACTGGAGCGGAGCGGAGAAGCGGAGAAATATTAACCAATAGGATATCACAAAATCTCCGCTATTCTTCAGTAGACACATTTTCTGCAATCCCATTGGTTAATGTTTCTCCGCTCCGCAACCTCGTTCCTCGATGACTCCAGTTGACAGGCAGCCTTACAAAGGCCGCTAAAACTTGGTTCCAAGCTCATACAACTAAACTTCAATACTAAAGCGACCCGCACACGTAAGTACAAAACAAATAATTTGACAAATCAAATATCTAGCAATGAATTCGGCAATCCATTCATTGGTTAAGATAATGTCATACGAAAATCCCAACCAATCCCATGATAAGCGCGTTGATCGCATTTTTTTCGCACCGCCTACTTGAACGCAGTTTGCTTGGAGCCACCGCAGGTAGTATTTCATATCATTTCTAATTCGTTGGTAAAAAATAAAAAAAAAGCGTTTTATATCCGTTCAAAAAGGGGTTCCCTTGCTGGGTTGCGAAAACACAAATGGCGCCGTACCACACGACAGATAGATATTTAATTTTATAATACACATTATCTCGCTATGATCTCCTCTATTATTCCTAACATACTGCTCGGTGAAATATAAAAAAAGTCGGGAAAGTTTATAAGCACTAAAATGGTGTTGCCATTACATTTTTTCTCGAATTTCCACACAATAAAGGGTTTTAGTTTTTCAGCATAATGATAATTAATATAATGAAAAAAAACGAGCGAGCCTTAAAGTAGTCGCGTTTGATGTATAATATTTGAAACCTAACCTTATATAATTATGTAAATATTATGTAAAAAAAGAAATAAAACCTACTACAAAAGGAATAAGCCATTTGAACATTATGTTCTAAAATCGAATCAAATAGCGCGCGCTTTCGCGACTTCCTGTTACACACTTTCCATCCCATTTCACGAAATCACTCCCACAAATTGCAAGAAATCGAGAGGAAAGACGTTACACATCAAAAACAGTACTATCATATTGAGTTTACCTTGTCGTCGTTCAGAATCTAAATTTCTGCAACTGTAGACCAACGCGTAGGAGATGTAATCCGTCGCGAGTACATAATAACGTGCTGGTACAGGAGCTGAAAATCAAAGCAGTATTAAAAATAAACTGATAGATATATAAAGTGTTATCTTTCCATATAATAAACTTTCCTACCGAAAGTCAAAACTGTACATTGAATATTTTTTCAAAAGAATACTTGGGGTGTGATCTACAATCGATACCGAAGCCAAAAATATAGTTTTTAGAATTTTTGTCTGTTTGTCTGTATGTATGTCTGGGATAAACCAAAAAGTACTGCATGGATTCACTTCAAATTTGGCACGAATATTATCAAGAAGTCGGGTCAACATATAGGCTACATTATCACGCTATCACCTACGGGGAACGAGCAGTGAACCTTTATTTCTAATTAACTCCACGCGAACGAAGTCGCGGGCGACCGCTAGGGAGAGATAAAATAAGCAAACAGTACCTAATTAACATTGACATTTGATTTGAATGCTGACGGCTAACAATGTGAGTGTGGGTTAGATGAAGGGACCCTTGAGCACATATTATTTCACTGCCCTAAAATTTCTGTTCCCCTGTATAATTTATTATCAAAAAAGGCAAGCCGCCCCATTAATATTAATTATATGCTAACCCAAGTACAATCCCCCTTAATTTATATACTGAGCAAGTTCCTGAAACAAAATAATATAAAACTTTAATTGTAGTAACACAAAAAAATCCCTCCTTTTACCCTAGTATACTATATCAATACATATATTTATCTGTTTCTCCATATTAAATGCATGGGTGCCTGGTATCACAAATGTCTGTCTATGTGTTGTTACAGATACTCAACGAGTCTGCAGTCGTCATACTGCACAACATCAACAAAACCGTACAGGCTCAGCATATACCTTGTCTCCTTTAACCCAGACATTGGCAGAATCGTCACGTAATGAGACGCAGCCATAATCACCAAAAATTGAATTGAATTGAATTGAACAATGAAGATACACATACACCAAAAAAGCTTAAGCGACACGCAGCATTTACAGAAACTGTATATTTCATTAATAATTAATGTTCAATTTTTTTATGAAAAATACATTATTATACAATCTTTTTGTTCACGTAAAAACATAATTCGTTAATTTAAAAAAAATATCTCGGTTTGTTTATAACCCCTCGTTTTCAGCAAGAAACAAGTCATATACTAGTTTTAAACAAAACTTGTTGTAGAATACCTGTTTAAAACACTCTTTCGTTTATACTGCATAGACAACTAGTATCTTATAAGTATAAATCGCGTATTTACTACACCTATTTTGTTTATCCAACAAGTTTGATGCAAGTACATGTATACTACATGTTTTATACATGTATATAAGTGTGAAATAACATTTTTAAGACATTGTATATGTTAAATACATGTTTTATACTTTGGTGTAAACAAGGGGTAATATTAAAGTATAAAATTGCAGTACTGGGCAAAAATCGTCCAAAAGTTCAAAACCCTACAACATGTTACTTAGTTTTTGACGAGTGTATTTTTGACAGGTTAGCATTTTAATTTGTGCTTACATCCTTAATCTATAATAAAAAAAAATGAATCGCTGAATGTGTTGCTAAGCGCAAACCTCGAGAACAGCTGAACCGATTTCGATAATTCTTTTTTAGAATATTCCTTGAAGTACGAGGATGGTTCTTACGCAGAGAAAAATTAAAAAAATTGCCTGAAAAAGTCCAAAAACATCAATTTTCTATACTCCCATACAAACGATTCGTAATAATACTTAAAAGTCAATTTGAACTTTAATACCATACCATAAATTTCAATTGATAGTGGAGAGGTTCCGGAAAGGCAAAACAATTGAGTGACGTGATGTCAATAGAAGTTTGGAAAAGGCAAATATACCATTTTCAGTTGTTTTTTTATAATTATATGAAGAGGCATTTTTGTCTACACTACAGCTCTACACCGAAGCGAAGCGAGGGCGGGCCACTAGTCTAATATATAAAAGTCTCATGTCACGGTGTGCATACTATTGAACTATTCCGAAACGGCTCGACCGATTTTCTCGATATGCATATTCAGTAGGTCTGAGAAATCTATTCAAGACAACATCTATTTTTCATCCCCCTAAATATTAGGGGGTCCACTCTTAAAATTATTTTTTGGACATAATTTTTGGTTTTTATTTTTTTATGATACATCATACAAAAATAAATACAACACTTAATTTTCACCTTTGTACGAGTACCACCAACCCCTATTTTTTTATGGCGGTACGAAGTTCGCTGGAACAGCTAGTAATCCATAAAAAATACTGTTATTAAACGGCTATGAAGCGTCGTTTATCGAAAATTAACTTAATTTTTTACTTTTTGGAACCTCTGCTAAACACTGGCGTCATAGGATTTGATACGAGCATCAGACGAAAAGTCTCAAATAGCAATTCAGGACTGCAAGTGCATAGTTAAAAACTCAAATTATAATAATGAATAGAGCAATCCAAATAAATCACACAAAGAAAACAGCTCATGTAGCGCGCAATGTGTGAGTGACTCTAATGTCAGATTGTCAATGTGTGCGCGTGTAGCTACAAGCTTACCTACCATATGTAGTAGATATTTTTTGTGCCGCTTTTTTGTTAATACTGTAGGGTGTATATAATAAAAGAGTGGGATTAAGTGTGGATAATAAGATTCATGTCATACTTACTGGTTGGAAAACTGACAAGCAGCAGGCCACTTCCATCGGTGGAGCCCACAACAGCGGTGCCGTTAATGGTGTCCAAGGTCTGGTTGATGACCTGAGTGTTGTACACTATCACCCCTTCCTCTGACGGGATGTAAGTGGCTTGGATACAAGTGCCGCCTTGGAATTCTGATTGGTACGTCTGTACAGATCTCCAGAGTCCGAGGTACTGAAAAATTTTCACTGTTCGTTAAGAATGAAGGTAGGAAGATTTGGACACAGCATGTAGGTATGACCTACGAAGATCGCAAGTCACTACAGTACAGAGGCCTAAGCACGAACGAATTGACAGATTCTTAATCGTATCGATATCGTCAAATTTTGTATGGAAGGAGCCAGGTTGTTCTTACGACTTAGTTTTCATAGGAACTTTGACGATGGGATGGTATTACGGAGTTGTCAAAGTTCGTACTAGGCACTAGCACGAACTCTGACCACTCGGCTAGGAACTAGGGCCATCTGAATTCAAAATTCTACAATTTAAGCGTAGCTATGGCATTTTTTTTCCTGTAATCTAAATTACACGGCACAGTGATCTGCCAAAAGTTGTTTAAATGCTTTAGTTCATAGTAGCTGTGAAATAAAGTAGATCCAACCAAAAACCTCGTGGCCAACCTTGACGATCTCATTGGCCGAGTGGTTTGTACGCCGGGTTTCATGGCTGTCGCCGACTCGAGAGGTCCCGGGTTCGAATCCCGGTGGGGGCAGATGTTTGTGTGATGAATACGAGCATTTGTACTCCAGTCATGGATGTTTAATATGTATTTATATAAATATAATTATATATGTACAGTATATGTATTCTATCCGTTACCCTAGCATCCCATAACACAAGCCTAGAGTGCTTACTTTGGGGCTAGGCTAATTGGTGTGAGTGTCAGAAATATTAAAAAAAAAAAAAATTGCCAGTCAATGGTGACGATTCTGGCTTGATTCTTTAAACTTAAACCTAAATTTAATATCAGCCTCTCCTTTTCATTGTGTACAGAGAATGACAAGGATACACTGTTGTCAAATTTGATTTGAGATTTAGTGTTAATGATGCGAGAATTAACTCCAATAGTAAGATAAATGCATACAGTGACTTACCGCATTCACGTTAAAATTGGGAACGCCAGTAATGCTATCGTTGCATTGACCTCTGAATATTACCGGATCACCAGGAGCCAAATTCGGCAAATAGAAGCAAGCGTCGTCAGACTGGTCAATCCGTTCAAAGTATTCATCACTCAGAACGTCAACTGGGTTCATAGCGTCGCTTATAATGTCTCTGGCGGCATCGGACAACGTCCGGTTACGGCTAAGCTTCCAACTGTAAACTGAAGACTATTATGAAACAAATGCAATATTCAATAAATATTTTGATCAAAATATATTTCCGAATAATGTATTTACCAGCCCTGTGGTCGTTCTCCAGATCCAAACAACTATAAGCAAGAGCGTAGCTAGAATAATCAGTGCTTAAGATCCAGTAAGGAATGACGATAACTGCAATATGAAAATGATAACTTTGTTAACATGGAAGTCACTTTCAACTCATAGTTCTGTTAAAATACATAATTATTAATATTTTGATTTTGGCACTTCAGACAGTACTCGTTTTAATACAACTTAATATTTTAGATGTAATGCAGAAGAAATAGGTACTTTTAACTCACAGAGGCTTGTTTTAATTTCTTATCGATATTTTTATGATTTGTTGCCAGTTAATCTTGTCTCGTTTAGCTTTATTAGTTTTTATTTATTTACTGATTTAGCTTCATATACTTACCCTCTCCATCAACTGTCATATTAAGGATCATTCTTGCACTGCCGTCCGTAGAACTGAAACTTACTACACCAGTGTTGACGCCTAAATTTAAATCAGAGACTTGTGTTGATTGTAGATTTAAGGCGTTTGCTGTCCCCGAGCTGAACTCATGATTGATGCATTGACCTTGCTGTTGTTCTTTCGGATACGCTTCAATTTCGTGCCATATACCTTCAAACTAAAAGAGGACAGTAATTAAATTGGTATAAAATCACATTAATTAATAAAAAAAAAATCGGCCAAGTGCGAGTCGGACTCGCGCACCGAGGGTTCCGTACAAACCTGTAGGAATATTTTAATAATTATTAAAAAATATATTATTTACTAGTGGCCCGCCCTCGCTTCGCTTCGGTGTAGAGCTGTAGTGTGTTTAGTTTTTGTTCTCAGGCTTGTGCGTAAACAATGACTTTATTTATATAATTACACGTGTTATTGTGAGTCAACCATAAAAGATAAACATATGCTGTTGCAGGATATTTTTTAGCCAATTTTATGTAGAATATTTCCGTCATACATGATTTCTATGTAACTTTAACCATTAAGGCTGCACACGCGACGGAAGCTTAAAAAATGGAGTAACTTCTCCCGTTTTCCCAACATTTCCCTTCACTACTCTGCTGCTATTTAATGTAGCGTGATGAAAAGTATACTATAACCTGCCCAGGAGTATGAAGAATAATTGTACCAAGTTTCGTTAACATCCGTCGAGTAGTTTTTGTTTCTATAAGGAACATACCCACAGACAGACAGACAGATAGACAGACAAAAATTTTACTGATTGCATTTTTGGCATCAGTATCGACCACTAATCACCCCCTGATAGTTATTTTGAAAATATATTTCATGTACAGAATTGACCTCTCTACAGATTTATTATAAGTATAGATTATCTGATGTAACTAAAAATTTACAGTTTTTGCAACCTTTTCTTTATCTGTACTATAAGACGTCACTTCGTACCAAATTTCAAGATTCTAAGTTCACGGGAAGTACCCTGTAGGTTTTGATTATCGTGTGAGTTTCGAAAATTTGCAGAAATTTGCGGCATAAACGGCTGTATCTTTTGATCGCTTTGGCTTGCAAGTTTGATTTTTTTACAGCTCCAAGGGACAGTAGACCTGAGTATTAGATATGAATTTCAGTTTGATACCCCCATGAGTTCCTGAGAAAAACGGTCTTGACAGACGGACGGACGGACAACAAAGTGATCCTATAAGGGTTCCGTTTTTCCTTTTGAGGTACGGAACCCTAAAAAGAATTGATGGCCGCTTTGATGTTTGTACGTTCATGAAGTTTTATATTATAAATTCGAAATTAGTTCTACATTTGAACTAAATAATTATACTTCTTCATTGTCATTAGAGTCGCGCATTTAGGCATACAATATACCGAATCGGTAATTTTATGGTGTAGATTATAAATGTTACAAAACTATATAAGATCATGGTCTAACTTATATTAATGTTACGAAAACCTTTTGAAGTTTAAAACAATAAAATATAATCATTTTTAACTCAAAAACACCGGCCCTTTGAAATAATCTTTAAAGGATTCGTAAAATAGTAAGAATCGTATGTAAAATAGTGAGAATTTGAACAGTGGTATGGATATCGAAAGCAATAAAAGTCTTCTTCGGTGGGTACACGGATATGTCTGCCAATAACATGCTACCCGCAATTACTTCAGTTACTCTTCATTTAGTGGCGAAATATCAGAAACTCGCTAAAACAAGGTGCATGGTAGCAATCTCGTAAATAACATAAATTACTATGTATAATCTTAGTGACCACGAAAATTAAAACAATATTTATAATTACCGAACTGAGACTAAAGTTCTGAACTACGTTGATGTCATTATCACATCTTCCTGGGAAGACGACCGGTATGCCAGGCTGTGGATCAGGGAAGTAGAAGCAACCTTCAGGAGACTGGTCTACAGTCAAGTAATAACGGTCTTGCAGCACCTGAATACTACTCGTTACATTGTTGATGACTTGATGTGCTTCCTCTGATAACTCCTTAGTTCTGCTAAGCTTCCAACTGTACACTACGTAGAAAACAAATTTATGCAACATCCCCCTTTTAAAAAACACGGACTAAAGTTAGTCTTGGTTTAAACCTAATCTTGTCTCTGTCTACTTTTTAGCAAACAAAAGTGACAGCATTAGTTTTAGTTAAGGTTTAACTTTAGCCTACGTTTTGTAATAAGGCGGCATTAGTTTCATAATAATAATCAATAAAAATCAATCATATATTCTCTAAAAGTTAATGTTATGGCTATACTTGCTTACCCACTCGCTCGTCTGGACCTAATTGTGCGCAGGTATAAACCAAAGAGTAGGACGTATAGTCCGTGGCTAATATCCAGTAGCTCATCGTGGTAGTAACTGTAACAGATATCGAAGTTATTATTTTTGACAGATTGCCAATAGAAAAGAGCAATCATTATCATAAGGTATACCTATATCTAAACAACAAGAGACAAAAATCTTAATTATTAATCTTACTCTATGCTTGACTTGAATGGTGATGCTGATAAAACATAAAAATGGTTATTCCAGATCTTCCATAAGCTTGTATTAATGCATGTCGATTATTTGATGAGCTCGATGGCGCAGATGGTTAGCGCATTCAATCTTTGCAATGGCTGGTCTTGGATGGATGACCAAAAACTTATTATCTCGCGCTCCTCCGTGCTTCGCAAGGCACGATAAGCCGTTGTTCCCAGCTGTATCTGCAGTCGTTGGCACCCATTGATCCGCACTGGGTCCGCGTGGTGGGTCACGGTCACGGGCCTGTCTCCCTATTCTACCCATGAAGGCCTGTGCCCCAGCAGTGGGGGCATTAATAGGCTGATGATGAAGTCGATTATTCTGACAACTACAATTGAAACATAATTTTAGGCAACATTAAACACAAGGTGTGGGAGAATAGTATTTCGTTTGTACTAACGGTTGGTTCCTACAACAGGGAAAGTGACATCGAGCTTTCCACTTCCGTCCTCTGAGGCAACGACAGCTAGCCCCGTCATCGTGTCCAAGGTTTGGTTCATCACTTGTGTATTAAACACTTCCACGCCTTCGGCAATTGAGGAATACAAAGCGTTACTGCAAGTGCCGGTTTGGAACACAGATGGATAATGTTCGATGTTATGCCATAAGCCCAAGTACTGCGAAGAATAAAAAATAGGCATATGAAGAAATCTATATGGTATGCAGGGAAGTCGAGTACTTTGTTGACAGTATAGGTATTGGGATCAGGAATTGGGGACATGTGGGTAGTGGTACCAAACTGCATATAAATTTAATTCTCTCAAACAATGTGGGCCGCTCAAGGCCCATTTGCACTGACTAACAATTTTAAAATCAAATCATGTGTTTAATTCAAATTCAAAATTCAAATCATTTATTATTCGGACAACATAGATCCATGTGTTAGTATACAATACTTAATACTATGTTAGTAAATTATATTAAAAACAGATATAACCCTATTTACAAAAATATTTATCAGTGGACAGTCCCCACGAGCCACTAAATCCCTCACAACACTACTGCGGCTACCACGAACCCGCCGTAGCAATGAACCTGCTTTTTTGCGCAAAATAGCCGGGAAACTGTCGACCTGCGCATCTGCGAACATTCCCGAAGCACTACAATATCGCGGCAGCCGCAGCAGTGCCCTGAAGGCATTATTGTATTGGACACGGAGGACATCATATGATTTTCGGGTAAAATTAACCCATAGGCTGCTCGAGTAGAAAGATGTACAAAAAGCCTTAAAAAGAGTGATTTTTACGGTGTCAGAACATCGAGCAAACCTACGGGCCAACATATTTGCCCTCTTAGACAATGCCCTTCGCTCCCTTTCAAGGTCAGCGTCATCCTTTAAAGTATCTGTTACAATATGACCTAGATACTTAAATTGCGTAACTCTACGGAGATCAGATCCATATAGTTTTACAGAGGGCACGTTTTCAGGAGTCTTTCCGTGAGCCTTAAAAGTCATATATACACTTTTACTGGTATTATAAGATAAACCATGATTGGTTGAATAGGTTTCACAAATGTTCACAAGCATCCTCAAAGCACTGATCGAAGGAGCCAGCAACACCATAATTGTTCCCCAAGCCTCATTCTATATTTATATGTAAAATATTAATTAATTAGAATTGAGACTTGACCCAAGTGGACCCAAGTATAAGTTTGTTCTTAATAATGTTCTGTGCAGGCGGTCATATTTTAACCGTCAACCGAATGGTTGTATAATTGAGTTTCTGAATTTTAATATATTTTTTATTGGTATTGTTGTAATGTCGTATAATGATAAGAATAGAAATTTTGTAATTTTACGGTGTTCATAATTTTAAAAACTACAAATGTTAATCGCTTTTTAAATTTGAATTTGTAAAATTGGGATTTTCACTAATTAACGAAATTGTGATATTTAGTCGAGTCAATAAAGACATAAAACAGGCAAAACTTGGAAACCCGGTGGAACAGCTTCGATTTCGATCATTTTTTTTTAAATTGTGTTTTTTTATATTATTCAAAATCAGAAACCTTCGGGAGGGGGGAAATATTTTTTTTTATTGTTTAAACAATATTTATGATTTTTTTATAAAAAAACATTTTTTATCGCTTTTTTGGAAAAAACATTTTTTATGTTAATGTTAGTATAAAAAATAGTTGTTAAAATGAGGCTTTTAATAATAATTTAATATTTAAACCATTAAAATACGATGTATTGGTCAATAATACGAATGCGTTGAGCGCTTACGTTATATTTTCGTTACTTTACATATATTTAAATATTATAGATAGGTCCGACAAATGACTCGGGTGGAGTTGATGTTAAGTGAAGGTGACCTGATGTTAAGTGAAGGTGAAGTCCAGACGCGAAGATAGCTGATACAGCAGTTCTACCTGCCACACCAGCTATCCTAACCCTGCAGGCCTAGTCACTCGCCCGACACCGTTAACATTCAAACCCAGTTTTCTTTTTATTCTTATCATTTTACTTTTGCGAACTATTTTACAGTAGCGAAGACTCAGTTATTTAAAAAGAAACCCTGCAGGCCTGCATGTTGCTTCTTCACGCCTCTTTTAAAGGATCCCAGGTTGTAAGAGGGAGGGAACACGTGAGCGGGCAGAGCATTCCATTTACGGATAGTGCGACAAAGAAATGAGTCACCAAATTTCTTTGTACGCGTTGGAATTGTGGCCACAGTAAGACGGTGACAACGTAGGCCAGCGCGTGTGGTCCCCTGAAGGAAAGGGGAAGGTGGGATAAGAGAAAATAACTCCTCAGAACACTCGCCGTGGTACAGACGATAGAACGCGCTTAGTGACGCCACGTCACGGCGTAATTGAAGAGGCTCGAAGTGTTTAGTCACCTCCTCATCGCCTATGATGCGGATCGCGCGCCGCTGTAACCTATCCAAAGCATCGAGCAAGTACTTGGCGGAGCCATCCCAGAGGTGCGAGCAATATTCCACACAGGACCGCAAACTTGGAAACTCGGAGTCCTGAACAAGGTGCGGCGTTTATTCACGCCCGATCAACTGTGCTTGTTGTACAAAACGCAAGTCCGCACATGTTTTGATCACGGTTTCGATGTAGTTCTTTGGATTCAGGTCTGAGCGAACTTCCATACCGAGCATGGAAATGTTGCTCTGTAACGGTAGTGTTGTGCCCTGAAGAGAGGGAAGAGGAAGGAATAACGATGTTTTTGCCGTGAAAGCGCAAGCCTGAGTTTTCTTGGCATTGAACTCAACCAAGTTCCTGGTACCCCATTCGGAAATGTGGTCCAAAGCCTGATTGAGTTCAATGACAAGATTCTCCCGTTTCTCCTTGGTTACCGCCTGCCCAGCCGCTGCTTGTCCGAGATACCCCGCATGCACTGTACTATCGTCTGCATAGTAATGAATATTTCCAAGAGGAATCAAGTCATTGATATACAGCAGAAAGAGAGTGGGGGATAGGACGGAGCCCTGGATAACGCCGGCATTCACAGACATGAACCGCGAACTGCTACCATCCGTAAGGACACGAATTCTATGCTCATGCAGGAAGTCAGCTACCCAAGAACAGAACTGGGTTGGCAGACCGTATGCCGAAACTTGGAGAGACGGCTTTTGTGCCAGACCCTGTCGAACGCCTTGGCAATGTCAAGGCTGATAGCCAACGACTCGCCACGCTTGTCGATAGCCTCACCCCAGATATGTGTTAAGTACGCTAGAAGATCACCCGTCGATCGGTTCGGTCTAAACCATATTGACGATCATTAATCAGTGAGTGAACCTCTAGGTAGCGGGTCAGATGGTTATTAAGGACCTTTTCTAGAACTTTACATAAAACTGAGGTGACTGCTATTGGCCGGTAGTTTGCCGGGTCTGAGCGATCCCCTTTTTTGGGTACCGGTTGCACGTTAGCATCACTCTAAGTCTCCGGCACACGCCCCAAAGAATACGAGCATTGGTACAAGCGCGTGAGCACGGTAGACAACTCTGCTGCACATTTTTTCAGTACTACTGCTGGGATGCCATCAGGTCCACTAGCTTTCCGGGCGTCGAGTGATTGCAATTCGGCACGAACCTCACGCTGCCTGATTTTAATATTAGGCATCGTTGTGCCACACTGAGGTAATGATGGTGGTAGTGAATTGCAATCATCGATTCGGGAGTTAGCCGCAAAGAGTTTTGCCAGTAAATGGGCTTTCTCCTGCGGCTTATGAGCTAGTGTTCCGTCTGGGCATCTCAGAGGTGGCAGCGAGGGCTGGCAGAAGTTTTTGGCACGACCTTGGCCAAACGCCAGTAGCTACGAGAGCCCGTAGGATGCGTTATAAGTTGCTGGCCAACACATGCAACGCGCTGGGCATCCGCTCTGATGTAAGCCTTCTTACAGGCCTTGGAAGCAAAATTGTAGGCTGCTTTGAGTGAATCGACCTCGGGATCCTTGAGAGCGCGGCCTCTGATCCAATATATATATATATATATATATTATATTTTTTTTATTTATGTTAATAATGAAACTATTAATTTCATGAAATATATCTAATATATATATATTAGATGAAAGATCTTAAAATTGATTGTTTTTAAAAGTTTTTGAAATAATAACATGTAAATTAAAATTATTTGTGATAACAATATGAAAACAATAACATAAACATATTTTTTTGTTAGTTTTCAATTGATATTTTATAAAAAGATAAAATTTTCCAAAATTGTCATAAAAAATGTTTAAACAATATAAAAAAATATTTCCCCCTCTCCAGAGGTTTCTGATTTCAAATAATATAAAAAAAAAATTAAGAAAAAAATCATCAAAATCGAAGCTGTTCCACCGGGTTTCCAGGTAAAAAGCTTCATTGACTCGACTAATTTGGAAGTTTCAGAATAAGAGATATTCCTATAGAGCTCGAATTAGAGCGAGCTAGTATGGGGAATGAGTTTGGATGGTGTTGTATTTTTATCGGATAGCAAGGTTTCATGGTTCCACGGGAGCTTTAGGAATGCATTTGGGTATGCAATCTAGGCAACGGGTTTCTCGTGTATGATCGTGATAAAGAAATTTACGCATTTTTTTTTAGTTAAGACTGTTTTACAGGTTGTTGTTACAAGTACTGATGAATCTCTAGAAGCTACGACACCGGTTGGTAATTCTACGGCGGGATACATTATTTTGAGAAGAAGAGGAAAGAAACTTAGCATGGGTAATTTTTTCTTCCTGTATTATTTTAAACAGTGTCGTCTAGTTAAAAAAATGACTTCAATATGAGATGATTCAAAAAGTAACCTTTCATTACTAGGTCTTCTTGTAGCAATTTTCCTAAATCTCGATCCAAATACTAGACAAACTAACGTGTATTTGCCATGAATGTATGGGCGAAATCTCGTAATTTCGTATAAATTGAGATTTAGCGAAATTGCTGCAAATGGACCTATAATGTGATATACCCACCCCTGAGGCATTGAAATTAGACACGACTTGAATGTTTGGGTCACATGTTCCTCGGAACCTGACCGGAGTCATTGGGTCCGGCTCTGGGAAATAGAAACAGTCTTCGGCCTCGTGACCTATTCTTTGGTAGTAGCGGTTAGCGAGCACGTTGACGGTTTCAATTACCGCATTGATATTGTTCGTTGCTTGAACTGACAATTCTGTTCCACGACTCAATTTCCAGCTCCACACTAAAATAATAATTGTCTTAGCATTTATCCTGTCTAGATTTTTATATGAAAATATAGAGGAGCTCGATGGCGCCAGTGGTAAGCGCGTTCGGCTGCGGTCGTTGAAGTTGAGCAACTTTCGCAGTTGTCGGTCATTGGATGGGTGACCAAAAATTTACTATCTCGAGCTCCTCCGTGCTTCGGAAGGCACGTTAAGCTGTTGATCCCGGCTGCATCTGCAGTCGTTAGCATCCACCAACCGGGGTGGGGCCCGCGTGGTGGGTCATGGCCCAATCTCCCAATCCATCCATAGGGAAGGCCTGTGCCCCAGCAGTGGGGACATTAATAGGCTGATGATAATGATGATGAAATTAGGGTATTTATTAGGAAAAAGGCGTTTACAAGGAATTTCCAAGAAAATAATAAAAATACATTATAAGAAAATTAAAACTTACTTAAAATATGCTAAAAACAAATAATATTCATTTAAAGAAATTTGAATTTGAAGTTATATTACCTTGTCTCCGATCAGCTGCAATATTGCGGCAAGAGTATACCAAAGAATACGATGTATAATCGGTATCCAGAACCCAATATTCTATTGGTTCAGGAGCTGAAATGAAAACAAATAAATTATGTCAAAGGGTGTTACACTGCTCTCTCGTTACTGTTAAAGGAAGACTTAGTGAAAATATCAGTATTGTTATGATTTTATTTATTTTTTAAGCATTTAACTGCTAGATGTTTAAATCTAAAGAAAAGTTTACTAGAAAAAAATCCACGCGGACCAGGCAGCGGACGGGACTCGAACCCGCATCCTTCGCTATCCGGGCGAATGCACTGACCATTATGCTACCACGGCCCTATTAGCCGCGTCGAAATTTTCCTAGCCTTAAGCTGCAAGGCAGCGCCATCTCTTCGCATTGTAGGTAACCCACAATGTCAAATGAATACTTTTTCAAGTATTAAACATTTGAAAGAAGAAATAGCAATTATAGTTATGATTTTATTTATTTTTTAAGCATTTAACTGCTAGATGTTTAAATCTAAAGAAAAGTTTACTAGAAAAAAAATCCACGCGGACCAGGCAGCGGACGGGACTCGAACCCGCATCCTTCGTTATCCGGGCGAATGCACTGACCATTATGCTACCACGGCCCTATTAGCCGCGTCGAAATTTTCCTAGCCTTAAGCTGCAAGGCAGCGCCATCTCTTCGCATTGTAGGTAACCCACAATGTCAGTATTGTTTTCTAACCACGACCACGAAAGTTGTAGCTTGATTAGAAAAAAAGTCACAGATTGTCTCAAACTTGAAACAAGCGGAAGCCTTCAAATGCCTCATCAGGTTTTTTCATAGTTTTGAAGATATCTAGTGATAGATTTGTGAATTCGATTAAGATGTTTTTCACACAGATGAGTTTCAAATTACTTGAACGTCACACACAGTTACAGTACAGTTATGAAAATTATTTGAAATTTATAACAACAGTCTTTGGTAGTTTTTATTACTTAGCCAGTACCTACATAGTACCTACATTAAATTGTTAGGCTGATTAAGACTTTTCAATTAGAGCTTATTAACTTACCACCAGGAAAAGTGACGAGAAGTTTTCCGTCCTCTATTACAGACGCCTCTCCGATCATAGTGAGTAAAGTTTCATTTACAACTTGAGTATTAGTAACATCAACTGTGTTGTTGGCATTTAGAGAATAAGTTGCGCGCTGACATGATCCAAATTGGAAGTCTGAATGGTAAGTCTCTATCAAGTTCCATGGTCCCAAGTACTACAAAAAATATCATTTTTAAATTTAACTTTTAATAAAGTCTTTTGATTTCGTAATAACTATACTTTAGTTATGCGTCCCGGAGACGATCAAGTGGCTTGTCAAGTCTACCTGATTGAAGCCATGGAGGTTAGAGAGAAGGAGAACGATCGCTGTAGAAAATAGTGTCCCACGAATATGGATAAAATAAGTGAGGCGCTGCGATCGCTAAGTTGTCTCAAAAAAAGCGGGCTGTTGTGCGCTAATTTGAAATGATCTATCAACGTTTAATACACGTGTATAGAATATCATCCAAAGAAAAAAAGGGAAACAAGGTAATTATTATTATTATTTATTAATAATTAAATTATAAATTCTTCTTTTTTCAAGTAACTACATCTACGTATACTCATAAACAGCTAACTTCACAGATACTTACCGACGGCAGCGCGGCTGTTGGCTGAAAAATTAACTATAAATTCTACAAATTTTCAGAGACAGGCGGGCTAATGCTTTAGTACGTAGCAATCGTTCTCCTTCTCTCTAACCTCCATGATTGGAGCCATCGTTGATCGCTTACCTACAGCGTCAAGTCAATGCGGTAAACGATCAATATTCGCTTCAATCATGTAGACTTGACAAGTCGACTTGATCGTCTCCGGGACGCATTAGAAGACGAAGAAAGAGATGACACATCCGTTGTGAAAAAGATATTACAATAAAGCGGTGTTACGCAAAATAAAATAAAAACACTAACTTCTTTTTGACGAATAAGCTTGGATTAGTTACTAAATTGTTTCGTCTCTGTTCATTGAATTACACATGGCATTTGAGTGATATGAAGAAGCTATGGCATAACTAGTTTAAAGTTTTCCTCGTTATTAATAAGGAAGGTATTTTCCTTTTACTATAGGGATTGCTCCTATACCTTATTTTTTTGCGAGTCTCGGATATTTTGGCACTGTTGCAAGTGCCATGATCACGGAGCAACTGATGATGCAATTGCAACAGTGCCAAAATATCGGGACTTGTAAAAAACAAGGTAATGGTACCAATCTCGGTAATAACGTAAATTACCGTAGTGTTATTAACAGAATAGATAAAAGTTTAAAATAATATAAGGGGGTAAAGTTATAATAAAAATGATTTGATACATACATCGGCCGCAGAGAAGTTTTGTACGACAGTGATGTTAGGATCACAACTTCCACGGAATGTGACAGGTACACCGAGTGGTATATCAGGTAAGTAGAAACACGCCGCAGGAGATTGGTCGATGTCTTCATAGTATTCTTGACGCAGAACGTCCACATTAGACATAGCTTCATTGATCTGTGTGTCAGCAGATTGTGATAGCTCTTGTGACCGACTAAGTTTCCAACTGTACACTACGGATAAAAAATTTAAATTTACCAACTGATCCACACTTTTATTTGTGTCAATCAACAGTAGTTTCATTTAACATTGACTTTCCTTTTATTGAGAAAGATTTTTAACTTTGTAGTTACTTATAATTTTTAATTCTAACCATTACAATAGTGTTATATCGCTTCAGGGAATGTCAGAAATTTACTTTATTTAAATACATGATATTCTAATAGATTTTAATGTTTTCTATAATATTAATACAATATCAAGAATTTGGGTATGTTCCAGAAATTTACAGAAACTTAATTTCTAGGAATCTCGATTGTTCATAGCAGCACGTCACTAATTAGGATCTAGAATAGAAAGTTTTTGATTACCTGTTCTAGTATCATCTTCATTGTCCGTGCAGCTATAAGCTAGTGCATAGTCGTCATAGTCCGTGCTTATTATCCAGAAGGGCATATAGGTATCTGCACAAAAATATGTTTCGTATAATACAATTAGGTATACGACACATCATCGGAATTAATTATATTTAACTAAAACACATTGTCATAAAATGTGTTTAAATGTGTTTGTTAATATTTGATTCACCGTAGGGGCGATGTGAAATTTACAAATCCTGAGACAAAAACTTAACAGTCTGTATTAAAACATCGGTTATGATAATGTTTCCTCTGTTTGATCTTTGTTAGGTTTACAGTAACGTAAACAATTTCAAAATAAGCTTTATCAAATATATTTATATAATAGTCTTCATTGATATTGTTCACTTTTATTGAGAAATCAGCTTAAATAAGTCTTAATATTTCACGTCTGTCAGGGGTACCACTACGTGTCTATATTGACTACTCATGTGGTACCACGGTGGCTTGTGTTTTTATTATTTTTATGGACTCATACTATATTCATCATTAATAAATAACGCTTTATAATTGCTAAAATTTTTTTAGGAAGTATAAAGCGTTATTTATTAACTTTTTTCATTATTGTTGAAGTCTCTATTCCTTTATAAGTTCCGTGGTCTCAATACAAGGACTTGATTATTTAAAAGCGATTAGGTTACCACGAGTAAGTAGTTAACCAGTCTATTGATCAAATATTTAAAGAGAAATGTTCTCACCTATGCCATTTACATTGATAGTAATGGTCATCCTGGCACTGCTATCATTGGATGCAAAGTTCAGTGTCCCTGTAGATTCAATGAGAGATTGTTGGAAAACCTGTGAATACTGTACGTTCATACTCGTCGTAGTGTTCATGATGTAATCATGATTTACACATTGGCGCTCAACTTCGACTATCGGATACGCTTGAATCTCGAACCAGGGGCCAGAGAACTGTAAAAACAGTAACCGAATGTATTGCAAACTGATTAATTGCTACCATAATCCTATATACGCACAACATTTTACCCCGTTCCATCAGGGTGTTAATGTCAAAATTCAAAATTCTTCAAAAAACTCATTGTTTCAGTCCAGATTGTTACAAGTTCTTTCGGTTTGTAAATCTACAGCGGAAGACCTTGTACTGAAAAGAACCGGCATGAAATTCAGCAAGGGCTTATTGTTTCTCTCTGTTTTGTTTCATACAGCGTCGTCAATTGAAAGATGACATCAAAACCTAAAAACGTATTGATGTCAATTCTACTAAGAATAAGACACGATCATTAGGTTAACATACCTAAAAATTAAAAAAAAAATAACATACTCAAAAATGGTTCAATGTTATCACATGTGTTCCTGTGACTGACTCATAAATTAAAAAATGCATAGACAAAACAATAACGAATCAGCAAATACTTTTGTGTTTTAGAAACAGTAACTATACCATAAATCAAAACTATTGAGATTGTATATTGTTACATATTTGACATTTTGTGATGGAAGTTGTCCTCAACACATGTTTGCAAGTTTGATGTCAACTTTCAATTGGACGACACTGTATGAAATAAAACAGGGAGAAAAAATCAGCCCTTGCTGAGTTTCTTGCCGGTTCTTCTCAGTACAAGGTCTCCCGCCGTAGATTTGCGAACCGATGGCGTATATTTTTGACATTCACAAGTGCTTGTAACAGCCTAGACTGAATAAACGATATTGAATTTTGAATTTTGATGAGTGGAATCCAGTTGCGAAAATTAAATTCCTATTCCCCATTCCGTGGAGCTTCTAATAATTTTGGACTTATGCCCTCTAACAAAATACAACTGAATTAAAATTATATACTCATACGTTACATCAAGAAGAAAGCCACCTGATGTTATGTATCAGTGGAATCCAGTTGCGAAGATAGCTGTTACGCTAGGCAAGTATTTCACTCCAGCCATTCCCACTTTAGCAACCTAAACCAATGAGGTTTAGCTAGCCTAGCCCAAGCTCGCAGAGCTCCTACTAATTTTGGAATTCCCAACAAAATACACTTGAATCAAAATCATATACTCATACCCAAACGCGACTCCCTAGCTGATAGAGTTCGTATTAATTTGGAATTCCTAAACAAAATACAGGTGAATCAATCTTATATAATCCATACATTACATCATATTGTTCCTAATAAATGAAATTTTAGCTTTATTTTCAATGCAACTGATCTGAAATTGAACATGATAAAGATAAAATTGGAATACTAATTGGAATTTCGAACACTTTTTAAATAGTAAATGTAACAGAATCTCTTTCGATTTCTCGACATTATAAAGACGTTTGGCAAAGTAATACGGAAATCCTTAGTCCAAGGGCAAAACACAAAATAATTAAATTTAAAACCTATCACATAAAGGCGGCACAATATGTCTCGTCAAATATGATTATTCAGAAAATAACAAGTTTGTTTCCAGGGATACGCAATATAAGCAAAATCTACCCCATGTTTTAGAAGGTTGAAACAAAATAAGCTTATGGTGGGTTAGAAATCAAATTGGCTGATTGTAAATGTGTTCATGTTTTTGAGTATTTATAGGGCGGTTCTTAGTTTTAATTTAGATGTTAGCAGTTCTATTCATACTTATTTAATTGACCTGTGATCTTTATCAGATCAAATAAAAAGTATAGATAGAACTGTCTCTTGATAGTAAAAAGTTTCAGGGTTTCCAAAAATTACCTGACTCATATTAAAGTTCTGAACTACGTTGCTGTCGTTAGAACATCTGCCTGGAAAGACGACTGGCATGCCAGGCTGTGGCTCCGGGTAGAAGAAGCAACCTTCAGGAGACTGATCCATTTCATTGTAATAGCGATTATCCAAAATTTGAATACGGCTCGTTATGGAGTTGATTTCATTTCTAGCTGGCTCTGAGAGCTGCTTAGTCCGACTGAGTTTCCAACTGAATACTACGAGGAAAACAAATGTTAATTTAGTCCAACGGGCTTGAATATTTTCATAAACATTTTATTCTGATCGTATTCATGAAGCAATTCCTGCCATTTTATGCTACTAAGTTCTAAAATGCTCGACTTTCTTCCTTAATTTCTGTTTATAAGTAGGAATCTATACAATTTTTTTGTTAGGTACTTACCATTTTTGTATTCATCATCTATTTCTACGCAAGTGTATACGAGGGAGTATGAGTCGTAATCTGTGGCTAGTACCCAGTAACTTGTTGTGACATTTTCTGAAAAGGAAAAAATCTAATAAATTAGCAAACTAATGAAAATTATGAGAGATGATGAAATTTCAGTGTCTCCTTAGATTTTGATGTTATTTTAATAATTTTTAAAGCTAAGTAATAGAATCAATGTTAGTCAAAATTTTTAAGGTTAACCAATAATGAAAGAGACTAATCTATACTAATATTATAAAGAGAAAAGATTTGATTGTTTGTTTGTACTGAATAGGTTTCGAAACGACTGGACCGATTAGATTATTATTTTGATTGAGTAACAAACATAAAAACTTTCACATTAATAATATCAGTAGGAGTAGCTCTACTAGTTTGTGACTCACGAGTAGTGTTTGCTACAGGGAATGTGACATCGAGTTTAGCGCTTCCATCGTCAGAAGCGGTGACGGCCAACCCTGTAATCGTGTCGAGTGTTTGATCGATTACTTGAGTATTGAAGACATTCACGCCTTCCTGAATAGCTGAGTATTCTGCATTGCCGCAAGTGCCTTGTTGGAACCATGAAGGGTATTGTTCTATGGTGTGCCATAATCCCAAGTACTGTAACGAAATTATTTATAAATAAATCGCTAAACTTATTATTATAGGACGTAAGAGAGTCATTTGGCATGATATTTTTTTAGATCTTGAAGATTTAGAAATAAGCGAGCTTCAATTTACAAAAGACAAGGGTCTACATGTAGACCACACGTTTAAGACATCGGAGGTTGCAATAAATTGCTGATTAACAATTTCTTATTTTGTTTTCGGGTGCCTATCACGCAGTTAGCACAGGACTTTCGACCTGATCGCAGGAGACCTCCCCCTGTCTAGCGTGTTATATTCCATGCTGGGACTTAACAACAGGTCTTGGAGAAAAAATGGCCTCGTTCCGCGAGGAGGTCATGTCCAAAAATCCCCTGCGGACCCACAAAGACGTAAACGAGAAGTCTGTATAGACGTCTCGTTTACGTCTTTGTATGTATCTCGTATGTATATACGCCATGCCTTCTTAACGGAGCCAGCGAGCGTAGACCGGGCAGTCGACTCTCATATTGTACGGCCCTGCCTGATTGGAGGCGGAGCCCAAGTGTACTTGTTGGGCACGCCCCTGCACTTGAGATAGGTAAATTCCTATTTTAATAGGGAGCCCTAGTCAGCTCATAGGTATCAGCCGCGAGGGTACATCGAGTGGTTTTTAGTGGGTATGCTTGCGGGCGTCCACAGGGCCAGATTTCGCTCTGGAGGTACAACTGTAGAAGAGTTCCTCATAACTTCGTCGTCAGTCCTGTTGCCGGCTGTAGGGTATTCAAAAGGCCTGGGAGGAAACAAAAAAAAGGTCTTTCGAAGGTGCAAACTCTTTGTTATACCGTTGGTTACTATCCTAAAAACATACCAAAAAATCAGTACAGTACAATTTATTGCAACCAAACGAGATTCCTTTGTCTACTGGATTTATGTGTTATTTTGTAAGTCTAATAGCTACAGTGACCAAGCTCTTGTGGTGCGTGGCCAAAATCGGAACTAATTTTAGGAAGTTACAAATAACCCTTTATGTTTCCTATTATCCTCTCCGAGTTATTATTATTGGAGAAACTTTCCCTTGAGTGAGGAGATTTTACGAACTTAGTTATCCTTATTTCACCACTTATTGGCCAGCAGCGTCCTTCTGTCAATGTCACCTAAGTGCCACAACATCTTGGTGGCACTGTAGCGAAAGCTTCGATCCTCCCAGCTAAGGGTTGCTATAAGAAAAGTGAACTTACTGCAGTTACGTTGAAGTTAGGGACGACTGCTATATTCGGATCGCATCGGCCGCGGAATCTGACAGGTGGAGGCGTTAGCGAAGGCTCCGGGAAATAGAAGCAGTCAACGTCTGAATGGCTTATTTGTTGGTAGTAGGCGTTATTAAGCACGTTGATGGTGTTAATCGTTGCATTGATTGCAGCCCCCGCTTCTTGAGTTAAACTTCTGGTGCGACTCATTTTCCAACTCCAAACTAAAGCAATAATAGTAATAAATATTTATTACACAAATCAATTAGCCTAACCCCAAAGTAAGCAATGTGAGGCTTGTGTCATGGGATATTAGGACCACATATAGAAACATATACTAAACATACACATTAATAGTAGGGGAGAAGTAGAAGAATAAGAAGGACATTTAAAAGGGATGTTATGTGAATCCTACAATATCTCTTATTCAAAAGACTGACGATTTGGAAAAAAAGTCGTGGCTGTTTGTTGATTTTTTTGATACCCTTGACGTTCTTCACTTCAAGGGTTGTCCCCATATGTTAATCTTCCGCGCTTGAGTAAATCCAAATATCCCCGCTTGGGCTCCCCTACTATGATGTATATTTATCTAGAAATACATATAAACATGAGCAAGAGCTCTACCGAGATTCGAATCCGGGGCCTCTTAGTAGGCGGCAAATTGGAACCCAGCATGCACCACTCATGCCACGGACGATATAAGGCTAAATTAGAATTGATGAATTGAGAGCAATGACAAAAGGACGTACTTATGTGTTATAAATAAAAGTGCTAGGATGTATGTGGTGAACCTTCAGTTCATATCCGTGCTACCTATAAGGCTCATGTGATAAGCTCAGAACATTGGGCATACACACAACAATTTAGTAATGTTGAATCTGGGAAAAGTATTTGTGTGTAGGGTAAACAATTTCTATCAAAATAGTGAGAAGCAGCAGCGAAATCCTTAAAAATAGTAAATACTAGTTGAAATCGTATTAAATTGAAACAGATGAAATAGAATGGAAACATTTACGTGTAAATAAATAACAATGTCAACAAGTTACCTCTTCTGCGCTCGTTGTCGATATTTGCGCAGGAATATACCAATGCATAAGAGGAATAATCAGTGTCCAAGACCCAATATTCCAATGGTTGGGGAGCTGGAATCAGTATAAATATCAATAAAATCAATATATTATATTCTTGCCAAAAGTCAGAAAGTATAGTTACAAAGAGGAGTAGCATCTGTAATTTCGTTTGTGTTCTGTTACTTGGTTAGAAAATAAGTTAAATCAAAGATTTTTTAGTCTGTCCTTCACTTAATAATATTACTAGCTTTTGCCCGCAACTTCGTCCGCATGGACTTAATTTTACAAGTAGCAAATGTTTACCAAATGCGCTTTTTCATCAATCTGTTTGCTATAAAAAATATATAAAGTTTTACATTTGAAAACATATTTAACGTGTCAAATAGTTTTTAGTTAAAAAACCAAGTTTCGACTTAATCGAAATGCACGTTAAAATGAATCCATACAAAAACTTCCAACAACCCTTCCAATCTCCTTTAGTTTTAAACTAAAAATGACAAACTTTATATTTTTTTTTGATAAGTATTCGTGCCAAGTTACAAGTCTATTAACTCAAGTAATAACATTTTTCATACAAACTTTCATCCTCTATTTTAACCCCTTTGGGAGTGAAATTTAAAAAATCTTTTCGTAGTGATCTCTAAGACATTACAAAGAACCTACTAGAGAAATTTGGTGTCTCTAGACTTAGCGGGGTTACCCTTCGGATTCAATTTTGAAAATTCTTTTAATAGTGCACTGTTAGACATCACAAAGAACCTACTTGCCAAATTTGGAGTCTCTAGACTTAGCGGTTTGGGCTATGCGTTGATATGTCAGTCAGTTTCTTCTTTTATGTATTTAGATTTATTTTAGGCCTTCTCGAAGAAATATGCAAGATATTTTGAATGATTGGCTAAACATTCAACATCATATTTGCTTGTTTAAAACAAATGTGTGTCAATCGACCCTAATATTAATATCTGTCATAAGCTTCATTATGGAATTGGCTCATTTTATGAAGTACTGCTTGACTATTTTATTAATGAAATTAATTAAAATCATGTACGATCTTACCATTCGGGAATGTTACGAGCAACTTTGCATTGTCTAGTATAGTAGCTTGGCCTTCCATGGTGGACAGAATTTCATTCACGACTTCTGTATTCCTTACGAGGATGCTAGCACCGTCAGCATTCAAAATATAAGTGGCGTCAGTGCAAGTACCGTTTTGGAATTCGGAAGGGTAGCTTTCTATCAAACGCCAACGACCCAGATACTGAAAAAAATATTTTGAGTTTGATTTTATGATTTCAATGATCGGCAAGTATTTGCAATAAATTTGTTGGAGAAATTTCACAGTGGTATCTCCAACTGCAGCATAAAATTGTGTTTTCAAATTTTAAACTGTAACATTAAATCTACTATACTATTAAAATTTTATTCAAGACTCACCGCAGAAGCATTAAAGTTAGGCTTTACTGGAATGTTGGGATCGCATTGCCCTACTAGGATAATAGGTTCACCGGGTGCCAACTCTGGCAGATAGAAGCACGCGTTAAGTGACTGATCTATACGTTCAAAGTATTCTTGCGATAGAACTTGAACATTTGCCATAGCATTCGTAATGGACGTATTAGCAGCGGGAGATAGCTCGGTTGTCCTGCTGAGCTTCCAACTGTAAACTGCAATGAAAATAGTTTTATGTTTACCAACTCTTCTATATAATGGATGTAATATAGCTTGGCTATCCCAAGAATGAATCCCTACCATGAATTTTTGAAAGCGTCTAAATTCAAGTATTCATCTTAAGCAATACCAATAGGGGTACCTTAAAATCTTTTAATAGGCTACAAGTTTTTGAAGACGTTCAATCGTTATTTATTAGTGTATGAGTATTGTGACTCGTTAAAAAGTGGAAATTTATAATTCTGTTGCGTACCAGTAAAAAAATTAAAACATTAATTTTGTTTTCAAATAAGCCGCGGAAACGTTTCTCTAACAAATATGGCGTGTTAACAGGCAGGTGACGTCACACGGCTGTCGTTAAAACGCCAAAAGTACAACGTAATGTCACTTCGTTAGGAATTTTACAAGCATGAGACGTCATTTTAGATTTCACCAATTCCACTTTCCACTTTTGTATTCCACGATTTACGTTTTGGTTTTTTTTCACAGACTGAAATTATATCACTATGACTTAAACTATTAAAATTTACTTACTTGCTCTGAAGTCATCGCCCCGGTCTACGCAACTGTAAGCCAGAGCGTAGCTGTCGTAATCAGTGGCCAGAATCCAGAATGGAATTTGAATGCCTACAAAAATATTATAATTTTAAAAGAGAAAATTCGTGAAATTTGTATCCTATTGATTTATTTGTACATAATTAAGTTCAATGCGATTCCGAAGATAAAATTGGCTGTTGATATGGTGGTCGTCAATGTCTTCTATAGTATTTTAAGTTATACATTTTTTTAAATGGGTAGAGTACGACATGATGATACTAAAGAGATTCCGATTATTCATAATGTTAAGGATATTTAAGTATTATAAGTCTCGCTGATTCTTCGTTGCTGTTAGACCGATTTTAATAATTTTAAGAGTACAGAAACCCAAATACCAGAAGCTACAGAGTACCATTTTAAAGTCAAACCTGAATATAAGTCTCGCTGAATTTTCGTTGCTGTTGGATCGATTTTAATATTTTTAAGAGTACAGAAACCCTAAAACCAGAAGGCGAAAAATACAATTTTAAAGTCAAACCTGAATCGAGAGTAATAGTAAGTCTTGCTGAATTGTTATTGTTGTTGGCAAGAGTCAGATTGCCAGTGGTGATCTGTTGGAATTGGTCCACTATTTGGACTGACTGCATGTTCAACATGTTGCCAGCATCATAGGTGTATTCGTGTCTGATACATTGCCCCTGCTGTTCTTCCTTAGGATACGATTCTATTTCGATCCAAGATCCTGCGAACTAAGCAAAAAAATAAGTATAAATTATAAAGTTCATAGAACTGAAGTAAATTCTCAAAAATAACTGGATTTCTAATTATTTATTATATTGTTCGATTTATAGTTACTCAATGAAATGATCCTATAGTAAAGTTAATTCTTCGCCTTATTTCAAAACATGAATAACGATTGAAACGTTTTACAATATTTTTATATGCACAGCTGCACCAAAAGATAATTTTATTCACTTTGATAAAATTTGAAAATAACTTTAAATATTTTCTTTCAACATAAAAATCGTTATGTTTTGTTAACGAAAATTTAATATCTGGTTTATCATTAAAATACTATGATGAAACTTATATTAAACATATTATTTTTATGTTGCTGTTAAATGTTCAGCTCATAATGACATTCTTAACCAGAGTTATATTATATTCTAATAATGAAGATCTGTTTGTTTTAATAATATAGCTATGTTGATGGACTATAAATAATTATATAAATATTATTACCCGAGAAAAATTGAAGTTCTGTACAACGTTGACGTTGTTATCGCATTGTCCCGGGAATACTACAGGAATGCCCGGCTGCGGATTCGGGAAGTAGAAGCAGCCCTCGGGACTCTGGTCCACTTGTTCGAAGTACCTGTAAATTAAAAAATAACATGTTTTACAATCATGTAATTAACTCAATTTGAATTTACCGTCCATCATATCATTTGAATTTACCGCTATTGTTTAAACTTATCATGTTACCTAACTTTCATCAGCGCTTCACTGGTATACTAAAATGTAATGTTGGTACTGTTATTTCTCAAGAGAAAAATTGTCGTTCATGACATGACGGCTCGCAAATTCTTTAATCATATTCTTCAGTTTAAAAGTTCAATCGTTGTTAAGAACAATAGTAATTTTCAGTATCTCAGCCTTTTATTCATTATTCATCATCAAGCCATCTAAACTTCGCTATTATACCGCTGCGCTTCGAACCCGTCAGTGGAAAAGTTTAACAGTACCTTTGGTCCAAAACTGGCACATCCGCCATCGCCGCGGTGATATTGGCCGCGGCTGTATCTAAAAGCTGCTTCGAGCGACTCAGCTTCCAAGACCAAACTGTGGACACATTTAAAACATTACAGCAATTTTTATTTTTGACTTATGAATGAAATGAAATGAAGTGAAATGAAAAGTCATTTATTCAGTCTAGGCTGTTACAAGCACTTGTGAAGGTCAAGAAGCTACGCCATCGGTTCGCAAAACTACGGCGGGAGACCTTGTACTGAGAAGAACCGGCAAGAAACTCAGCAAGGGCTGCTTTTTTCTCCCTGTATTGATATATACAGAGTCGTCAAGTTGAAAAATGACTTCAGAGATACTTCTGAAGAAACCTTCCATTACATCATTTAGTTCAAAATCTTTATATCAAAAAGTTTGCTGCTACATACAACTGTCCTTGCATTTGTAGAGTAGAGTGACTCTGTGATCATTCATGGCGCTTGCCACAGTGCCGAAATATCAGGAATGCGCAAAAAACAAGGTACCTACTTTATAGTAATACCGCAACAAAAATGGCTATAATGTTAGAGACCACGAAAGTTTAAAGTTTTTTATAATACTCGCATAATATGGATGATTGATGACTTAATTATTTTTTTCGCCTATCAGGTGCATTATCGGAAAATATTGGACACATATTTTTTCTTTATTCACTTAATCAAAACATTACGGAGATATATTGATTTGAAATGTAGCATGACGAGACGCCTTGGGTACAGTTTTTAATTAGAAGTGACGTTACGAGCAGCCACTCGCAAACTTTGACGCGCTTTATCTTTGTAGTTTTTTGGTTCATTCATAAAAGAAAATATAATATCTCCAAATTTTTTTGATAATCAAACTGACTGATAAACTAGAATTATGTTTACTTTATCCTGTCTTTACCCCCATTCTGGCGTCCTCAAGCTAAAACGCGGCTTAATGACAAAACCAACTTCTGTACCCCTAGCACGAACCATTATCGAATTCGAATAATATTCAAACCGAAATGTCAATGTCAAATTTTGTGTGGAAACTTGAACAGCAGCGGCACAAAGTACGTAAAGAGAACTAAAAATCAGTACATATTAGATAATGTCATTTCGGACTCGCAAACGATACGAATTCGATATTGGTTCGTGCTACTGTACTGAGATATAGCCAAAAAGCGTATACTTCAAATTATTGCTATTTTGTAAACATTCATCACATGACGTCTTTTTAGACTTAAACTATAAAAGTAACGAATACTTGTTAAATGACTTCAAATGAGTTCATGAGTTATCTCATATTGAAGTCATTTTCCAATTTGACGACTCTGTATATAATAAAGGGAGAAAAAAACAGCCAATGCTGTGATTCTTGCCGATTCTTCTCAGTACAAGGTCTCCCGCTGTAGATTTACGATCGGATGGCGTAGTTTTTCGATATTCACAAGTGCTTGTAACAGCCTAGACTGAATAAACGATTTGAATTTTGATTTTCTTTTTAAAATTAAAGACAGATCGATAGAGAATTGAAAAATGTATAAGATGTAATTTAAAACTGAAAAATCGACTACATGTCACTTATGCCTGCTACACATGTAACGATTTATCGTAACGATTAAACTGTGCAAATCGACTTGCGCAGATTTATCGAACGTGTGTATGACAAATCATTGTCGATAATCGTTCGTCGGTGGCAGTTGCAATTTTTATTAGATAAATCGTTGTCGATTGCGTTTGCACAGTTTTATCGTCGCGTGTGGATGGCGATCGCTCAGTTCGGCTGTAGGCTCGCAAGTGTGCGCACGTGCGGATCGCTCTTATATGGCAACATGTCTGAAGAAGAAAGAGGTGGACACCATGAACTAATGCAAGATTTCATAGAGAGCTATAGAAGTGAAACTTGCCTTTGGATGACCACATCTAAAGATTACCATGATCGCGAGTATCTCATTCGTAGCGAACGAATACGACACTACGATACTACGAACGAGACACACCAACTCCGAATCGTTCTGACAGCCACCGCGACATACTAAACTATTCTGACAACGAACGAGACACACCAACCCCGAACCGTTCTACACCTACACCAATCTCGATTTGACTAAGAGCTTGCGGTGATATTAATCTAGAAAACTTCATTAATTCGTAGCAACATCATGTAGCTAAAAATCGTAGTGTAGCAGATAATCTCTCATGAAGACTTATTGCTTCTCTCATTACAGTGTCTTGTTTCTGTATTAATGGAGAAACTAAGGCCAGCAGATTTAAGTATGTTTCCTCATTTATTCTCAAGTAATTATGCCAATCTTTCGAGGCGAATTTCAACTCATTTAACAAGTTGATATGGGAAAAATTGCTTCCTTTTCATAAACCAGTCTACACCACACACTCCGCTCCTTTTTTTTTTAAACACATAACTACCTAGGCCTAATATCGCAAGTGCGTCATAATCTTCCATCGTGGATGCCAAGTTTCTTGCGAGAGCTTCTGCGGAGAACAGACCGAACAGACAATCGACGGCGATATCTTCGATATCTTCGATATCGCCGTCACTCGTGTGTGGAGTCACTAGGAACGTTCGATTTATCTGCACAGTCTGAAATCACTACGATATATCGTTACGTGTGTACCGACCATTAGCCGCACTTTGGTTTGAGGACGGCACATAGAGAAAAGTAATATTGCTAGAAAGGACGGCAGCATTATGCGCGTGTATAAATGAGTAAAAGAGTATTGATAACTTAGATTAAAATAAAAAGGGTAGATACGGCACTAGCCTCACAAAAGTGATCCGCATGAATTGTGGTCCACGACCCTAATCGCTTTAGACACAACTTGACATGCAAACGACGTACATGTCAACGCCAAAAAATAAAATATTGCTAATATTTTGTGTTTATATGATAAAACAATGCCTAAGTGTGTTTTTAAAAAGTGCTCAATTGCTCAAGAACTAAACATAAAACCCACGGTATCACTTTTCATTCGTAAGTACTATAAAATATATATTTTCATAAAAATTGTTGTTTGTTTTGAATCTTATTCGGTAGTGACGTCGAGTACTGGTCGTGTGATTGGTCGGTAGTGCAGTGACGCGGATCTCGCCGTCTCGTTCGCGCTGCCGTTGAAACTTAACGTGCTGTTTCGTTAGGGTCGGTAATGTAGTGACGCGGATCTCGCCGTCCCGTTCGCGCTGCCGCCGGTGGGATCAGTTTTTGTTTGATGCAAGTATGAGCGTACCGTATCTACCCTTTTTGTTTTAATCTAAGATTGATAAGGACAACATAGTCTTAAACTTATTAACAGTAAGGTGTAAAAATAAAATTGACAAATAATATTAGATAAAACAAAAAATGCGAAATTACCTATTTTCTCCTCCGTTGCGGGTAATTCCAAACATGTGTATACTAGGGCGTAGGAATCGTAGTCTGTGCTTATTACCCAGTAATCAGTAGTAACGGTTTCTATAAGAAAGAGATTAAATACTTATTAATTTTATAGTTTGCAAATGGAATTCTGAGATAGTTAGCTTTGTGCACTTGCAAACGACAGATCGGAAGTTATAAATAAATTATTTCAATAGTATTTTAAATAACTACCAAGGCGTAGCTGCCAACTGCTCTGACTTGACTTTATTAAGTTTGAATCACACTTAACTGTATTTTCGGAGTATACAAATTTATTTAAAAAAAAAACATGATGACAATCGAAACCTCTTGCTATTCTAAATAGCAATTTTTTATATTTTAATTAACATTGGAAAGTTTTGTCTTTTTTATTAAGATAAGGATATTATATTCATTCTGCCGTGAAAAGTTCAATGCCCGTGATTCAGCCTTTAAAATAATAAATATCGTATATATAATACCCCCTAAATTAAATTAAAGAAACCTCTTTAGGAAGCGACAATGTTATTTAATTATCGTTCTTCAGCAAAAAGGTCCGATGTCAAATCAGCATCGTGAACCACAAATTTATCAACAGATTGTGAATATTAAATGCAGTAAAATAAAGCTCAAAGTCCGTTGGAGATTTTTTGGTTGACTTGACATGCAGTAGTTATATATAAGAACGTAATATTTTTTAAATATATTAATTTCCGAGCAAGTTGACTGAAAGATTACTTACCATTCGTACCAGCTACAGGAAACGTAACTTTCAATTTGGCGGATCCGTCGTCTGAATCTAAAACAGCAAAGCCCGTCATTGTGTCCAGTGATTGGTCTATAACCTGAGTATTGAAGACCTCTACCACGTCTGTCAGTTCATAGTTAGCATTTCTGCAGGTGCCAGTTTGAAACACCGATGGGTATGATTCGATATCGTGCCATGTTCCCATATACTGTGGAAATAGATCGCGGAAAGAATTGTTAAGAGATAAGTTTAAAGAATTTGGTATAATGATGGTCGCATCACAATACATATACGAACGTTTATTACTTGTAAAAAAAAAAATGGTTGCCTGTAAAGTCGGTTTTACGGGCGAAGATTTTACGTGACAACGTCTTTTTCTCGGTAGAATATTTATTGATATGAATATAATTAAATTGCACAATAGGAACAAGGAATTGAATGAAAATAAGAATTGCACAAATTTTAACTATAGAAATATATATAATACGTCAAAAAAACATATTACAATGCATTGTGCTTGTGAATACCATCGTAGCATGCAACCACGCTACGACGATTCGTAGCAAACTTGCTACACGGCTACGGGGTTCCAGCATGCTACGAGACTCATCGTAACGTTACCGAGCGTTACACTTTTTCATAAGTGACTCCCAGCCGCAACCTAATTTAAGACGTTGTCACGTCAAAATATTAATACGTTTCTTAAAAATAGTGATGTTCACACACTTAATACAAGAAACAAAAATAAACTAACTTTACCTGCTACTAGGCTTCACTAAATTAATAATTCATTTAAAGGTCTTTGTGTTCGTTTCTACAATAAAGTCCCAAGCAATATCCAAGAGTTAACCATAAATAAATTTAAAGATAGAAGATAGAATAAAAAAAAACTTATGAAAAAGCTTATTACATACAAAGTGTCTGATTATATTACAGACAAAAATGCTTGGGTTTAAACTGTTCCAATCATTCCAACAGGTTTTCTATATTAAATAAATCATAATTGTATTGACGTTGTTGTAACAACATAATGATTTGTAAATGTTGTTACATTAGACTTTTAATGTTGTGAAGTTGTTTTCGCTCGTTTTTATCAGCAGCTAAAAAATATGTCCATAACGAGTGGCAGGGGAAAAAATATTGCACGATTCAAAAGAGTTGTACTATACATCCAATTTGAATAAAGATATATTGATTTCTGAATAAAAGATGGCCACTATTTGGTGTAATCCGTATTTCATACAATTAATAAGCGTCATAGATTAGATCATCGAATTAAGTAGGTAGACTTAATTGGGTGGCTTGATCTATGGCCTTCTTCGCGTCCCAAAAAGGAGAGCAAAGCTCTTCCATTGAAACTATTTTATTTCTTCGCGTCATTTCCGAGTCGTACTTGATTCCGGATGTCAATAGCATTTTCAATATCTATATATACAGCTTCGTGTGAAGCTGTTAAAAACGATAGAATTTAAAAGGTAGCCGGGATCCATGTTTTTTCACCACCTAATTTGTTCTCAGTATGTGACATGCTGAGTTTTCATATCTCCCAATTTGATGCACATGCATCATCTACTTCAATCTAGGTCTGTTATACTTCAAAAACCTAGATTTCAAGGAAAAGCTGTGCTCTAATCTTTGGGACGCGAAGTACATATATCACAGAGTCACACCCCTCTGTCCTTCTTATTTATTAATTTCTCTATTATGCGTTGCCTGGAAGAGACTGCTGCCTAGCAATAAGGCCGCCTTTATTATATACGTTCTGTCTGTCAAGTATTGTGGTGAACTACAATATTTTATTGTATCTAATTAGGTCTACAAAAAAACAGTACCCCGAATCGAATTCGTAACGTTTGCGAGTGGGAAATGACATTTCGCACTCGAAAACTATTCGAATCCGATAATGATTCGTGCTAGGGATACTGATCTAATTTTGAGATTTATTTATGGTTCGAATTAAGTTTCTCCCATCTTTCTATCTATGTCTCCTTACTTTCTACTTACCCTTGTAGGGTCAAAGTCCTGAACGACTGCGATGCTTGCGTTGCAGGAACCACGGTATACAACGGGAACGCCTGGAATAGGTACGGGGAAGAAGAAGCATCCCTCGTCTGACTGGTCTGACTGTCTAAAGTACCGGTTGTTGAGGGTAATCTCAGAGGCTATGACGTCGTTCACCGCCGCTTGTGCCTGTTCTGACAGCTGACGTCTTCTGCTGAGAATCCAGCTGAACACTGGAAGCGACGAATCAAATTTGAATAACCAAGCACCAGGCCAAGCTGTAGGCCCAAGCACAAATATTTGACAGTTCCGTTTACAGTAAAATTTTGAAAAAGCTAGTATTTTCCTAAGAACCGATTACGGCTGCTAAGTTTTCAGAGAAAATTTGATGATGCGATACGTTATGGACTTCTCAAAAATTCGTGCTTGGGCCTGGTTAATTGCATGCATGTTAATTGTATTTAATATGCGGACACGGCGTGTCTATACACGAACATGGTGGACACGATTCAGGTCTTTTGATTTGACAACAATCTTTCCTTGTCATACGATATATTGAATGAATAGGAGAAACAGGAAGTGACTTTTGTCAAATTTAGTTTTTTAGATTTAGTTTTGAGAATCATGCCAGAATTAAGCTAAACTCAGAATTGAATACAGTAAAGGTAAGATAAACTGAAATGAGTCGCAATATGAAAATGCTTTTTAACGCCCGCTCTGTACCAAATGAATTGGTTCTGGAAAATAGCGGTTTCTCGAACATTTCATAGAGTAAAGAAAAGTTTTACTACAAAAAAATCCACGCGCACCAGGCAGCGGACGGGACTCGAACCCGCACTCTTCGCAATCCGGGCGAATGCACTGACCAATTATGCTACCACGGCCCTGATGACCGCGTCGAAATTTTCCCAGCCTTATGCTGCAAGGCAGCAGCAGGCTGGGAAAATTTCGAGTACCGTCCGCTGCCTGGCACGCGTGGATTTTTTTCTAGAAAAACTTTTCTTTAGATTTAAACATCTAGCAGTGAAATGCTTTAATATAATAAAAACATAATTTCATAGAGTACTTGTTTCCTGACGAGTAATTATAATTGTCTCCTCAACTTTGTTATGAAACCAAAAAATAGTACGAACAAAAACTTACCTCTTTTCGTGTCATTATTGATATTTACACATGTGTATGAGACAGCGTAATTGCTATAATCAGTGGCAAGTACTACTAAATCTTGTGTAACGGTTTCTGAAAAGAAAAAAGCATTCATTTGGTTTGGTTGATAAGAGCATAATTATTTGAGGTCATGCTCCATAAGGGTAGCTACACACATAATCGGGCCGGTATAGCCGGTTCGAGAATATTTGTCCAGCCGCAGTAACGTTTGTATACGTTTAGTTCTACCGTTCAGTACCCTTAGCACGAACGCACCAATATCTAATTCGAATAGTTTGCGAGCGCGAAATGTCATTGACAAATGTGTAGGTACTGATTTTTAGTTCTCGTAACGTCCGTTTTGGCGTTGCTGTTCAAGTTTCCATACAAATTTAGCCATAACATTTCTGACTCGCAAACTATTCGAATTCGATAATGGCTCGTGCTAAGGGAACTACTAGTTCCTGGACTAAATGGAGAAAAAAAACCCGTTTAGTCCCACCATCTGCAGTATCAATTTTAATTGGACTAAACGGACAATACTACCTAGTACTAAATGGACAAATACCTCTTTTGGAGTTATGTTGTCCTGGTACCGATATCAGATTTAATACATTTTAGTATTTTTTTACATTTCAGTAAAGAAGACCTTAAACCATTATAATATACTAAAAACCCAACTCTGCTGTTCTATTAAACTTTCTGTAATACTTTAAATTTTCCTTTTGATCTGCTTATGTTATGTTTAACGATGCATTTTTATATAAGTTGTGTTATAGACAAGTTTTACAATTATTATTAATGTTATGAATGACATGCTTCCACATAATTAACTAGTTTTGTCCTTAGGCATTCGTCAAAGACGCACCAAATGCTGATAAATAAATTACACTTTACTTATCTCCGGAGTCTTACTGGTAGAACTCATCGTAGAACTACACTGATTTTAAGATTTTTTTCCGTTATTTTCTATTAGTAGAACCGAATGGATAATAATTGTCCTATCTATTCGTATATATTAATATCCATTCATTAGACGACCTATGTGGCCGAGTGATTTATACACCGGGTTGCATGGTGTTGCTGACTCGAGAGGTCCCAGGTTCGAATCCCCGTGGAGGTAGATGTTTGTGTGATGAATACGAGCATTTGTACTCCAATCATGGATGTTTGATATGTATTTCTATATTAATATACTTATATATGTACAGCATCTGTATTCTATCCGTTACCTTAGTATCCCATAACATAAGCCTTACAGTGCTTCTTTGGGGCAAGGTAATTGGTGTGAGTGGTGAAAATATTTATATTTATTATTTATTTCAACTGAAATCAATTGATATTTTTCTCCGTTTAGTCATACTAGCAGAACTAAACGGATACAATTGTAGTAGTTCATTCATTCATTACATATATTCGATATTACCGCCCGGCAGTGCCGGTGTAATGCCGGTTCGCTGGTGTGTGTAGTTACCCTAATAAAGGAAGCAGCATAAAGTAAAAAAAATTTTTTTTCAACACTTTTGCTCAAAAAATGCATTTACGAAGGTCCGAAAATTCAAAATTATGGGCCATACAGAGGAGCGTGCGGTAATAGTACATTATGATATAAGTGCGGTAAGTTGAGAATTACAGCTGAGGCGATATTGTTAGCCCGAGCCGTAGGTAAGGGCTATAAGAAGGCACAGGCTGTAATTACCAAACCACACGTATGTCATACGACGTTTTATAACACATTTGCGAGGAAATAATATTACCTACGTACTTTCTGAAAAAAAATTTTGCACCTTTTAAAAAAGTATTTAAAAAGTAACGTTCGTTATTAGACGGAACATAATAAGCCGTGCGTTTTACTTTACATTACCGCACGCGTGTGTAATGTGAGGAATATGATATTGAAATTGGTGCAATAAGAGACACTTTACGAGCAAATGTGTTATAAAATTCATTACGCACGCTCCCATACGTTGCATCGTGGTTATCTAAGTTTTAGTTTAATGTATACTCTAAGGTACGTTTTTTTTAATTGGGCTCGGTAGCGCTTTTAGTATATACCTATGTCTTACTTTAATACTAAAAAAAAAAGAGGCGAAAGATGGAGTTCTAATTTTCACCACCCGCACATGGCGTCATTTGGAATAGCGCGCCATTATCATATTGAAAATAATTTGCTTCATTACTAAAATTATGTATTATGTTTTCTCGAAAATGTGTTGAAAAACGTTGTATGATATTCGTGCGGATTGGTATTACAAACTCATGACTATGGTAAGCCCTCGACTTTGTCTCGAACCAACTTACCGCACTAATATCATAAATAAATAACTGTTTTTTTTAATTTTGCAATTAATAAAGTGGACGAAAAGTAGGTATTTTATTTTGTAAGATGTCATTGATAATACCAAACTTATAATTCTTCTTAGTTATTCCTCACATGCTTATGTTTCTTTGGTACTTTTAGTTCAAAGTATTATAAATTCCATTACCTATAAATAAAAAAAAATGGGACCGAAATTTTGAAAAATCCTTTCTTAGTGCGGGATGCAGAACTATACAATCGTAGTAGTTACTGCTTACATTCATTACATATATTCGATATTACCGCCCGGCAGTGCCCGTTTAATGCCGGTCCGCTGTGTGTGTAGTTACCCTACTAAAGGAAGCAGCTTTAAGTAAAAAAAAAATCAACCCATTTGCTCAAAAAATGCATTTACGAAGGTTCGGAACATTGTTCGAAAATTTCTAATTACGGGCCTTACAGTGGAGCGTCCCTAGACCTCATAAGGAACATATCTACGTGCCAAATTTGGAGTTTCTAGACCTAACCGTTTGAGATGTGCGTTGATAGTCAATAAGTCACTCACTCAAGTTCTTCTTTTGTATATTTAGATAAAGAAGATTCAGCCCGAAAAGCTGTTGTATGCACTTACGATTATTGACGAGAAGGGACACGCTCAGTCTTGCACTGCCGTCCGTGCTGACCACTGTTGCTGTGCCAGTGATAATCTCTAGAGCTTGATTTACAACTTGACTGTTCACAACCTCCACGACGCCGCTGTTTACAGTGTACTGTGCTCTCGCGCAACGGTTCTCCGAATTCTCCGAGTAGTAGCTTGCAACTTCGTGCCAAAGACCGCTGAACTGAAAAACGCGAGAATATCACAACCACCGAATTAACGGATATTGTAGAAGTAGTACCCACAAGTGAAACCTTTAAAATCATTGATAAAAAAAGTTCTTCTTGGGCTGGGACCGGGCCGCCCACATAGCAGGCGCTCGCCTTAAGAAGCGTAGGATATAGAAGACTTTATAGGTATCTTTATAGGTATATATCTAGGAGGAGCTCGATGGAGCAAGTGGTTAGCGCGTTCGGCTGCGATCGTTGAAGTTAGGCAACTTTCGCAGTGGTCGGTCGTTGGATGGGTGACCAAAAAATTTACTATCTCGAGCTCCTCCGTGCTTCGGAAGGCACGTTAAGCCGTTGGTCCCGGCTGCATCTGCCGTCTTTAGCACCTGCCAATCCGCACTAGGCCCGCGTGGAGGGTCATGGCCCAATCTCCCTATTCCATCCATAGGGAAGGCCTGTGGTCCAGCATTGGGGACATTAATAGACTGATGATGATGATAAGGTATCTTTTATTTTCTACGGAAGACACGTAGAAAGCTCTTTCTATCACTGAACCACCGATGCTTCTTCATAAAGTCAGATTTTTTTAATGGACGAATTAATTTGTGGCGATGTAATAAAAGTTTCGTTTTAAAAAGCTTTTAGATATCCCAGAAAGAAAGCAATGGACATTGGTTGCGTGCGATGTTTACTTCTTGAGTTGGGTTTAACTGCTTTTTCCTCTAAATTATTTGAGATTAAAAATATTATTTCTACATTCTTTGTAGTTGTGTTCCAACTGAGTCGGTGAAGATTGTTATTTTTGACGTTTTTTTAAGACGTAGCAATATCAGCAGATAAAGATTGATTAATTGATCTATGAAACCATCATCAAATACGTCAATTGTTCACACATATACTACTCAATTATTATTGACGACCTCCGTGGTCGAGTGGTTTGTACGCCGGATTTCATGGTGTCGCCGACTCGAGAGTCCCGGGTTCAAATCCCGGTGGGGGCAGATGTTTTGTGTGATGAATACGAGCATTTGTACTCCAGTCATGGATGTTTAATATGTATTTCTATATAAATAAACTTATATATGTACTGTATATGTATTCTATCCGTTACCCTTGTATCCCATAACACAAGCCTTACAGTACTTACTTTGGGGCTAGGCTAATTGGTGTGAGTGTTGGAAATATTTATTATTATTACTAGCTGACTCGGCGAACTTCGTACCGCCCAAAAGTAATAATTTGCAATAAATTAAAACTGCGACTATAATTTGAGATTTAAACTATCCTATCTCTCAAGTTGGATCGAACTGCACATGGTGTGCGAATTTTATTATAATCGGTTCAGTGGTTTAGGAGTCCATTGAGGACAAACATTGTGACACGAGATTTATATATATTAAGATATCCATACTTTATCCATGAGCAAATAAGTAAGGACTGGCAGTCTTTGGATCTTACTCTATTAGTATTTATCAAGTAAGCAAACGCAATAATACTGTTGGTCAATGCAGAGCCGGGCTTGCTTGAGGAAGGCATGTACGGTTGCTGCCCTCCACAAAAGGGCAAATATTATTTTTATTTCTACAGAGAATAAAAAAAAATTGTCTGCAACCGTTTTTTTCGAAAGGCCCTTACTACATTTCACCGATAATACTTGTTGAAACAAGATTTTTATTTTGAATAAAATTCAAAATTCAATATCGTTTATTCAGTCTAGGCTGTTACAAGCACTTGTGAATGTCGAAAAGCTACGCCATCGGTTCGCAAATCTACGGCGGGAGACCTTGTACTGAGAAGAACCGTCAAGAAACTCAGCAAGGGCTGCTTTTTTCTCCCTGTTTTATTTCATACAGTGTCGTCCAATTGAAAGTTGACATCAAACTTGCAAACATGTGTTGAGGTCAACTTCCATCACGTAATGACAAATATGTAACAATAGACAATCAACGAATTTACTAACAATAAGTGAAAAGATAAGTCCCAAAATAGCAAGAAACAATTTTCAAAACAAAATGAACAAGTATATGAAAGGGAGTAAGTGCAAGGTTCTCTTCAAAACTCATTCTAAGGCTGGGAGCCTTAGTTTTAATATAACTTTGAAAAATTATCTACAGGTACAACCAGGCCGTTTTATCATTCAAATATTGATTGACAGTATAATATCCTTTCTTAAGTAAACAATTCTTAATGTGTATTTTAAATTTATGAGGAGGCAACTCAAGGATATCAATAGGAATCTTATTATAGAAATGTATACCTATTAATATAGTAATACAATTAGGGGCCCCGCTTTTTCATTGCCCCAGGGTCTTTATACTATTAGAACAGATAGAGATAATAAATCATTCAGGAAACCCAGCGAACTTTGTACTGCCATAGAAATAGAGGCAGGTGGTAGAAGAGAAAATTTAGGGTTGTATGTATTTTTTAATATCACATTATAAAAAAAAAAGTGCAAAAAAATTTTAGGGGTGTGTAACGTAGTGTTCTATCAATTTCCTGGGATAACATTCCTCCTAACCCGTATAAGAACACTACGTTACAATACCCAATAGTTTGAATTCTGGCGTGAAGGCGCGTTGTAGGTTTCAGAACACTACGTTAAAGGTGGACAACCATTAAGTATCACTTAAGGATATGAAAAATAGATAGTAGCCGATTCTAAGACCCACGGAATATGCATATAAAATTTCATAAAAATCGGTCAGGCCGTTTCGGAGGAGTATGGTAACTAACATTGTTACACGAGAATTTTATATATAAGATATATATATATATTCGAAAATATATACATATATATTTTCGAAATTTCACGAGTTTGATTCCCAGTTGTAGCAGGCGATTTTAAAAAATCTGTGAATGCAGTTCTAGTTATTATTCAAAATATAATGATATCCTCTTTCAGTAAATATCCTTCCTAACTTCAATATTTTATATACTTTCCCTCCGTGTGAGGTAGCCGTGGGATGTCCTGTATATATGAAGTATTTGTTGCATCTGTCTTATTGTTTACCATATTGGGTAGAGTCCCTGAGGTGGCCTCATTGATGCCACCGTGGCAGATGCATGGGTTTAATATATAATAAGGGAAAGAGTAGGGGACGGTACATACGTCTATATGACTAACAAACTTAGTTATAATTAACTTACTGGATGTACATCTATAATACTGACTGACTTCTTCTTCTGTTCGAAGGGATTTTTCCGCAACTCGACACCTGTACCCTTAGTACGAGTTTTACAATTACGAAAACTATGATAGTTTTCTTCAGTTCGCACTCGTGTACTGATTTTATTGTTTTCGTTTCAATACAGATAAACAGTGTTTAAATACTATCATTAAATCATTTATGTCTCCTTAAATTTTGAGTAAATTTGGTTACTTTTCACCAACATGGACATAGAAACATAATTTATAATTACGAAAAGTATGATAGTTTTCGTGATCTCAAACTCGTACTAAGGGTACTGTGCCTATTTTGCGTGAGAGGATGGCTTTAGTCATGCCATCCCAACTCCCCCAAAAAGCTCAGCAGTCTCTTGGTGTCTCCGCAGGGCTCGAGTAGCTTCTGCGGGCTGCCCAGGTGCGTCATTCCTGACTGACTTTTAGAGTACACTGTAATAGGTACTTACATTAGCAACATCGAAGTTTTGTACAGCGGTGATGTTATCGTTGCACTGTCCCGGCAATATGACAGGGTTCCCTGGTTCTATGATAGGCAGGACATAACAGGCGTTTTCGCTGCGTGAAACCTCACGTAATTCATCAACTGAGATGCCCAATCGAGACAGAAGAGTACTGTTAATATTGGACCAAACAATAGCACTTATGGTCTGCTGCTGACTCAAAACCCATAGAGATACTGCGAAAGAGTAAATTAGTTTTTTATTAAAAGCTAGATAATAACGCTTATATTTCATAATCGACTTTATAGAGAAGTAATAGGGAATTTGACAAGCTTTAGAAAACGATCTCACGTTATTGGCTAATGTTTATGGAGTCCGTCCGGAGTGGATATTCATCATTCTGTTGTGTGTTTCAGTAAAAATAACCAAATCAAAAACTCTATTTTCAATTCGCCGTAAAATGTTTCTCTGGACAATATGGCGTCTTACAAGTGTGTGACGTCACACAACTGTTATTAAAACGTCAAACGATACAATGAAATGTCACTTTAACCGGAAGTTTACTGGCGTATGACGTCAGTTTAGGCTCCGCCAATTCCAAGCGTTTTGGGTCACGTGACAATAAATAAGAAAACTATTATCTTTTTCGTGGGTTTTTAGTAAAATTATGAATATATTTTTGAAAAATAGTAAAAAACCTTGCCAATATACATTCTAAACACAGATGCTAACAATTGGCACTTTATTTTTAATACTGTCAAATACCCTATTATCTTAATGTTTGTAGTAGACAAGTGAAAGTTATACTATTCGTTTGAACATTAACGCTAATTTTAAACTCAATCTACTTTAAAAAGAAAATTTTCGGACAACAGTAGATCATATCATACATTAAAACCAAAAAATAAACGTTAAATATAAATCCAAGTAATCAACATTGAATTAATTTACAAATAATTGACACACGATTATCGAGCCACTCTGTATACGTTCATTGTACACACTAATTCTACTCGATATAGTATTGATGTCTTTGATTATACATATCTTGTCCATCAGAAAATAAGTAAGGCTCTAGGATCTTGGACTATAAGCACTTACCGCTTCTTTGTGTTGGTGTAATGTTAATACATTTGTAGCCGACAATGAACGATAAAGCACCAATATTGCTGCTCGAAAGTACCCAGAAATCTTGAGCTGAAACGGAAACATTAATAAAATATCAGACAATTTTTTTCTCTTAAAATAATGGTCCTTCTTCGCCATAACTATACTTCTGTGGAACGAACTCCCCCTAGATATTAGAATGTCCACCACAAAAATTAGCTTCAAAACCAAGCTACGAAGCTTTTTACAGGAACAAGCAGTCTAGCTTAATCGGTAGTCGTAATTATTATGTATTTATTTAGTATGTACATTTATATATATGTGAATGTATATGTGTAGTTATTAATATAAGTAATTATATATATGACTACTTCATATTTACATCTGTTCGTCTTTCTGTAATTGCCATTTTAGTTATGCAGTGGTAGGGTGCATTTATCCACAATACCCTATGGTTGACTGGTATAGAATGCCATTAAGTAAGCCTTCGTACGCTTGTGCATTCAGTTTTAGTTAATAAATAAATAAATAATAAATGGTTGGATTTTAAAACTGGGGGCCTGCCGCGCATCGGGATTGCAGTGGCTATGAAGATTTCATTTTGTTAGTTCGGACAGGATTTCAAATGCCTCGCGCTCTTTTTTTTTCTTTTGCTATAACCATAGTAATAACAGTATTAAGGAAAATGAGCGTGAGGTATTTGAAAACCTATGCATACGCCATGTTTTTTTAATGTTCTGAGTGTAATCCCCACGTTATGGAGGCCATACACATTAGGTTTTGCATGATGGTTTTAGCCGAACATGCATAACCAACAGGCAAGCCCTTACGTGTATGTGATAAAACTGTACAGTTTTCGGTGCATGTAACTCGGTTATGCATGGCGGTTATGAATGCACGGTTAAAACCATGATGCAAAACCTAACGTGTATGGCCTCCATTAGCTGAAGCGCATGTGCAAGAGTTATGCTTTAGGCCGTAGGCGGATACGTAGTGTGCGCGTGTCGTCTGAAATCACGGAGTAACGCAGGAAATAAATCTGTATAATCGGAAAGTAACTTAAACTCAAAGTAGTATTGTTGCTATGTTTTTTTAAGCATTTAACTGCTAGATGTTTAAATCTAAAGAAAAGTTTACTAGAAAAAATTGCACGCGGACCAGGCAGCAGACGGGACTCGAACCCGCACCCTTCCAATTGACCACTGACCAATTAAGCTACCGCGGCCCTGATAGCCGTTTCGAATTCTTTCTGGCCTTTCTTACGCTGCAAGGCAGCGCCATCTCTTCGCATTATAGGTAACCCACAATATAGTATTGTTGTGTTTATTGACAGCTTATACTTTTCTGCCTTTTTAGTGATAAAATTATATTTAAAACTCACGTTCGGAAGATGACCAAGTGATCGTCAGCTTGGCAGTATTGGTATTGTCTATTGAGAGTGTACCATTCTCTGTCTGCTCGAAGTTTTCGTTCACGGCGCTCCTGGTGACATTGTTACCCGCACCAAATTCGTAGTTTGAACATTCACCACTATCCGTTTCAGAAGTTCGTAGTTCATACCAACTTCCTATGTTCTGCGAAGAAAAATACAAATTAGAGCATGACAATCAAAAGGTTGGGCTATAAGCCACACTTTAAATAACCGCTTGATGGTTAGAGGCCGTTTTAGCCTATAGATGCTTTCGATACCGTATGGTAGCACTTCACGGGATTAAGGAAGGGGTAGGAATAGGCCTAGTGCTTATCCCTACCTATTTCCTAATCCCGGTGAGTCCTGGAAACTTACTTTCCAACAGAAACCTCCATCAAACTGAAGACCCAATAAAATGACACTACTTTGCGGTAGTGTTGTGTCTCTGTCGGTTCCAGGGCTTCACGGAGTAAGAGTTTCGGTTCAGGCTGGCAAAGTAACTGATGATTGCTGGATTAGAATGGCTAATATTTCTGCCGCGTAATTAAGCTTGCCAGGTGTCCGGCTAAACGGGCATGTTTGGCTTTTTGCTGTCGCGTCCGGCCAAATATGTACGTGTTTGGACTGTCCGGCTTTTGTCAGGATTTTTGTCAGACGGACGGACGAGCGTCCGAGCGTACAAGAGAGCCAACTGTTAGCGCGCGCTGCGCGTGACGTGAGCGTGACTACACCGCCCCGCTGTCTGATATAATAAATATGTCCGGCTTTTAGGGCAAAATGTCAGGCCTTATATAGTGCGCAGTCCGGCCTTTGCATTTAATGGCCTGGCAACCCTACGCGTAATAGGTATTCGTAGCAGACATATCAACTTGGAAAGGACATATGAACGTATCGAATCGAGTGGTACAATGCAACGCACACTAATCAGAATCACCAGAATCGTAACGTAATCGCCTCGCTTCGGGATAAACTCCAGAAGTGCGTGGTCGACACTCCGTCCACTAGCTTACGACTCTTTGTAGTCTAGCTTACTTATATCAGGAGCCTAGCATACGTCTCACCGTACCCTTGCTTACGGCTCTACGTATCCTAGCTTAAGTCCCTTCGCTCACCCTCGTCCCGCGGCCTGCGTTGCCGAACGTACTGTCGTATAGAGTAAGTACGTATAGAGAAAGTAACCACTCTGTTTAAAGTCTAGGAAGTGCCGTCTCCTAAAACACAGTGTTTACTTTCTCTATAACTGATCAAACTGGCGCCACGTAGGCGTCAACCAGCGGTCGGCGAGCCGTAACCGCGACGGCGCCTAGCCGTAGCCTAACTGCACTTACATGCTAACGTAAGGTGGACGCCTGTTTGACGCCAATCCGAAAGGCGAGTTGGTATCGATCCCTTTATGAGTTAATATGGCAGCTATGGCACTTAAATGTCTTACGATTTGCAGCGTCTTATGTAAACGTTTTTTGTCTTTTCTCAGAATCGATATACATCAAACAAATATTTACTTTCACAGAACATCATACTAGCAAGACATCATATTCGCTATTTACATTTATTTTACCTAAATTTATTAATACATATCGTGAATAAAGAAACGCGCATTGTCTAAATAAATATCTATTTATAACACCATCTTTTAAAACAATATCCCCATCAACGTTTCCCATAAGACCTTGATTGGTAATCGTTCGATAAGATTACCTATGTTCAAAAAATCTATTCAGATACGTTATTTCTTTAATTACTATTATCTTATCAGTAGTGATTGGTGAGTTGACGTAATTCACTCAAATTTAAAATTGAAATTGTATTGTGTCATTGAGTAGGAAAGTAATTACCCCTTTTATAATAGGTATGATGACGGGGTAAAGTAATAATAACCATAAAGTATAATAGCCACATATTAAAAAATGTTATTCATCATCCCAATAGTGCCGATTAAAATAACGATGGAAGCAATGCATTCGATAACAAATCAGATTTTCGCTTCATTCAAGCATCCGTTGTTATTTGTGCTGCCTTTACCACACGATCACAATCTTTAAGACACACTGGATTTTCCTTTCGAATTAGAGTGAAGTACGTATCTGGGAAATAATGTCCACCTTACAAAAGACCACTGTAAAATAACACTACCTTTTTGTTATGTTGTGTTATTGCAGGTGAGTAAGGTTAGAACATCACAGGTGTGGGATGGGGTCAGAAAGGGTGACCGGTGCGAATGATATTTTTATTAACTCAAGCTGTCGTGTCAGTCGCTATTTGCTTGTTTGTCAACAAAAAAGTTTATTTCTATTATATTGTTTTGAAATGTCGTATGACGACACGTCTTGCTACCAAGACAAATTTAATTTACATTTTATTTTTTGAAGTGAAAACTTCAATAGCGGCGTTGTACACTTTTTTGTAATGGTTAAAAAATGGTAAACAGGCGTCAGGACACGTGGCCTGATCGCGTCAGGACACGTGACCTAAAAATGCTGTCTGGATGTTTTCAACTGATTTATATGTATTTAGGTGTTCTGAAGACTAAAAAAATACTAAAAAAATCCAGAACGTCAGGTTATTTTGCAAAACGCAAAAAATACAATAAAAATAGTATTTTGGGCTTAACTAAAAGGATTAAAAAGAGGAGCTAAAAATTTATTTTGACTGTTTTTTTAATGTAGACTGTCCATAACTAACACTTCTTTCTAAATAAAGAACACTCTGTGTGAGTTAAACTAACATAACTCATATATTTTATGTTGTAACCTGAAAGTGCGCGCTTCAATAGTATAGAAAGTTACGGGGTAGATTGTTTTATAGATATTGGTTCAATATACTAGTACAATGTCTTCTGTACGGAAGTTTTTGAATTCATCTGACAGTTTCTGTTATATTTTTGATATACTTAATATCAAAATTTTCAGACTTCTAAGGGGCAAAGTTGAAAAAGGTGTTTTCGTTGGATAAGACATTAGATGGCTTATGGCTGATCCAGAAAACATCACAATCATGACGGATCCCAAAGAGAAGGGTGGATTGGCTTTAAAGAGGCCATAGAGAAATTATTCGGCAGTAAAAAGACCCCAACTAAAACAAGTAATTCTCCAAAAAAATATTAAAAGCATTTTAAGCTTTATGCTGCATAATAAGTTAAAAGAATATTTTCTTTTCATTCCCACCTCGATTAGTTTCCAGAAAATGTAGGAAATGTAAGTGAAGGACAAGGTGAACCATTTCACCGAGATGTTAAGGAGATAAATGGATACCAAGGATGTTGGAACGTTTCAATGATAGCAGATTGCTGTTAAACCCTTCAGAGAGACCTTCCAGATACTTCTTACAAGCAAAAATGTACCAAAAAGAGTCTCACTGGGAAAAAGAAACGTGTTTAGTGCTTACTAATGAATATAGTTTAGATAAAAAAATAAGTTTAGTTACGCAGGTAATTAAAATAAAAAAATATATAATCTTTTAAATTTTATTTAAAGATGATAACTTGTTTAAAGTAGATCCTATATTGTCATAAAACGTGACGTTCTACGACAAAATGAAAGTCATTTTCGGATTCAGCACACCCAGAAACATAAGAATTACGCAAAAAACCAAAACAGATTTCAATTATTATTTTTTTGCAGACTTGTGTTATTAAAGCAATTCATGCAAAATTATTCCCTAAACATTCCAAAATATCAAAAATGCACAACGTTAATATTTAAGTTTTCACTTCTCCTGGCACTCCCGGAGTGCAACCCGTCGTTTTTTTTTTCATTTTATTTTTTTAGAATTGCCGTCATGTCACGAGCCCCCATTCCCAAACTTTAGCGCGCTGTATCTTTGTCAATTTTTGGTTGATTGACAAAAGAAAAAATAATTGTCAATTAATTGATAATCTTACTGACGGTCTTAATAGAATTTCGCTATCTTTACCCCGTCATCATCCTTACAATGTAAGCACTTTTATTATATTTTCAACACTCACACCAATTAGCCTAGCCCAAATTAAGCACTGTAGGCTTGTGTTATGTGATACTAGGGTAACGGATAGAATACATAATACTGATACATATCTATATATATATACTAGCTGACCCAGCGAACTTCATACCGCCATAAAAAAAAAATTAAAAAAACATTGTCCAGCGGACAAAATTGTGAATCTAAACCATTCTCAGATCCCCTTGAACACACACAAAAAATTTCATCAAAATCGGTCCAGTCGTTTAAGAGAAGTTCAGTGACATACACACTCACAGAAGAATTATATATATAAAGATAAAGATATAACTCAAAGGTGACTGACTGACATAGTGATCTATCAACGCACAGCCCAAACCACTGGATGGATCGGGCTGAAATTTGGCATGCAGGTAGATGTTATGACGTAGGCATCCGCTAAGAATGGATTTTGATCAATTCTACCCTCAAGGGGATAAAATAGGGAATGAAAGTTTGTATGAAACTTTGTCAATTTTAAACCGATCGGGCTGAGACTTTGCATGCAGGTATTAGAAGAATCATAGATGAATGTCACTGTGTATAATACAAGACTGAGAACAAAAACTGTAGTCTACACTTCAGCTCTACACCGAAGCGAAGCGAGGGCGGGCCGCTAGTATAAGTATATTTATATAGAAATACATATTAAACATCCATGGCTCAAATACAAATGCTCGTATTGATCACACAAACGTCTGCCGCCACCGGAATTCGAACCCATTCGAATTACAAAATACTATACCACTTTAATTACACTTTATCAGAGAATTCTCGAAAGATTTATTTATTAATTTTACAAAGGCCCGCGACTAAGTCTGAATAGAAAAATGACTTTGTGGTTTAATCTCAAAAACGTTACCTAGTATCCAAATTTTGTATTAGTAATTTATTTCAGATAATAGCATTGTCTATTTCGCCTCTTTGGAGTTTTCGTTTTGCTACAAAAAGTAGCCATTGTCCTTCTACGAAGTCTTCTTAGCAAAAAATTATCAAAATAGATTCAGCGGTTTACACGCGAAAAAGTAATAAAATAATTACACAAATGGATTTACTGTAACATTTATTATTGTAGGTAATTATTATTAACAATAAAAATTAGGTTACCTATTTACCTATAGATTAAGTTCGATAAACGGAATGGATTAACTTTTAATATAATGAACTCGGAAGTGTTTGTTTAGTACATAGCCTTGGTAATAGCGATTGATAACGTAATGACGATAGGTGTAATCACGTCATCTGATCGCCTTTATCTACTTTGATAATGAGGAATTCTCATTAAGTTTGACTAAGCCATTATCTTTGACCAATTCCTGGTTCACTTATTGGGAATGTTATTTCACTAATAATTTGAGACGACACATATTTTTAGAAATACTGCTCGTTAATTTAAGGTGTTCGTCATAATCTTCCATCGCACTCCAACTTATACAGCATTTCATCACGTTGAGTAAGAGACGTGACACGAAGAAGTTTACGATACATTATATGTATTTGGATGATTCGGAAAAACTGTTGGCAAAAACATCGTTCAAAAACCATTTTATTTTTTTGCATTTGCATTTGCAAGAAGTTTTGAAATAAACTGCATGAGTTAATGCGTTTTTTTAATACCAAGCGCCAGAGTACAACAGAGTGCGTGTCAAGGTATTTTTTCTATTGACTTTAAAATTTCCGACCCTACTTGTCAAAATAAATAGAATAGGACATGCATTTTGTTTTTGTAACTAATACTTAAAACCAATCCGAGGCTAATCTATACTTATAATAAATCTGTAGAGATGTCAATTCTGTACATGAAATATATTTTTAAAATAACTATCAGGGGGTGATTAGTGATCGATACTGATGCCAAAAATGCAATCAGTAAATTTTTTGTCTGTCTATCTGTCTGTGTGTATGTTCCTTATAGAAACAAAAACTACTCGATGGATTTTAACAAAACTTGGTACAATTATTCTTCATACTCCTGGGCAGGTTATAGTATACTTTTCATCACGCTACAATCAGTAGGAGCAGAGTAGTGAAGGGAAATGTTGGGAAAACGGGAGAAGTTACTCCATTTTTTAAGCTTCCGTCGCGTGTGCAGCCTTAATGATTAAAGTTACATAGAAATCATGTATGACGGAAATATATACCAAACTTATACATGAAATAAGCCATCGCGCCGTCGCACGTGAATACTGAATCATGCTATAAGGATTATTTTTGTGTAACGGTTGCCGCGCTCGACACGGGTCGCGGCAGCGGTAGGGTATCAAAGGTCCGAGAGCGAGCTGTCTAAATCTGTTTTCTGCGTCGCTCCCCCCCTGGGGGACGATCGCTTTCGATGAAGCCTTAGAGGCCTTCCCGGCCAGAGGCAGCCCCTACGGGTGTTTTTTAGTCAGTACGAGTCTGACATAACCTTGCAGCCGGCTGTAGGGTATCCATGAGGATTTCTCATCTGGGAGACCGAAACCGTGCTTATCAGCGCGACTTTGAGTCTTTAAATAGTTTATTTGAATTTCTTTTGTTGTTATTTTGTAAAACAGGTATTAGTTGTTTTGGTAGTGTTTAAATATTCGTTCAAATTAAAAATTATTAAGCGTAGGTACTTTTATTAATTAAAGTAGTTATAAGTATTTATTTTTAAGTGAAGGAGGTATAGGTAGATAGTATTGCACAGGCGTTTCAGCTTTATTTTCATTTCTTTTTTGTTGTGAGTTGTATATATTTCTGGTTATAATTCTATAAGAATATTTTAGTTCAAATAGTCACTTAGATTTTATGTGTAAGGTAGCTAAAGTTAGGACCACGTATTAGTTGTTTTGGTAGTGTTTAAATATTCGTTCAAAGTGTAATTTAATCATATAGGATGAATGTACGATGGCCCATCGAAAAGGAGTAGAAGCGGTAGACAGAACTTTAAGAGATATAAGACAAAATGATCGACCCATGGGCGGTATCACAGTTTTATTTTGTGGTGATTTCCGACAAACCTTAACGGTAATACCACGGGGAACCCGAGCTGCTGAGGTTAGGGCTTGCCTGAAAAGCTCTTATTTGTGGCGTGATATACAATCGGTGCATTTGACTGTAAACATGCGAGTGAGAACTGTAGATAACCCGGATGATCGTGAATTTTCTGATATATTATTAAAGAAAATACCTTCGCCAAAGATACCTATCCACTGCTACACCAAGGAAAACTTATTCTGACGCCTGAGTTATGTTGTATAGTGCAATCCCAACAACATCTTACATCGTCAGTTTACGGTGACATAACAAATATATTAAATAAGAACAATTCTTGGCTATGCGAAAGGTCCATTTTAACTCCTCGCAATGACCAGGCATCTGAGATTAATAATAAAATACTGTCGAATATCCAGGGGGAAAGCAAAGTTTATAGTTCAATAAATAGAATGGCCGATGAACAAGAAGCCACTAATTACCCGATAGAATTTTTAAATTCTTTAAATATGCCCGTACTTCCTTCTCATGAAATTTGTTTAAAAATTAGCATTCCGATTATTCTGCTCCGAAATTTAAGACTACCACAAATTTGCAATGGAACTCGGCTTAAAGTAACCCAGTCGCAACAAAATGTAATCGAGGCTCAAATTTTAGTAGGTTGCGGTGCAGGAGAAACCATCTTTATTCCCAGAATTCCCATAATACCAAATAATTTTCTATTTCAATTTAAAAGAACGCAATTCCCAGTATCGGTGTGTTATGCAATGACAATAAATAAGGCTCAAGGGCAGACCCTTCGTGTTGTTGGAGTAGATCTCGGTGTCAGTTGTTTTTCACATGGTCAGTTATGTCGGTCTTTCCCGGGTTAGCAGTCCTAGAATTTTTTATGTTCACTTCCGGACGGGTCAAATTTCAACGTAGTCTACCCGGAAGCTTTGCGCTAAAGTATTTTCATTCTATATGTACTTAAGACTCATGTGAAAGCGATCTAAACAATATTACCAATACATTAACATAATAACATACAAGGAGTTACATGCTGATGGTCTCGGGGCACAGTGATAATAATAATATTCTGCGGTTCCTTAATTCGATATTTTTAACAGTATTATATTTCCCTACTAAAATACGAAAGTTAATCTGTCTATCACATCAAAACCATGGAACCCTGAGGAAGGACATATGCTACTTTTTTACGAAAAACGACGATAACGCGGACGAAGTCGCGGGCAAAAGCTAGTCAATTATAAATGTACTGTATAATTTACTAGCGGGCCGCCCTCGCTTCGCTTCGGTGTAGAGCTGAAGTGTAGACTACAGTTTTTGTTCTCAGGCTTGTATTATACACAATGACATTCATCTATGATTCTTCTTATACCTGCATGCAAAGTCTCAGCCCGATCGGTTTAAAATTGACAAAGTTTCATACAAACTTTCATTCCCTATTTTATCTCCTTGGGGGTAGAATTGATCAAAATCCTTTCTTAGCGAATGCCTACGTCATAACATCTAACTCCATGCCAAATTTCAGCCCGATCCGTCCAGTGGTTTGGGCTGTGCGTTGATAGATCACTATGTCAGTCAGTCACCTTTGAGTTTTATATATATAGATTGGGCTAAGATTAGTTATATTTTAGTATTAGATATGATTAAATAACGGATTTGTTGATTATGTAACATACATTATAAAAAAGTATAAACTAAATTGTGCTTGACTCGGGGTGGGTTTCATTTTGTATTGAATCTATATAGATTCAATACAAAATTTGAACAGTTAGATTTTTATACATCATGCGTGGTACAAGTACAACAACAAGTTTTGTGTTTGGTGGTCAGAGTTCGCACATCCTTAAATTGTACTAAAAAAAATGTTTTAATTATTGAAAAATTACTTGATTATTTTTACACATAGGGTTCTATACATTTTAACTTTGAACTTTTTTGATAACCATAGAAAATTTAGACTATATTATTAATTTGCTTACCAATAAATTATATCGAAAATGCCAATGAATAATTTAACCAGAGGATATTTAAACTTAAATATTTTAACTTTTTTACGCAAAACTCAAAATATAAAGTTATAAATATTGGATATCAAAAAATTACCTTTTATTATTTTATTATAATTAATATTGACGCCCTCCGTGGTCGAGTGGTTTGTACGTCGCGTTTCATGGTGTCGCCGACTCGAGAGGTCCCGGGTTCGAACCCCGGTGGGGACAGATGTTTGTGAATGCAAGATTGATGAAGAAAGATGTTCATGAATACGAGCATTTGTATCTAATCATGAATGTTTAATACGTATTTCTATATAAATATACTTATATATGTACAGTATATGTACTCTATCCGTTACCCTAGCATCCCATAACACGAGCCTTACAGTTCTTACTTTGGGGCTAGCCTAATTGGTGTGAGTGTTGGAAATAATTATTTATTTATTATTATTATTTATTACCGAAGTAAAAGTTTTTTTATTGTATTCCTTGCGCCACTAATTGGGTGATCTACCCTGTATAACTCACATATTATAATATACAGAACTCCAATTAATTTAAAGACGGAAGGAAGGAAGGGAAAAAAGATTCTTACGCTCTGGTAGTCGAATGTTTCTTGTAATTGTATATTCGGGTCGCACTGTCCAATTTGCACAATTTGTCCAACACTACTTTGAAACAGTCCAAAGAGGCTTAACACTAAAACTAACATTTTGAACATCATGAGATCATAATTTGAAAATACCGGCACACAGTACATCAGCCTACTAACTAACAAAATGTTTAATTATGAAGTCATTTATCATTATATATGCGGCATCTTATCAAAATATTTTATCTGTACACGCGCGCCCAAAGCTGTGCGGATCGGTAACTTAATAATCCTTAATAAATAACGGAATTAGCAATTGTTGTGAAGTGTCCCTGAGAAGGGAATGATCAGCTGATGATGCCTGTAAGGCTCTTATGGCCATAGGCGTCCCCTCACGGATTTGTTTTAGTCACTAAGAGTCTGTCATAACCCTACAGCCGGCTGTACGGTATCAATGTGGATTTCACAACCGCGCTTGACATTTCTGCGTCATCTGAATCAGTTTTTTTTTCAATAAAATAAATAAAACTAAATGTAATTTCTATGGTCATCATTTTTTTTATCAAGCAGGAGTATAATTAAATCAACCAGTAGCTTATTAGGTATTGGAAAAAAAATGTGATAAATAGCAAGATCATCATAATATACGTTTTAAACCAAAAATGATTTTATTTTTTCGATCTTATTACTAACATAAATTAAAAAAAAATCCAATACCGAAAACACTAATGATAATAATCTACTTATTGACTGATGATTACGTAGTACACAGGTGATAAATGTTCTGACTTTTAATCGATTAAATAAGATGAGAATTAACTACATTCAAGTTGAATTATTAAAAGCTCTTTTGTCCTGGTCCTTAATTTTTTTACCTACCTTCTGTTCAGGACTTCTTTGAGCTGACAAGAAGAACCGACGATAGAAACTTCTTAGCTTTTTATGAAGTAGAGACGCTGTACGTAGTCAAATCATCATTTTTGACGCCATTAATAGAATACCTATTTGTTGTTCATGTGATTTTAAAAAAAATATATATATATACTAATATTATAAAGAGGAAAAGTTTGTATGTAAGTATGTTTGTAACGAATGGGCTCAAAAAGTACTGGACTGATTTTAAAATTCTTTCACCATTTGAATACTACATTATCACTGATTAATATAAGCTATAGTGTATTTTCAAAAAAGTTAGGGTTCCGTATGAAAACTTCGATAATGTAACCCAACGTGTGTAAAATATACCAAAAAATAGCCTTATATCGCGAACGCTGCAGAAGTCATTGATAATAGAGCAAAGTTATGTACTAAAGATTTATAGAAGATACTAATATCTATAAAAAAGTCCGCAATACCATACGTCTAACTATTATAGTTATGTCACAACGAGAGATCCTGTGTTTTTTTTTTATAACGCAGGTAGAAAATCTTTTTACAGACGACGGCGCCTTTAAGAGGCACATCGCCGAACGGACCTCACACCTGGCTGCCGCAAGTCTTACGGACCCCCCAGTGGCTACCCACCGAGGACCCCGCAACTGTTACGGGCGCTTTACAGCATAATATTCGTTAAAAAAGTCCTGCGAATACCTTCTACACCCCCAGCAGCTTCCCTCGCCGGGGCTCCACGGCAGGGGTCTCCCGCGGTATCACGGGGACCCTGCAGACGTGCGCAGGTAGGCCCGCGCATGGGGGCTGGGTACGTGGCCTACTGCCCACCGTACCGCCCCCCGTCCGCTGCAGAGGGGCCTCCTGGGCGTACCCGTCCAAGAACCCTCCGCCGCGCCCCCTTTGTAGGACAGAACTACGAGTGGGGGGGGCCGCCGTTCCTGGGAGGGGGGAACGGGAGGGGAAGCGTAATTCTTCCCGTCCCTCTCCCCCCTCCCGGTCGCCCGTGTCTCCCCACGTCTTCTCCTAGGAGAAGAGGGGGGGAAAAGCAGGCGACAGCATTCGTGGGGGGGTCCGAGCGGCCTAGGCTACTCGGACATCCCCCCCTCTGAGAGCGTCCGTCCGGTCACCGCCTCAGAGGCCAATCGTTTGGGAAGCTTCCCTTTTGTGACGAGCGGGTCACATCTCCCACTCCCCATTATGTGATCGGCCTGCCGACTACTCGCCGCCGCACCACACATCTGGTGGGGGCAGCACACGTCGCCGCCTTGTGCCCCGCTGCCCCGCACTGGAAGCACAGGGTGCTCCGGTCCTCTTTCGCCGGGCATCGCGCTGCCGCGTGCCCCCTCTCCATGCACCTAAAACAGTGCGCGCGCCGGCTGAGGACCGTCACCTTAGCAAGGCTCCATCCCACCTTGATTTTTTCGCCTTCCGCTACTTTTCTGGCGGCCCATGAGGGACACCTGACAAGTGTCACCCCCATTCCTCCCTGTCCCGGGTGCATTTTCCCCACGGTCACCTCGCTGGTGGAGCAGCCCCTTTTTGGCTACCGCCTCCACGACCTCCTCTGGGGTGACTGATTCATCGAGCCCTGACACCCTCATCTCTTCAGTTTTCTCGGGCCTACCGACTTCCGCGTAGTCGTCCACTACTTCTCCCATACGTCTGGCCAGGGCGTCCGCCTTAGACCTGCTATCTGGGCTCGAGACTAGTAGTAGCCTGGACCCAGTCTGGCTGATCTTTATGACCAGGCCTTCCTCAATGCCCACGGACGGCAGCTTCATAGCCGCCCGTGATAACTCCACTATGTTTGTGAAGGTGTAGCCCAGATCTTCCGCACTGGGCTTCACCTTCAATTCAACGGCAGCGGCACTCGGCACCATGCGTTGCTTTCCCCCACCCTTCCTTCGATCCGGGACCCTATTGGTCTGCGCGACCGCCTCCCCCCCTCTGCGCAGGTTCGGCTGCAGGAGCCATGCCCTTGCCCTTTTTCGGCTTCCCCCTTGCGACCACCACACTCCACGGCTCAGTCGCTCTCGCCTCCTTTGTGGTCTCCGCCTTACGGTCTGCCGCCAGTGGCGGTCTGAGGCTCCTTGGTGGCGGCAGCCTTTCCTCGAAGGAGGCCAGCCGAGTGATGACCATCTCCCCTATAGACAACATAAGGGAGCGTTCCAGCTCCTCGACGGCCTCACTTGTCAGTGACACGACTGGCTGTGACGCAGGGCGCGCCTTCCACTCCATGGTCCTCTTCAGTGAGTCCACCTCCTTTTTCAGGGACTCAACCTCCGCCCTGAGACCCTCGTTCCCCTCCCGGAGTCGACCTTTCTCCTCCTCCACCTTATCTAGCCTATCCGTCGCGTCTGCCTTCTTCAGGGCCACCTCCATGAAGTCAATCATCTGATTTGTCGCCACCAGGACATTCTCCCTGGACGTCTTATGAGCGACTTCATACTCCACGACCTCACTAATGTATTTCAGGCGCTGGTGAATACCGTACCTGATCTCCTTCGTTGTTAGGGTGCTCAAGTCACTGACACAATATCTGACACCTTCTTCCACCATTTTAGGGTATGGCGGCTTGGTGAGAGTACCCAGAACAACCTTGCCCTTGCCCCTCCCTCTCTTCGCCGTGTTTATTTTAGGTGGCGTGGGTGTTATATCCACCACCTCTTCCTCCATGTCGCTGTTCCCGCCTCCTCTAAGGCGCAGAATGCCAACAACCTCAAACTCTCCCTTACACGCCTCGGTAACAAATTTCCCACTGCGGAACTCGGTAATCCCGCAGCGCCGGTGGCCAGCCGGAGCGCATAAGCCGCTAGTTACCAATTTCTCACCCTGGGGCCCAGCTACCCCAGAGCGCCCGGCGTCAACGGGAGCGCATGACATATTAACAACCAAAGACAACATTCTCATAATTTTTTCCTCTTCCGGGCGAGGGAACACTACCTGGCCTTCTTCAAAAGTGTTTTTGAAAAGGTTTTCTTCCTTGCAGCCTCCGCCCCGAAGGACGGCGGCCCTCGGCCCCACACCACGTGCGGGGTTACGGGTTGGCCGGAAGCGACGCGGAGTTCGCGCCGCAACCGCCCTCACCAATGGCGTTTCCGCCTCAACCTATGGAGTCTCGACCACCGCTAACCGGGCTACCCAGGGCGCCCGCCGAGAGACCCCTCGGGTGATTTTTTAAAGAGGTTGTCTTCCTCGCAGCCCCCGCCTCCAAAGGAAACAAACAGTTCCTTTGCAGACGGCGGCCCTCGGCCCCGCATTATGTGCAGGGTTACGAGCTTGACTCGACTGCCGCTACCCGGGACACCCAGGGCGCCAGTCGAGACCACCACCGGGTAATTTTTTAGAGAAGTTTTCTTCCTCGCAGCCCCCGCCTCCAAAGGAAACAGTTCCTTTGCAGACGGCGGCCCTCGCCCCCCCCACAATGTGCAGGGTTACGAGTTGACCCGACTGCCGCTACCCGGGATACCCAGGACGCCAGCCAGGTCTTCACAGCTGGGTATGGTCCACGCCGGCCGAAGCCGGTGCCTCCCATCCGCCACCCGAGAGGACGCGCCCGATAGCAGACCTAGCCACACTGCCACGGGAACGAGAGGTCCCCTGCGGTTTCACCCGCGTTAATTTGAAGAAAAAGGTTTATAGTGAGTCAATCTCAAAATATGTACATAGGCTGTCGAGGACTTTTTTACAGAACGTTTAAAGGGGAAGAATTCCGTCATACATGATTTTTGTGTAACTTTAACCGTTTACCCAACGCAAGCAACGGAATCTCACAAATGGATTATTTTTACCCGTTTTTGCAACATATTTCATCGATGTTCCGCTGCTACTGGTCGTAGCGTGGTAATATATAACCTATACCCTTCCTCGATAAATGCACTGTCCAATACAAAAATATTTTTTCAAATCGGAACAGCTTAACAATGTTGAATTCGGTACAACGGGTCCTAAACTACGCAACGATTTTTTTACTTGAAATGGAAGGTTTATAATTATTATGAAGAAAGTCATTGTATATAAATACAAGCCTTTGAACAAAAACTATAGTCTACACTCCAGCTCTACATCGAAGCAAAGCGAGGGCGGGCCACTAGTATTCTATAAAGTCAGTTAGTTACAACGTATCGTTTGCTGGAAAACCTCGGGCAGTTTTGTGGGGCTTTTTCTTCCGGTTCGATTGAGTCCAAGCACGCCTCTGTACCTATATGGGGGCCTGAGTTAGGCTCCGCGGGGTGAGTGGGAGATAGTTATGTCACGTAACATAACGTGACATGCCGTAACATTTCAAAATATTTGTGTAATTCACTTAGCAATTTTTAAACTGCCTGGGAAATTACACGGACAACGAATTTCTGGAGAACCACCCATAAGATTATATT